CGAGGGAGTCCATCTCCCCTGGAAAAAAGATTGCTGTTTACGGAAACGCGACGAATAATTTAGACGGGACATTTTTTTCCTCTTATTCGCGCTATATTTCTCTCGGCGATGGAGAGAGATTCGATCGCAGCCACTGCGGACAAGATGAAAGTCGACACTTTTATGCGAATGGACCGAGAATTAAATACACATTTTCCGCACGTTACTTGAATTCTTGCGCGAATGTACCAAGTAAGGGCGATACACGTATATATTTATGTAAGTGCTTTTATTTATCAAAGCGAATGCTTGAAAAAAATTTTGGTGTATTTTGAGTATGAGAAATTGTGTGGTATTACAATTTGATCTCAGCTACAGTGCAGAGATGTATTTTTAAATATTTATTGCGTTTTTACTGAAATATTCCAAATTTTTTGTTAATCGAAATTATTAACTTTTGGCAGAGAATTTCGCCTTGTGTCAGATACATGGCTAATTTCATTGAATTATATTTAATATCTTTTTGACCAGTTAGTACTTGTATAATATTATTTGACCAAATATTTCATTCCGATTATTTGTGTTTTTGTTATTTGAATCGACGTGGTTATACGTTTCCCGTAAGAACACATGTTAATTCGGCAAATTAAAATCCTTATAACTTGTGAACGCTTTAATGAATCGATTTAAAAATTGTACTGAATATTTTAAACGTATGTAAAGACACTCTGTACAATGTTCATTAAATTCTCAATATTTTGAAAATAAGTACAAAACATCCTTAAAGCAAACATTTGCTTTTATACGAGCTTTATACGAGCTTACCGAGTATACGTGGTGAGAGATAAAACTAGTTGTAATGTGAAACGTGAACTATGCACGTACATGATTATTTACTCTTACGCTGACGGCGAAAATGTTTGCGAAGAAAGGCTACGAAATATAAAATAAATGTTTCGCGATAACAAGAGACGACGTTGTTCGGACGAATTTGTACGCGCGATTCGTTTTTGCCGGCGATATATCGTTGCTTTTAAACAAATAGCTTCCATCTTTCGCCAACAGCATTTCTGTCTCGCTCGGTATTACTCATCTGGCTATTCGGATACGTATCCGATAGCGAGCTTTCCCGAGCAGCACGTTAAAACGCCGTCGATTCTTTATTTAAATATATCCGGCGCGTCTCGATAGGATCCTCTCTTCCTCTCTCTCCTTTTCCCTCCCCTTCCGCTGCAACATCCGCAACGATTGTGTTCGAGGAGCATGACGGGTGGGTGGGTGGGATCGCTATGTGGATATCGTTAAGAGGCAGACAGACGCGTCGAATCCCTGCGATTTCGATCGTGCATGGCCTTAATGGACGCGCGTGACCAACCGTCCTTTACTTGGCGCGACGCGCTGTCAAAGTCGTTGACACCGGAGGAGCCGAGATCATTGATCGCGCGCGTCGTTTGCACATACGAGAGCCACTCGAAACAAGCCCCGCGTACACGGTGTTTGAGCAAAAAGGATCGATACCTCGCGAGGCCGATAGATCACCCCCCGCGAATAAAAAGTAACGTACGCCAAGAGTACGTGACGGGGAGAATCGAAGCTGTAAATTGTGATACACGGCTCGTGACTCCTTTTCGTTTTCACGTCATGCGTATCGATACGTCAAACTTGGCGTATTAATTTGGGCAAAGGAAGAGATATTTTTCATATTTCTTCCTGCGCTTTGTATCGGGATTCTCTCGGATGAACGTTGACTCGATTAAAAAATGGATGACCCGCCTCTTGATCTTGTAGTCTCGATTTATCGATCTATGCAAATCAGAAGTAATCCAATAATCCCGAGATGACACGAATAATTCTCGTTCCCATACGCGCGTGAGAGGGAAACTGACTCACTCGCCACTAGTCAATTACATAAATTGAGGTCCGCAAGTTACATTAATTAAGCGTTTAATTCTTCGTTAATCCCGCCGAAGGCTGCGTCACGTCTTGTAACCCTCGGTAAAGTTGGCGTTTCGACAGCGCTAGATTTCAGGTAATTTAACAGCGTTGGGAGCCTGGGGGCGAGGTGAATATTACTCTTTGAATTTTTTAATGTACTTGAAAAACGGAATTTGCGATCCATGCTTAATTAAACTAGCCTGTTTTCCATCGGATTATAGACGCGTTTGAATTTCTCAAAAAATAAAATTAAGCTCTTTAATTCGATTGATTCGAATTTAAACTCCGGAATTGAAATTTGGTTAAAGATTACTCGATTAGACATCTTCTTTTATAAGTTATTACAAGTCATTAGAGAGAGAAAAGCGGCTGCTTTTGAAGGGACGATAAATTAATAAGAGAACTTAAATATACTGGAGAAAGTTAGGATCTTGAGATGCAGTACGTTGTGCCACGGCGTTCGCAGTATGTTTACGACAATTTACGATGCACTTTATAATAGCGAGAGACAGGTAAACCGCAATACTCGAGTTTTACTAGTGGTCGTTTAACATCACTGGTCGATGGACTTGACGAAAGGCCCAGGACGCAGGATATTTTGCTCGGAGCGAGCAAAACATATTTTAGAAAGGCTCATTTTTCAAAGACTTAGATATTTTCCGCATTGAAAATTTCACAAATTTCTGCCGTGTAAATTTCTCGATAAATAAATAAAAATTTAATCAAACACAGATAAATGAAACAAAGCGTTTGCCATCCACTTATACTCGTAAAGCCGAAATCCCCTCTGAAAAGTCCTTTGCGTATTCAACGTAATATAAATACTTTGTAATTAAAATGTGAATTTTTGCAAATGAAAAATCGCCGGAAAATGCGCGGACAGAAATTCCGAGTACCTTCTCTAGCTTCGAGGCACTTTATACGAACGAGACACGCCATTCGGTTTTGCGATTCGCGCCCCGAGAGGCGCAAAGAGAAGAGAGAGAGAGAGAGAGAGAGAGGGACGCATTTTGCGCCGGCCACGTTCGCATCGTTGACGGCCATCGCATCATCATGCGTCCGGTGGCCCTACGGTAAAATTTTTGCGGCGGAAGCGCACACACTGGACGTCACGGCGTGACCGTATATTATGTTACCGTGGAATTATTCAATTTTAATCCCGCGTCACTGTGCTTGCGCGACCGCAAGATCTCCCATGCGCTTGACACACGTCTTTTCCTTTTTCTCCTGTCGCAGGACTCGTTGCTACACGCGCACCGACAGTAGACACGATCACGCAATACCGATATAAATAATTGTCAAAAAATTGTCTTCGACAAAAATAAATAAAAATCATCAAGTTTGTTGAACCTTTATTGATTAAACCTCAGAAAATTTCGTCCAGTGAGAATAAAAATTATGCGTAATTTTGTAGAATTTAATTCTTTCATTATTTCATTTGCATGGTTTAATTTGTTTGTATGATTAAATACTATCTTTAATAATACCGGAGAAGCTTAATAATTTTGGTCAATTCGAGGTGTCGTTATAGTTTCTATTCATTGCGATTTATTACAGTAAAATTCTTTCTTTCGCTTTCAGTCTTTTCCCTTTTCTCCTGTCGCAGGGCTCATTGCCACACGCGCACCGACAGTAGACACGATCACGCAATACCGATATAAATAATTGTCAAAAAATTGCCTTCGACAAAAATAAATAAAAGCCATCAAGTTTGTTGAACCTTTATCGATTAAACCTCAGAAAATTTCGTTCAGTGAGAATAAAAATTATGCGTTATTCTATAGAATTTAATTCTTTTATTATTACATTTGCATGATTTAATTTGTTTGTATGATTAAATACTATCTTTAATAATACCGGAGAAGCTTAATAATTTTGGTCAATTCGAGGTGTCGTTATAGTTTCTATTCATTGCGATTTAGTACAGTAAAATTCTTTCTTTCGCTTTCAGTCTTTTCCCTTTTCTCCTGTCGCAGGACTCATTGCCACATGCGCACCGACAGTAGACACGATCACGCAATACTGATATAAATAATCGTCAAAAAATTGCCTTCGACAAAATAAAATATCAAATGCGACAAAATAAAATATCAAATGATCAAATAAATAAAAGCCATCAAGTTTGTTGAACTTTTATCGATTAAACCTCAGAAAATTTCGTTCAGTGAGAATAAAAATTATGCGTTATTCTATAGAATTTAATTCTTTTATTATTACATTTGCATGATTTAATTTGTTTGTATGATTAAATACTATTTTTAATAATACCGGAGAAGCTTAATAATTTTGGTCAATTCGAGGTGTCGTTATAATTTCTATTCATCGCGATTTACTACAGTAAAATTCTTTATTTCGCTTTCAGTCTTTTCCCTTTTCTCCTGTCGCAGGACTCATTGCCACACGCGCACCGACAGTAGACACGATCACGCAATACCGATATAAATAATCGTCAAAAAATTGTCTTTGACAAAAATAAATAAAAGTCCTCAAGTTTGTCGAACCTTCATCAATTAAACCTCAGAAAATTTCACCCGTTGAGAATAAAAATTATGCGTCATTCTATAGAATTTAATTCTTTTATTATTACATTTGCATGATTTAATTTGTTTGTATGATTAAATACTATCTTTAATAATACCGGAGAAGCTTAATAATTTTGGTCAATTCAAGATGTCGTTATAATTTCTATTCATCGCGATTCACTCAAGTAAAATTCTTTGTTTCGCTTTTAGTCTTTTCTCCTGTCGCAAGACTCGTTGCACCGACAGTAGACACGATCACGCAATACCGATATAAATAATTGTCAAAAAATTGCCTTGGACAAAAATAAATAAAAGCCATCAAGTTTGTTGAACCTTTATCGATTAAACCTCAGAAAATTTCGTCCAGTGAGAATAAAAATTATGCGTAATTTTGTAGAATTTAATTCTTTCATTATTTCATTTGCATGATTTAATTTGTTTGTATGATTAAATACTATCTTTAATAATACCGGAGAAGCTTAATAATTTTGGTCAATTCAAGATGTCGTTATAATTTCTATTCATCGCGATTCACTCAAGTAAAATTCTTTGTTTCGCTTTCAGGAATTCTCGGCTCCTGTCCTGTGATACGGCGAGTGCAAGGAGGAATAGTGAGACATATAACAAAGGATGGTATTCTGCAAACTATATTCTTTTGTAGTCCGGAACGTCAACTCAAAGGTTACAAAGTACTGACTTGCACCAAAGATGGGAATTGGGATCATCCTAGTCCGAAATGCGTGCCTCGCGGTAAGATCCTCGCGGACTGTATTCCATTTTAAGGTCTCTCTCGTCGGAATTAATTAGGAACGTGAAACGCGCGAGTCTAATATCAATCACTTTACGCGATTACGCGTCCCCAGCTCTTTGACGTCCTTTCATCCATGGAACGTACTCATTATGAATAATCGCGTCCCTCTGATGCATATCTCCGTCCAAGTATTTGCATATTGCATCCTCGATAATTGCAACATACGAACAATATCATTAGGGAAAAATATATTTCCTTCTTTAGCAGAAAAGGCATCTCTCTGCTGTTCGATATTTTTTACCATTTAAGCCCATTACTCCCTCGTTATTCTTATCTGGTCGATATAAATTTTATTCGCATCGTACATTCAATTTGCATACGTGCAGGTAAAGTTTCTTCAAACTAGTTTTACGATTCGAATGAAGGAACGGCTTGCACGTATCACGTATCCCATAATGTCCATGGCTACGCGGCATTATACTAATTTGATCGACATAAGTCAATTATTCGCATGAAAGGGACTTAACTCCTCGTCAGCCTGGCTGGCGGCTGCGAAGCCTCGACGCACGTGTTCAATAGAATGACGGACAAATCCGTTTAACACGAGACATCGAGCTGTCGAAATAAAGGGGACTCGTGGCATCAAACTCGCTCTTAACTATAACAGCGAGCGGCGGTTTGCTTACTCAATCGAGACGATCGAGCTTCCGATCGATAGGTGGAGATAATCGGAGGATGACTAAATTCGCTACTTTGTTATTCGATGTCTCGCGATCTTATCGTTGATTTAATCCAAGAAATAAAATCAACTTTAACGTAGATGCTAAACAAAGGTATTAAAAAAACCGATATTTCTTTCTTGACGGTATAATTATTACACACGTAGATATTTAAATATTTAAAAGATATTAAAAGAGGATAAATAAAAAATCGCCCATTTTTTTGCAAAATTAATAAATACTATCTGGACCGTTCGATCGGATTTCGGTATCGCGATATAATCCGAGTTGGAGAATTGGAATTACGTATATTTAAAACCGTGGTCCCACCAACTATATGTCAGAAAGTCTCGAAAGTTTCCAAGAACAATTTACCCGGGACGCCCGTTCTTATGATTTGTGGAAACACGACTTTACTAGAGGATTCAATTTTCACGATGCTCAAGTTATCGGCATATCTTAAGCCGAGAGGGTTGGCTCTGCTCCCGATACCACGGATATATATATAGGGTGTCGCCTATTCTTCGCGCCTCTTCTCAAAATCTTGAAAAATCAATAAACAACTTTTCAATTGAAATAAACAACTTTTTAATTAAAGGAAAATCAAAAATTTAAGAAAAAAATTAATAATAAAGAAAAATTTAAGAAAAATCAATAAACAACTTTTCAATTGAAAAATCAATAAACAACTTTTCAATTGAAATAAACAACTCTTTAATTAAAGGAAAATCAAAAATTTAAGAAAAAAATGAATAGTAAAGAAAAATTTAAGAAAAATCATTAAACAACTTTTTAATTGAAATAAAAAATGAAAAGAGCGAAAGAGAGGAGACAGAAAATATCTCGTTATAGGTTTTTTACCATTGCATTATCAACAACAAATTACAATCTTATCTCGTTTAATATGTATCAAAAATCTCAATAATGTTGTAATATAATACTCGGTTACTTAGATGGACGATTATAATTATGTCTATTGTGAATCTAATCATCTCTATCTCGCTGCCCTATAACATCGTGGACCGGCAAGCCCGACTGGGATTCCGGGGAAAATTCGCGAGGGTGGCATTTCGGAGTTTCAGGAACGCATCTCGTTCCATCGCGCGTGCTATCGGCGGCACGAAATTCGCCGACACGGCATAGCTCGCATTCGCCCCGATGGAGATGAACCGCCAAGTCATATGCGCACACACATACATATATATGTATATATATATATATATATATATTCCGTGGATTTGGTCAGGATGCACGTTGATGATACACTAAAAGAGCCTGCGTTTGTTCAGATGCCTCTGAATTGCTCGCGAGAGATGATGGAAAATGATCGCAGGATCAAAAGTCTCATCGTCAAAATTTTTCGATGCTTGATAAACGAATTGGAAATATTTTTTGTCTCGCGATATTGCGTGTCTCTTGATTAAATAGGTGTAGGACGGTGTAAATTTGTATAGAGACCGCTTTTGACGGATCAACGTGAATCACACGTATTCCATTACTTTGTTCGTCATTCGTTTGATATAGGGACGCGTAAAGGATATTCATTCGACGGCTATCTCATCTCTGTACGATGCACGGTAAAAGTATGCAACGCAAAGAATCATCGTATATATATATATTCGGGGAAATTAATTCTCGCGTCTTTCTTCACTCGCGATTCGCTACTCGAGTATCTCTGGAAACATTTTTGCTCCCGGTGAAATATTCTATTTAAAATCCATTCGCGATGAGCGCGTATGAATGACGAGAATTTAATTAAAATTTCCTTTAATTATAATCAAGCTAGATGAATATTTTATTTATCTGTATAATAAGGGTGCAACATATTATTTCTTTCCCACTTGAATATTTCAATTAATTAATCTCGGCCACGTATTACTAAGCATATATTATATTACATTATTTGACACGAGATGCGACAAGCGATTTAATGATACATTGTATATAGATAGAGAACTCCATTTTCTGGACCCTGATGTGATCGTTTCGGAAGACAGCGAGCTACAAACCACGACGAAACTAAAGACGTCGGCTGAGATACATAAATTAGAAAAACGCAGAATCACGAGGGACAGCAAAAATAAGGAGAGAAGAAGAAAGAAGCCAGCACGCGCGAAATCCTTGTCAAACCTATTTGCAGCGAAGAGGCTAAATGAAACTGCATTGTCTCAATTGGACGAGGTCAGCTGTTTCACAAAGACCCACCGAAAAAAACTCAACGTGCCTTCGATCGAAAACGCATATCTCGTCAAGTTCACCAAGTTGGTAGTCGATTAAGATAATTCCTAGTCCAAAATGAATTTAAAAGATTGATTTTGATAAAGAAGTCGCAAGGGAAATGCCAATTTTTTATTATTTTAATCTGTTATAGCTACTGTATGTTTCTTTCCGCAATTCCTTTCAGAACGATACGTTATTTAAAGATATTCTAATAATAGAATGCATTGTTTTGTAGAAGGAAAAAGCTACTGCCGCCATACAATGAAGATCCTGTTGCGATTTACAAGTGCGAGGACGGTTACGAGTTTATGGATTCGAGGGATAAAATTTTTTGCAAGAACGGCACTTGGAGCAAACGTCGTCCGAAATGCGTGAAAAAAAATCGTAAGTCAAATTGGAAATCTTTTTCATCCCGTACAAATAATCGCATAATACAATAAATAAGAAAACGTATCTTTTCATGCGTCGGCGTAATTTTCCTCATATACGAGAAATCTATTGTTAAAAATATCTATTGTCAAGTGTATGTTTACTGTCTAGAACTGTCGATCGAAAAGGTGAAACGTTGCGATGAGGGAACAGGTGAATGCGAACACGTGTGCGAGGATACTCCAACCGGTATAAAGTGTTCCTGTTTCGATGGCTTTCGAGCTGAAGGATCCTCTTGTATAGGTAATCCATACGCCTTACATAGTGCTCCGCATATGTAGACTTATCGTATTGCATATATCCAACGTTCTCATATTTTTTGAGGGCAAATCAAACTCACGTATCTCGATATTTTCGTCCTGAAATTCGCGTATACCTTTTTTGTATCGACTGCCCGTCCCCATCGATTCGTTTGTATTCGCCATTTCCGATATTCCTTCAACGTCCTATTTTTGCACCGCACATTCACCGTTCTTAAATTTATCCGATCTAGACGTGAGAGAGAATAAAGAGCGGATATTTGGTGAAAATGATTCCTAGCAGATGTACATAATACGACGAGCGCAATTTCAATCGCAAATACATGGATGTCGGCATAAACATCGTCTTAATAATGGAATTATACGTATTGACATGTATCGGATTATTTAAGAGTCGGATGTCGTGCCCGAGATTGAGTTTAAAAGCTGTTATCGGCTCGAACATTTCTCTACGTTTACCGGTTTTCTGCTTTTACTCTATCGGTTGCAATATGCAGTATGTTTGCGAATCATATCGCGTTTGAGCTCGATGATTGCTCGATCAACGCGGCTCCAACGTTATAGCACGCGATCTCCCAGCGTGTATCGATAATACACAATTATTGTTATTAAATTTCGTGCTGCGATAAAATGATGATAAATATCGACCGTAGATGTTTCAAAGGAAACTGTTTATCATTACATTATAATTTTTTAGCGGCAGATACAAATTCGTTGTTCAATTTCATAACTTCATCATTTCATCAGCATTAAAGTTGCATTTAATTGCTCAATCTCCCCAAAAAGAAAGAACGAAAATAATATATATACATCAATCTTGAGAAATTTAATTAATTTAATCATCGCACAGTTATATAAAGCGATTATTGATTGGCCTTTCTTTTCTTCTCGATTCTTTTTTACTAGACATTGACGAGTGTACCGAAGGAATATCGAAATGCAGTGATATCTGTCGCAACGAACCTGGTTCCTACTCCTGCGAGTGTCATCGTGGTTTTCAACTGGGAACCGATGGTCACTCTTGCCAAGGTTAGTCATAAGCAAAGAGAGATTTTTGAAAAAATATTTGCCAATTCTTTCAATTTAAATTTTAATATACGTGCAATTTAATCAAACTTTTTAATCAGTTTCTACCTGTAATTTAATAAAACTTTTTAATCAGTTTAATTTAATTTATCTTTAATTTAATTTAATCTATCTTTTGATTCAACGTTGTGCAAAAGTTGTATTTGACGAATGAAATTGTGTCGATGCCATAATTATTGCACAGATATTAACGAGTGCCTTTCAAACAATGGACACGGACCTTGCCAAGGCAGTTGTCGCAATCTCGTAGGTGATTACGAGTGCAGTTGCGCGGATATTCCTGGATACAAATTAGCCGCTGACAATCACACTTGCGAAGACATTGACGAGTGCGCTCTGAATAATGCAAATTGCTCTCACGTGTGCTTGAACACACCTGGAAGTGTCTTCTGTCTCTGTCCGGATGGCTTTTATCTAACTGACGATTGGAAGACCTGCCAAGGTACGCAAAAATATCTTCCGTGTCACTTTCTATCGATTTTTTATAATTATTTTATAATCATTTCAACTAATTTAAATCTTATAATTAAGTAATTTTTTGAAGGTTTAATTACCGCACTTTCTATCGATTTTTTATAACTATTTTATAATTATTTCAACTATTTTAAATCTTATAAATAATTTTTTTAAGGTTTAATTACGTTTCACGAATTCAATTAAATTTCTCTTCGTCAAATTTAAATAGCTATCTAAAATTTAATGACATGATTATTTGAAATCTTTCTCGTTTCATCAAAATTTCATTGAGATTCTAAAAATGAACATTTATAAGGCTTGAATTATCTGTTTTATACAGACATTGATGAATGCAAAACGACGTCAAAGATTTGTGCAGAAGACACCGAGTGCGAGAATACAGTGGGATCGTACAAATGCATAAGTAAAGTACATTCAAACATGGTAACAAAGATCCTTCGAGAAGGAGATTACGGTAACGAGAGCAAGGACGACAACGAGGACGACAGTGACAACGATAATGATTACGAAGAAGAGATTACTGAAGTTGAGCAGAATCCGCACAAGTGCGAGGACGGCTTCGAGAGGAACGAAAATTTCGAGTGCGTGGGTAAGTGTTGGTGCCCGATAACCTGAAACTTTTGGAGACGGGAGATTTCATCGTCTCCCGTACGCGAGTTAATTGAATTTACGAATTATCTCTCACTCGACATTCTCCTTCTCCTTCTCAGATGTAAACGAGTGCGTGGAGAATGAATCGCACGACTGTCAACACGAGTGCGTGAACGAGCCGGGCAGTTACCGGTGCACCTGTCGCGATGGTTACAAACTCGCAGAGGATGGTGGAACGTGCGAGGACGTGGACGAGTGCGCAAACAAGTCTGGACACACGTGTTCCCACATTTGCCGCAATACCATCGGCGCGTACACGTGCGAGTGTCCTTCGGGATTCGTCCTGGTGGACAACGCGACCTGCGTGGAACAGAGGACCTGCGCCAACCACAACCTTTGCTCTCTTGCGAATACTTGCGAGGATACCGAGGACGGACCGCGATGCGTCTGTCCAATCGGACATCAGTTGTTGGATGATCGAGCGACTTGCGCGGACGTTAACGAGTGCCTCGAAAAGAAGCACGATTGTTCGCACGAGTGCGTTAATATTCCCGGTAGTTATAAGTGCGCTTGTCCGCGAGATATGAAGCTTCTCGAGGACGGCCTCGCATGTGAATATGCGTGTTCTCGAGGACTTAGACGAGACGATGACGACGACGAGTGCCGAGATATCGACGAGTGTCTCGAAGGTGATCACGAGTGTTCGCATTTATGCCTCAACGAGTACGCATCCTATCGTTGCTCGTGTCCTTTCGGGTGGACCTTGGAGGACGATGGTCTCACCTGCGAGAAGATCAATCCCTGCATCGACTCTTTGTGCTCGCACTTATGCATCACGACAGGTTCCGGTTATAGATGCGAATGTCTCGCGGGTTACTTTTTGGACGAGGACGGCAGCACATGTAAAGATAAGGACGAATGCGAGGACGAGACGGCGAATGCCTGCAGTCACGATTGTAAGAATCTCGAGGGATCTTACACGTGTTCCTGTCCGACAGGATTCGACCTTGGAGAGGATAATCGTACATGTATTGCCATCGTCCAGGACGAGTGTACTCAGGATAATAACAATTGCACCTGTCCTGCGGGATATTCGTATTCGCATAAAGAGCACATTTGCAAGGATATCGACGAGTGCCAGAACGAGCGAGAACACAAGTGTTCTCATGCCTGTATTAATACTAACGGTTCCTACTTTTGCGAATGTCCTTTCGGTTGGCGTCTGCAGGAAGACTCTAGGACCTGCCAGCAACTGTCGGACGATCCTTGCGTCCAGGATCACGGTTGCTCACACACGTGCGAGCAAAACGACGGACGGATTCGTTGCGGCTGTCCGGAAGGATACGAGCTGCAGGACGACGAGAAGACTTGCCGAGACGTGGACGAATGTTCCGATGGATCTCACGCGTGCAGTCACGCTTGCGTTAATATCGAAGGAGCTTATCGTTGCGAGTGTCCTTCAGGATTTCAACTAACTAACGATCGCAAAAATTGCCAGGATATCGATGAGTGTTCCTTCGAGGACACCGGCTGCTCGCACGGATGCTTGAACACGAACGGCGCTTTCAATTGCACCTGTCCCGAGGGATACGAGCTGCAGGACGACGGGAGGACTTGCGAGGACATCAACGAGTGTATCCGGAATAATGGAGGGTGTTCGCACCTGTGCGCGAACACGGAAGGTAGCGTCGAATGCGCGTGTCCCGACAACTACAAGTTGTTGAAGGACGACGGTAAAACGTGCGTCGAGATAAACGCGTGTTCGATCGACAACGGAGGGTGCTCGCACTTCTGTCGTCACGAGAACGGTCTGGGATCCTGCTCGTGTCCACCCGGAATGATCTTGTCCGAGGACAACGCGACATGCACGTATGAGAACGAGTGTCTGAATGAGAATAACGGTGGTTGTTCCCATCTGTGCTATTACGAGGATGGAAACGTCACTTGCGCCTGTCCCTCTGGTATGTCCTTGGCGGAGGATCGGAAGCTTTGCATACGAGAAGACGGATGCAAGATCGATAACGGCGGTTGTTCTCATTTATGCCACGATAACGACGGCAACGTGACATGTTCGTGTCCCGCGGAAATGTTCCTGTCGCAGAACGATGATACTGTCTGCGTCCACAAAAATCGATGTCTAATTGAGAATGGCGGATGCTCGAACGTCTGCGTCTTCGAAGAGGACTCGATCATCTGCAAGTGTCCCGACGGTTATCGTCTGTCATCGCAGGACAACGCGACCTGCGTGGACATTGATGAATGTCTGGAACTGCGAGACAATTGTACCCATCAATGTCTGAACACTCCCGGCGCTTTCAACTGCACCTGCAACGTCGGTTTCACGCAGAGCCCTCAGGATCCAACTCTCTGCGACGACATCAACGAATGCGAGAAGGAGAACGCGGGATGTTCACATTCGTGCGCGAATCTCGTAGGTTCCTTCCAGTGTTCGTGTCCAGCGGAATATATTCTCGAGCGAAATAATAAAACTTGCGTTTTAATGGACGGCTGCAGGCGCGACAACGGCAATTGTTCTCACTACTGTCATCAGGAGGAGGATCCCGACAAAGCTGCAATCTCGAGCGTCAGTTGTTCTTGCCCGCTCGGTTTCCGCCTGAAACGTGATCTGAAAACCTGCGAAGATATCGACGAATGCGAGGAGTTTGAGAACGACGTGGAATCGGGTTGCTCTCACACATGCGTGAACACCGAGGGCAGTTATCGTTGCGAATGTCCCCCCGGTTATGCCCCGATGCCGAACGACAGGAAGAAGTGCGCGGACGTGGACGAATGTTTAACCGATCGTCACAATTGCACCCACGAATGCATCAACCTGCTGAGCGATTACATGTGCGTCTGTCGCAGGGGATATTACTTGCACACCGATGGATACACCTGTCTGGACATCGACGAGTGTCAGGAACGAAACGGCGAGTGTTCCCATGTCTGCACCAACACTATTGGCGGCCACTTCTGCTCCTGTCCGACAGGCTACGAGTTGTCCCAGGACGAGAAAACCTGTGTCGACGTCGACGAATGCGCGAGCAATAACGGTGGTTGTGATGATAAGACATGCGTCAACACCATGGGATCTTTTCGCTGCGAATGTTTGCCAGGTCACGTACCGCGGAACGGATCCTGTCGACCGTCCGATCCTTGTCAGGACGAGGTTAACGGCGGCTGCGAACAGATTTGCGTCGCGGTGAACGGCACCGCGATGTGTTTGTGCGAGGAAGGTTTTCAAAAGGGTGGGATCGATGGTTCCGAGTGTCACGACATCGACGAATGCGAGGGACAGCACGATTGTGATCATATTTGCGTCAACAAACCTGGCTCTTACGAGTGCAGATGTAAGGAAGGATTTCGGATGATAAATTCTACTTGCGTCGGTGAGTGAGACACAGAAAACTTTTATTACATTTAATTCTATTAAATTCAATTTCTATTAAATTATATTAAATTAAATTTCGATTAAATTTAATTTTATTAAATTAAATTTCGATTAAATTTAATTCTATTAAATTTAAGGATGTTTTGTATGTACAATCCCAGCAAAAAGTAGCGGAAAATCAATATTGACGAATAGCTACAGAGATGTATTTTTTAATATTTATTGCGTTTTTACTGAAATATTCCAAATTTTGTTAATCGAAATGATTAATTTTTGGCAGAGAATTTCGCCTTGTGTCAGATACATGGCTAATTTCATTGAATTATATTTAATATCTTTTTGACCAGTCAGTACTTGTATAATATTATTTGACCAAATATTTCATTCCGATTATTTCCATGTGTTTTTGTTATTTGAATCGACGTGATTATACGTTTCCCATAAGAACACATGTTAATTGGGTGCAAATTAAAATCCTTATAACTTGTGAACGCTTTAATGAATCGATTTAAAAATTACTGAATATTTTAAACATATGTAAAGACATTCTGTAAAATGTTCATTAAATTCTCAATATTTTGAAAATAGGTACAAAACATCCTTAAAATATATCTTTAAAATTAGCTATTTAAAATTAATTAATATTACGTGTAATTTTCATCGAATAGATTTTTACTTTTTCAACGAGTTTCCTAGCAAGATATTTGTGAGAGAAGAGTCGCGTGGAAAATAATATGAAAAAAAGAGAATTGTAATGTCTTTAATTAATTTCTGCAATTTATATTTATAATTTACCGTTTCAATTAATTTTACTAGCCTTAAAATTCTCGAAAAAAAAAGAATGTATAATATCATCACCTTTGAAAAATACGACTATAAGGGATAACACGCGACTCTTTACTACACGATTTCGTTGTGCGTTCCACTTTCGAAGCTCGCTACAAAGTTAGACTCGCTTAGCTCGGTTGAAGTTTTCACGAAGCGATATGTGTGTACGTGCATGTGTGTGATGTGTATGCTTTTTTAGACGTCGACGAATGCGCGGCTGGTATCTGCAAGGGCAACAAATGCACCAACATACCGGGCGGTTATCGTTGCGAGTGCGAGACGGGGTATCGATTCCACAACGATACTTGTGTAGGTTCGTGCGGAAAGGTTTTTCTGAGAAAAAAAAACGACATCGCTTAATCGTACTGAACTGAGTTTACTTTTTGCACAGACATCGACGAATGCATCGAAAGAGCTCCTTGCAGCGAGAAATGCGTCAATACACCCGGTTCGTATTATTGCACGTGCCCTCTCGGATATCAATTGCAAGGGAACGAATGCGTAGGCAAGTTATAAGGCATTGTAAAATATGAATGGTATTATCTATAAAGGGATACGTATATATCGAGCCAATCCATAAACTTTATATATAATTTCACGATAACATTTTTGTAAAATTCTTAAAATTACTTATGGATCATCTTGATAATGTAGCCTTTCAAAATTCCATTTTGCATATAATTGTACAAGATTGAATTTGAAAATTTAAAATATTAGATATCGACGAATGCGAGTGGCACCATGACGGATGCGATCAAGAGTGCATTAATACCATGGGATCTTTTATTTGCGCTTGTCGTTCTGGATACACGTTAATTTCAAGGTAAGGTCTAAGCACGAATATTACTACAACGATAAACTACAGATTAAAATCTTTTTCTGATAAATTTCTCATTTCTATGGACTTGCATAAACAGAAAGCAATGTCAAGATGTGAACGAATGTCTAAACCAAAATGGCGGCTGCACCGGTGAGTGCATCAACACCGCCGGAAGTTACTACTGCACTTGCGATGTGGATTTAGTGTTGGCACCCGATGGGAAAACTTGCGTCTCGCCGACATCGGGATGTCAGTCCATGGAACCACCTTTACACGGAGAGGTGTGAATTAACGCGTGTAGACCGTAAACTCCATTAACAAACCCGAGCGAATTAAAAAATAAAAAGATATGTTTCAACTATATCTTAAAATATATTTTTTTTATTTTTTTATGTATTTATTCAATTTCAATAAATCTCTCTTTGTTACCAACTGGTTTTCCAAATTTAAATTATAAATATATAGCTTTAAATATTTATAAATATTTGTATCTAGCTGTAAATATTTATAAATATATAGCTTTGAATATATTTATAAATATTTATATATAGCTTTGAATATATTTATAAATATTTATATATAGCTTTGAATATATTTATAAATATTTATATATAGCTGTAAATATTTGGTAAATATATAGCTTTATAAAAAGCATGAAAAAGGGGATTGTGGAATTTAAAATTGCTAAGAGAACGATATATATCGGATAAAAATTATATATCTGAAGTATTCTTAAATCTTCTAAAATAAAATTAGCTCTCGAAATTGTATTATCCAACCGGTATTCTTTAAACTCGAACAGATTAGATGTCCCGGTCACTCTTCCGGCGCATCCGTCTACCCTCAGGGTGCCAAGTGTCACGTTCGATGTCGCGGAGGATTCCGATTAGAAGGGGCGCACACGAGACAGTGTGTTAGCAATGGCCGATGGAACGGGAAGGAGCCTATCTGTCTGCGCGAAGTTGCGACAGACTCCCTTTACAATCCAAGTAACTTGGTCTCCCTTAGTTCTACCGTTACCGAGAAAAAACCTGCAGGCGTCGCTCGTTCGCGTCGTAACTTTGCGCGAAATTTTTATCGAGATGTTCACTCGATAAAATTTTTAACAAGCTGACTGTTGCGTTAAGAGGTGATACTTTAATGCGGATCGTTACTCCCGCTTTATCGTTGTTCTGAAATTATCTAAGATTTATCTTCGAAACAAGCGAGATTGAACTAAGATGCGCCTGCAACATTTTTCCCGGGTCATTTGTTCGAGAAAGAAAACGTTAGCGGAATAACGCGAGCAGGGCGCGTTTACGTACTTTCGATTGATTTTCTCTTAAGGTTGTTCTTTCCGATAAATGCACGAAGGAAAGCATGTTCGAGGCCCGATCGAGCGTAAAATATCGCCGATCCGGAGAGTAATTTAACGGCGAAAATTCTCGGACGCGTTAAATTAGTCATGCTCCACTCAGAAACAGCTTTTAATATTACAAAGTTCCTGTGTAGGGGCTGCCTGCTAACGAGATCATACGTTAACGCCGCCCCTTAACGAGCTTACTCCGGGTCGGCGGCTTTTTACGTCCCGCTCTTTCTCTCCCGTTCCTTCCGTCCGCTTCGCCCGCTTTTTCATCCCCTCGCACATTTTCGCGGTTCTTCTTCGCGGCGCTAATTGTTTCGTTTAATGGAAAGGAGATTTTGATTCTATCCTTCTACCGTGCCGTTTCAGCTTTTTGCGGATATGCAGCCCTCGCTAATGTGCGGAAATCAACCTTTGAAATGAAGTATTTAAATCGGCTGCATCTAAAGCTCTTTCCTTTATTTCTTTTTTTTTGTGTCAAACGACGTTACGCGTTTACGATGGCTTTACATGCATGTAATAATTTCGTCAAGTTTTATCGAATATAAAATGCCTCGGGAAAATTCACAAATTTGATTTAGTCGCTCGATGTTTTAATAGAGAGAAAAATAAGGTCAGCTTCAAATCGATCGAAAAATCGTCCATGTGAAAAAAAAAACTAAAGGGACCCTGTATATTTAACACTATTGTTGCATTATCGTATACGACGTAAAACGAGAGAAAATATAATAAGGTTTGCACACGCGATGGGATATTTTCCGGCGCGTTAAAGTAACGCCTCTTGCGAGAGCGCAACGCGATGGCGTGGGAAATAGGCGCCAATGTAATTACGATATGGGAATCGGGCTATCGGTATCGGAAACTTAACAGCACAATCGACTATATCACCGTAGACACGCCACGACCGTTCGTGAGCTGCCCCCAGGATATGGACGTCGAACTGCCGGCTCGGCAAAACACTATACGAGTAACTTTCCCGCAACCAAAGTCCAACATGAACTGGTGGAGGTAAGAAATATATATAATTATACGTAACTATAGTGATATTACACGGAGTGTATAATTATACGTAACCATATAATGGAGCAAAGTTCAAATGAAATCTGAACAAACTTGTACTGAACAGCTTGCACGATTCGCTTGAAATATCACTATTTCAACGATTATTTATAATGTTTTTTTATAATGTTTTTTTTTATTTTATAATGTTCCTTATCCGATTCCGTTTAATTCGAATATACGTTTATTCGATGTAGTTTGTGTAAATCTGGAAAATAAATGCATATTTAATATTCCCTTCGTGTAAGTAGCTTTCCGCTTCTCGATTTAATGCAAGCAAGATGATGTTACTTAAATATCAACGACGTAAGTGTATACACTTAGCTAGTTACGTATACGCTGGGGCCTCTCATTTCCTTTTTTCCCTCTTTAGATACGTACACGCCTCACCCCCATGGGCGAAGCAATTGCAAGCGGATCTGCCGGCGGGGACGACGGTCGTTACCTTTACGGCGTGGTCGCCGGTCTCTAATTACACCAGCACCTGTAGAATTGTGATAAGAGTACGCGGTAAGTCTCGCGTATAAAAGGAAACAGGAATAAAATCCGCTCGAGATCTCTCGCAAGCTCCTTTTTCTTATGCCAGGTATCGTTACGGCGATAGCGGTGGCATTTATAAGTAAACGAGCGGACAACCGGATAGCGATAAAATATCCAGCAATTATGTCGTTATCGAAAAGCAAAATTCTATTAAAATATACAAACGAGGAGAAAATTATATGTAATACGATCTAATTTGATTCGGAGAACGCGCGATTCTAAAATATTTCTTTCAAAAGTTAAAATAGATGAAAATACAGAGAGGAATGAAATTTGTAAAGTCAATCTTTGATTTCGTAGATTTATTAATTCAGGACCTCGAGAAACGTGTTCTCTTTTATCGATGCCTTTTTTCCCCGTAAATTCGTCCATTTTTTCCCCCAAGAGGAGAAACTTGTCGCACCGGTGGGAGGGGGAGGGGACCACAATTGATCAGGGAACGGGAATCAGCTGGCACTCGTCGAATCGGTTCGACGCCGTAAACTTTAGTTTCCGCGGCAAAGTGCACTCCCGTCTCGTCCCGCTTAATTACTCATTCGGAAAGTTGGTGAAACTCGCTTTAAGCAAGTTCCTTCCGCAACGCAGCGGCTGGAAGAAGGAGCACCGGGCGCATCGTCGTAGTCGATATGCGATTACGCAGAATAAACTCGCGTCGATCGGACAAACTCGCGGAAATTACGCGGTAGCTTCGAAACTCTTAATGGCTAAATAACCGCTTTACGTTCCTACGTCCGAATGTTTTCGCTTTTAATCGATTACCAGTTTTATTCCGCGTGATTCCAGCTTCCCTTTGCATCTTTGAGAATTTCCCCCCCCCCCCTACTTTTCACCTCCATTTCCAATTTAATATCTACCTCAAGCACACAAATCAAGTCGCTTCTATTTAAAGACCAGACTTTTGTCAGAAGCTGCCATTTAAATCTCCAAGTGGGAAAACTGTTCGTTTACTATTTGAGGTACAAAGTAGGAACTCAATTCCTATGTAAATTAAACCCATCGAGATCTTCTAGAGTCTATAAAATGTGAGAGAAATGAGGTTGAAAATAGGGACAAAATTTCGATTCGGATTTCTATGCGAAATTAAAGGTAATGATGCTTGAGGAGAAGGTTCCGTTATCCGGAAACGCGCTGTGATATTTTTTCAGATGCGGATAATCCTAAGGTTACAATGTGCCCCACGTCCTTCGAAGTCAGATTGAGTCCGGGAGAGCGAAATCGTCTGATATTCTGGCAAGAACCGACGTTCACCGACAACGTTGGAGTGGAACACGTTTATAAAACGAGGGTACGTGAGCGCGTATTCAAATTTTATATCATTATCTATCTTTGAATATATATCTATCTTTGAATTTGCTCAATTTTTCGTAATTCGCAAATTTTTTACTTTCCCGATCGCGTCGCCGTCGATCTTGCAGTTAATTAAAAGTTTGCCGTCGACAATGGAGCGTATTAATATCGAGAACAAAGGTACCGTCCATTAATTATCCGCTCATGTTTCGAGACTCGCGAGAGGACTACTACGCGACGCGGCGATAGATGCTATCTGCGATTTTCTTCGCGAGCGTATCTTTGTAGGAAAAACTACGGGGCCGGACGATTAATCATTGTCGGGCCAACGCTCCTCCCGTCTTCCTTTTACCTTTCTGGCGTTTTTCCGTGAAAACGGTTGTACGTGTACTTTATTAACGTAATAACAGGGATTACCCTGTCTGTGCGCGATAACCAGCGCGCACGGATAATTGGTGGCTTTGCGTTCCCTCGATAGCGCGAGTTATAAATGGTCCTGGACATTATGCAACCTGTGACGGTTAATCTGATTAGGCAAATTGAAACGAGAGTCGCGCGAGTAAGTAGCTTCGCTAATCGTATGGGAAAAAAAAAAGAAAATATTGAGATTCATTTTCGGGACGCGGAGGCAAGATTGGTATACCTGTGTACCTTTCGTTTATAGCCGAAAGATATTTTCCTGAAAGGAAATTCACATGCAATCGCGCGAAAAGTTAATTATCGTAAAAGTTAACAACTCGCATAGGGTCCAGGACACGTGATGTATCCCGGAGTTCACAGCGTGCGCTACGTCGCCTCGGATGCAGCCGGAAATCGAGCCGAATGCCATTTCTCGATACACGTGAGAGGTAAATTTACGCTATTGTGCCCTTCCTCTATTCCGCCAAAAAGGTCACACGTTCTCAATTTTACGCTGCCTCAATTTTTTTATAAAAAAATATCAATTGTATACTAAGAAAAAATCTGATTGTATTAATTAGAAATCTGGTAGATTCAAGTATGTCTGTTGAAAAATCAGACGAATCAGAATTCCTTTAGGAATTGCCAGATGAATATGATTAATTTTTTATAATTAATTTAAAATTTTTTATAATTAATTTAAAATTTAAAATTTAATTTAAAATTTATTAATTTAATTTCTTCTTGTTAAACTTACCAAATTTTCGGAAAAAGAATATTCTTGTTTTGAAAATATATTTAGTTTTAAGATGGAAATCTTGAAATGAGATTATATTGCGTTAATTAAAGAAAAACATAATTACTTGAATAATTGCTTGCTTGAATGAAGCCATTTTATATAGTTCAATCGAGAAAAATATATTCGTATGATTTAAAATTTAATTTTTTGAATGGAAAGCAAACAATGTTAAATATAAAGTAACATTTTTAAATCAAAGATTATAATTTTCTTAAAGTAGAATTAAATAATTATACGAATGTAAAAATACGGTATTTTTGAGATAACAATTACAATATTGAAATAAGATTATAATATTATTGAAATTTAAAATTATTAAATTCTTCTAAGAAGATTATAAATTATTGCGTATATACGAAACAATGAACGCGTTAGTTTAAGTATATAAGTTTTGATTTGACACTCATCTTTTTTCTGTGTACTAAATTTACAAAGAAAATGGCATCGCTATGTCCACGTTTAATTAATATAACAAGAAATTTTATAGATCCACCTAGAAAATATTAACCAAATTCTCCTAGTAAAGTCTATTAAACGTTCTAAAAAATCGAGTCTTGATAATTATTCTTGTTGATACAAATCAAACGATTTTTCTCAGTGCACATCATCCCATTTTTTCCTTTATAAATACGTAATTATTGAACGAAGCAAACGATTGATCGAACATTTCATTCTTGCAGAGTCCGAGGAGAATCATAATTCCGAGGTGAGTATAAAACATTTTTATCCGATCTCTCGTTTCTCCGCTGAAAAAATATTTACATCTTTTACATATTAATAAATTTATATACGCACGCGCGAGTGCGGCGAGATAAGCTGACGGCTAAACCGAAATGGCTTTTTCCTAACGAAAATATCGAGGCATCAATATCCTTTATGATGGCGAGCGTTTAAAGCGGAACGATATTGTCGCGCGCCAGTCTCGGCCGAAAGAGCCCTTTCAAGGATATAGTCGTAGATTAAAGCGCGAGAGAAATTCATGTGCGAGACGGGACTCAATGCACTTATCTCCTCGTTTAGCCGAGATTCTACAGAAGAAAGATGCTGATGTGTCCCGGCAGGCCGCCCCAGCCCGTGCCGAGTTCCTCTTACGGCGTAAGTAGACGAAGGAGGTTTTTCATGATTACGAAAGAGGGGGGGAGGGTGGATGAAAATTCCGGCTATCCTAATACCCGATTTGCAGTGGCAAATACCGAGCGGTTGTTACCTGAGGTATACCAGAATCTTCTCGGGAGCTTATCAACGGCATCCGGAACGTTGGCGGAACAGTTATCAGGATGCTGGTGCTTCTTATCGTCGACTTCCGCCCATCCAGATCCAGAGTCGCCGAGACGTTGCTTTACCGTACAACAACAATTGTAAGTTGTAATCCGAATAACGTTTCTTTTATTCAAGAAAATGTACTTATTAATGCAGGTAAAGTTTAAATAATGCAATGTCCTCCGGGGAGAGAAAGAATAATAGCTTTTCTAGCTAGCTAAGAGACGACAAAGAATTTTTTCAAAAATGAAATATAAAATATATGTAAATTATAAAAATGCGATTTGAGAAAATTCGATTTTTTTAAATCATAACAGCTGCGCACACATGTAAAAATAAATAAATATGTATATAAATAATAATATATAATGCATAATAATATATAAAAAAATAATAGTATGCATAATAATATCAAAAAATATGTGTAAAATATATAAAAATGTATATAATAATAATAATAAATAATGTATACATAAAAAATATTGATACTTGTATAAATATACTTGTATAAATATATAAAAATATCAAACGAAAATATAATAAAAATCGATAATTTGCCGAGCGTTTTAATCAGCAATTCGAATGCAGTTACGAGAGAAGAGAATCGCAAAAAGAAAAGACGCGGCGTAATCGAGAGCGATCGTATCAGCGATCGTTCGATTATAAAAGACACTGCTGTTGACAGCAGCCCGTGGCTTCGATGGCCCGAATTTACAGCCCGCGATCTAAAGGCGATCTAAAGGTGAAACGTGAAACGCGAACGATAGGAGAAGGATTTGCAATACGACGACGTGATCGAAAAGCAAGCGATCGGAATGTTGGACGTGCTGGCGCCGGGGAAGCTCGTCTTAACCCTGCAATCGACACCACCCTTCGTCGTCGAAAGTGCCCTTGCTTTAGCCCTGACGATCTTGTTAGCGGCACCGCTCTTCGTGCGCGTTTACTTTCTGCTCGTACGTGATAAATTATCTCGCTCGAATGTCTATAGACAGCCGAGCACGACGCTTTTGAAGCGAAACACGAGTATCGGTATTGGAATACCGTATGAATATAAAATGGTGTAATATTTTTATTTCTCTCGATGCATCCCCCTCCCCCTTGGCCGGCAAAAGCCAAGAGAGCATTCGCACCGTTTTTATTCATACGCGATACGGCGACGCGCGTTGCCGACGTGCCACTATCTCGCGAAATGTTCGGGAACGTGTTTTAAAATGGGTGGATATCGATAACTCGCACACCCTCGCGCTTCCGCGGGGGTGTTTGAGCGGAAGCACTGCTGGACTGTAAATTTTCCAATTTCTTTCTCGGCGAAACCGCGATATAACACTGTTTGTAACACAATAGCGGCACCACGGTACCGCGATTCCATTCAAGGTGATATACAGATCGAGTAGCTATAGCGGCGGCGTGTATTATTAAGTTGGAAACGAGGAAATTTCCTCGACAAGATGTACGTCTCTCTTATAGAAGCGTATGCGCAATTGCGAGGAAGATTCTAAAGCGAGATTAAAGTGGTAGTTTGTCGAAAAACTTGTTCCCTTTTCATAGCTTTTAATTCTGAAACGTTCGCTATTATTGTTACGTACAGGAACCACTAAAATCCTTCGATGGGAAGACTCTCTGGTCCCCTCGTCGTCGTCGTCGCCATCGCAATCGTGTCGCTCGATCGTTAGTGATGCATTATCCGGCTCGGATCGCGACCGATTCCACTTCGAGTTCCAGTCTGCAGCTGGAATCGACGCGCAAGATGAATTCCACGTCGGTTTTACAGAGCAGCGACGGTACGTCAAAGATTTCGAGTCGAATCGAGGGACAGATCGGAGATCGTGAATCGAAGAAACGCTCGTCGTTGAATCGGATGTTTCGCCCTTCGTTCTTGGCGAAGCATCCGATAATTGACATATCGAGCCTCGATTATAAAACCTATCGTCACGAGCTCGTCGAAGCTGCCCTGAAGAAGCGGTACGATGACTCTCAACCGCCCGGCGACGTCGTCTTGAATTCGCTGCACCTTAATCCGGCCGATTCGGTGATTGGAGTGCGACTGAACGATCGATACGATCACAGCCTTTTCGATTTTGTCGAGGAATATTACGACACCGCCGAGGCAACGAGGAACGTCGAACGTCTTCATCCGATGGATCATTTTTTAAGTAAAGGCGCATCGAGACCGAGGACCATCGAGAAGGAAACGGAAACGATTCCCGATAAGAGTCCCGAATATCGACCTCGCGCTCGCGAAGACGACAGGAATTATTTCCCAGAGAACGATAATAGCAATTTTGCACAATTGCCCGGTATGGATAATAACGGGAACCCGTACGTTACCCGTTCGCTATCGCGAAGCATTTCGGAAGATAACATCTCCACGATCGCCAGGAGCGATTTAAATTCAAAATTATCGAGAAAAGAGACGATCCCGCCGCGATCGCGTGAACGCGCCGACAAAGCGAGGCTTGGAAGTAGCATGGAAGGCAACAACTCTCCGCGATTTGCCGATCCTAACACGAGGAAGGAGTCCTCGGGGATGAAGGACCGACCGGCGAGTGCCGGAAACGCCACGTTGCCACCGAAGGGCTGCGCGTTATCTCGAGCTGTCACTTTACCGGTGAGGCAGAAAAGAGCGACGGAATCCCCGAGGCCCGAGACGGGCCGCTGGCGCGACTCTAAGGAAAACCCGGAAGATTATCCCACGGGGTTTTCATCGCCGAACAAACATCACGCGCAAGCGGGAAGATCGAATCTTCTCTCGGCGAGCTCGAGCGAGGTTGCCAGTCTCTGCAGCGATTCCAGTAGCAAGCGGCGATGCGACAAAATGTCGCATCGCTCGCGCGAGTCATCGATCAGCCCTCGAAGCTGCGCCTCCTCGCGTCCTCCTTGGCTGTCGACGAATTTCCGCGGCACCTCCTTCAACAGGAAATACGGTAATATTACGAAGGATCCCGCGAAATACACGAGACCGGCGACGTCGACGCGCGAAAGCGGCTTGTCGCGGAGACCTGTCGTTTCAAGCCGGCAGGATCGTTCGAGGGAATCCGACGCGAGCCGTAATTCGGGCTCGCTCAGGCGAAGAGCGGCGAGTTTCATCGCGTCGCGGGAAAGGGAATTTACCGGCGCGTCGATCGAGAAACGTCGGGAACATCTTACGACGTCGCCGCGATGTCAACGGGACAAATTGAGGGATGTCGGAAGCGCCGCGCGAGCGGAAAGTAACGAGCGAGAGCGAACTTTGAAGACTCCCGACTCCACCGGGGAGGGAATATCCGCGATTACTCGCGACAACGTCGCGTCGTCTTTATTGTCGGGGGCTCGGACGCGAGTTTATCCAACGTCCCGAGTCGCCGTCGCTTCCGCCCCCGCCCCCGCCCCCGCGGGCGTCGCGGCTTCGCCAACTCGGGCGACAATGGAGCCGAGATTAACGAGTCGACGCGACGAGGGGGCGAGAAAGGAGCGGGGGAGCGCGTTGCCGGGATGCTCCGAGTCGCCGAGCGTTGCGCGAGACGAGTGGAAGAGGTCGGCAAAATTAAATCGCGGCGGAAGGCGACGCTTAAGAAGCGCGGAGAATCCATCCAAAGGCGCATCGCTGAGCCCAAAGATTGAATTATCCGCCGAGGTGTTAAACCCCGCCGACGATACCGGTAAATCCGCGATCCCCGATGGCGGGAAGCTCGCGGAGCAAGTTATAACCCGGATCGATCCTCGAGGGAATTTAAAGACGGCGGGTGAAAGCGCTGAAACTCGACTAGTCTCGAATATCGAAGCGGTCACGAAGGATGGAAGATCTGGTAACGTTAACGACGCCGTTCGGTCAAAAGTTCCGAAAATTATGCGGAATCTGCCAGCCGACGCGCTCACAGACGCCAACAATCTCCCCAAGAGCGACAGATCCGGTGTTTCTACCTCGCATCCGGCAGGAAGAGATGCAAATTCCGAGGCGAAAAGCGGATTAAACGGCGCGAAATTGAATAGTCGATCGAACGACACGGTCGACAAAATGAAGGGCGACGGATCTGCGATTTCCAAGGGATCGTGGGTCCTGCGCGAAAGCGGCACCGTCGATGACGAAGCGGAAACGCGCGAGCGGGACATTGCAGGGAGGATCAATCCGGATGAAGAATTGCAACTTCCGCGACGCGATTCGAAAATGGATCTCGTGATGAATTCGGGCTTGAAGAGATATATCGAGATAGTGAAACAGACCCTCCAGAATGATGACATTGATAACAATAAGGAGGACGTCGTATCGCTGGCGTCTCTGAGTCTTTCCGACGCCATTTTGTCGGAACAGAAAACGTCCCTGTCACCAGAGGAGACTCAAGAGTTACAAAATGTATTGAATAGGATTGAAAAGAATCCCGAATTATTGCACAAACAATCATTTCCGAATATGCGGAACACGGTGTAAAAAAATATGACATGTATATTATATTTTGTCGACAGTATTTATGTCGTATTTTCGAATGCAATTATTATAAGCTTTGTTTCATAAAACGGTTTGCAGTTTGTTAGGCACTAAACCAAGCGTAACGAGTTTCGTATGGTAAGTAACGAAATTCGTTTAAATTGATAGTAGGAATAATTAAAACAAAATACAAAGAGCGAAATAATTGGCGAGCAAACAAATAGAATCGTGATCGATGTTTACATTTCCTCCGGCATTATTATCTTTAAATCGTATGTATATTGCACTACCAAATATTATATTATGTATACCGTACAGAGAATAATAATATCAGATTGGTTTCCGATATAAAGCAAAATTTAAATTCATTAAATATTTATTAATCATATGATAAAAAATTAATATTTTCGCATCCGCGTGAAAAACACTCTTACGTAATTCGATTTTTCTACTAAATATTTTTTCGATATTGCGATAAATTATTACTGTTTCAATTTATAATAGCAATACTAGGAAAATTGGGGTAATCTATTTCTTACTTATTCGTATTATTTTGAACCAAGTATATAAACTCAATCATCATTCAATAGCACAATTTACAACGAGAGCCAACATCTGCGATGTAACAATGAACCGACGTGGCTAAAGTGCTGCTGGCGAACCGCAAAGTAGTTAATGAACGCCTGAAATAGCCGTCTCTCTCTCTTTCTCTCTTTCTCTTTCTCTCTTCGCTCGGCATGATTTACATACGCAGGACGGTTCGCAACGCATTCTCTTAAGCGAGTTAGCGCCACCGCTTATTAATGAGACACAAAAAGAAAAGGGGACAACGACAATGTACAGACTGAAAATGTTTTCCGGAATGATGACAGACACTTGCCGAAGATAAAACCAGATTGCCCCGTCATTGTAGTGATTGGATAGTATTGATTGGAAAACGGAGCTTGTTCCATTGTATTTGTACAGAGCGCACATTTTTCAATTTATTTGTCGAATCTCTACAAGTGGAAAAAAAATATTTGTCACTTGCAAACCAAGTTCTATACGTGTATTAATCACAAATTTGATATTAGAAGAACCGCTATTAACGACGTTGTCGAAAGCTGCATGGATCATCGCTGTAATGTACTTTCATCCCCTTCGGTACCCTTTGATGCATCGGGCTTTCGATGTACCTAATCAATCTTAGTAATCTGACGTGGATTGACTTCACATGATTAACGACGGCATTTGGACAGTTTTTGTTTGCCACTTAAACTCCCTTGTTCACCCGCCGCCCTTTTCACAACGACTCCAAAAGCATCTAGAGATGAGCGTTTCTTAGCGCCGATTATTTGACCTATTTACTCGAAGACTATTTACATTTAGTTGAGACGTTATTCCAATCAGCTGACTAGAATGACAATCCAGGTTCTCGATGCGCATTATATAAATTCACACTAAAAATGACATTTAAATAATTTATAGTTTTATATAATTACGCATATTCATTCTTCTTCCGAATTGGAAACGTTAATTTTATTTTGCACTCTGATCTAGAAGTGAAAAAACTTGAGAGAAAATTCAATTTACCTTATATCCCTTGTATTACGTATAAATAATGTTTCAGTAATTGTGTTTGTGAAGGAAATGAATGCGAGAAGGTTCCTTTTCCCTTTCTCCGCTCTTAAAACAATATTCTCAACGATTCTCTCACACCTCTCTCATTTGTAAGGCGATAGTCGATAACGGGAGAATATGTTCTCAGATCGACACTCCAGGAGACAGCATCACCCCTGGCAAGCACGGGAGCAGCAGCTGTTGCGCCGGCAATATTGGCAACGCGCTACGAGGACCGATCACGTAGTTTCGCCACCGACTCATTACGGCTCGGGCCGCGTCGAGACGAGAATATTGCCGCCGCCGCGGCATGAATGTTGCACGTAAGGGCCACATGAACGACGTGTAATAAGCGAACACGTAAGTTAACTCGGCGCTCGTGTAAAGGAAAATTCTATCGCGTAAATCGCGCCGCGGGAACATCTGCGGAAAATCTTGCCTCGCGCTCGTCGGAGCGCCTGTATTCGCGCTGCTGGAAATTGATCAACGCCGAAAACAGCGATGATTAAAGATGAAAAAAAAAATGCTTGGCGTAATTACGTATGTAGAACCTAGCTTTACAAGCGATTTTTAAATATATTTTCCTTTTATTCTTCACTTTTCGACGTTTTCTCTTCGCGCGATCCTTCGATAAGAAAAGAATCCATTTTAATATTTTATAAAATTTTCTGAAATAATTATTTACGCGTAGCTAATTGAATTCTGGAGGTATCCAGTGATATAAATTGTCATATAATCAACAAGATTAGATATACATAAAATAAGATTGCGCGGGAACCGAAGCAGGCGCATCGATAAATGACATCAACTCGTAGAACCGTAGTTTCTTTTTTTTTTATACTGTAGCAATATCTACAATATGATCGCATCTACCGTGACAATTTTATGCAGCCTGGCGACTTTTTGTAATATACAAACGCACGCACACATGTATATGTATGTATACACCACGTATATATTTGATACATAAATTTTTGTACATCTATAATAATATCGTACGATGACAATCGATCGTTTTTCGATAACAATGATATGCGAGTGACGTAGAGGAGAGTATTAATAAATAGTAAAATCTATCTGTGCCTTATCTACGCTATCGCAGACTCCGGAAAGAGGAAAGTTTACGTCGCACCCGCGGGGATAAACTTGACGTCGGAACCAGAGACGCGAATTTTTTGTTAAGACTCCATCTTGTTGTCCATCTTGTTTCGAGGAGAGGAATCGATCGCTGAGTCAATTAGTTTCCCGCGAACCTATTAAACGTATTAATCATCTTTATTCGCTTTGTAGCGCAAAATTACACTCGATGCGAGCTGAGCTTGTTTACGGGTAGCTTGACTCTCTTCCTGACTCAGCCCTTTGCGTTACCCTACCTCGCCACGAAACCATTGCGCGGTTAGAGACCGCGATTGTTAAACACGCCGCTTGTTCTTGCAACTTTATTATTAATTGATCGGTGACGCAAGAGCGAGCATTATTGATACACGTAAATGAATATTAATAAGTTGCGTAAAACCGCAAAAACACGTTCTTGTCGTTCATGTTTACTTGTCAGTTTCAGATACAACAACAGCGAACATATGAGAAGAACCGCTGTAACTGACGCGCTGTAAATGTTAAGAAAATGATGTTTTTATCTAAATATTATATATTGCGATATGAAGGATGTTGTAATTAAATGGCGGTTAATTATTCTTCGCGCCAACAGACTTATTGCGTACTTGGAGATTATTTTTCACGTTTCCTGCAAACTCGCGAGAATTGCCTTAAGAATTTTTTTATCCATTATTTCTTTTTTAATGTAATATAGGTCGAAGGAAAAGACGACGATTTTTTTCCAACGATATACGGGAAATACGCGAACTAAAAGACGAATGGAAAAAGACTGGCACGTAATTAAAAAAATTATAGAAAAGCAATTGTTAATTGGTAATTGCATCTTGAGAAAATCAACAGAACTTCAATCAGTCCTGTTACGTAAAGAAACATGTGACATTATTTATCGAGAGAATAAAATATTATATTAATATTCAAGATATTATTACACTGCTTATTTAATATCGCGTGTATATCAATTGATAAGATACTCAATAATTTTGAAACCGGTAGTACATACATATATTATACGTATATATATGACGCATTCGCATCTTTCCGCGTCAGTATTATATCGTTGCTTAATGTCGCGTCAGTTCGCTCGCGTGTGACTTTGACAGAGACACAGCGCTGATCCTGTCTATTATGTAACCTGTCAGCCGGTGTATTCGATGAGAATCTTATTAGTGGGAAAAGGCCACAGCCTCGTTAATTATCGCGGAATATTTGGAGAATGTTACATCATATGAGTTCGCAATTCTCGCAGGTGATGACATAACGCGCTGTTAATTTCCGTTTAACGTAAAGCGGGACTCGATAACGCGAATTTCGCATTTACGTTACATTTCGCGGTACTACTATCTACCGGAGAGAGTGCAACCATCTGCGGTTGCGATAAAAATTATATTACAAGGTAAAATTATATTGCGCAGAGGAGGAGCGAGGGCACGAATTTCGCAAAAATCGAACCGCAAAATCAGACGTTTAATTTTATTCGCTCTGGAAAGGTCTTCGACGCTTTTAAATGTCTTTTTTTTTTCTTAAGAAGCAAAGTGTGCGTTTCCTATCTTCTCCTCTATGCAAACTATTTGCGTTATCGTTACGTTACGCTATCAAAAGTGGCAGTCGATAAGACTATCGAGAGCAAACTCGTCAGACATACTTCCATCCTGCTCTAAGAACTTTATCACCTCGCGCGAATGTCGAGGAAAGGGTAAAGGGGAGTTGCGCGTGTGGAAGGAGGGAGATATCCGCACTTTGTCTCTTTTCTTCACGTGTAACCTGCCGGACAAAACGGAATCCATTACGGGGCCTACGTAAGGAGACGTAGTCCCGCAGGCATTTCCATTTATATTACCTTATCGTTATTCTTCCGCGTTGCTTCTCTCTTGCCCTCTCTGCTCGTTCGCTCTCTCTCTCTCTCTCTTTCTCTCTTTCTCTCCTCTTCTCTCCCTCTCCCCGTCGCGTCCCTGATCCTCGATCCTGTCTCTCCAGCCGCTTATTCCCGACGAAGGACCACGGTGAAGACGCACTTGCTCGACCAACCAGCCTCGTCACTCGCCTCGTACTCGATCCTGTGGCCGCCGACGTCGAAGAGACGACCCGGGTTCTGTGCAAAAAAAATATCGTCGCCGATAAATCGCGGTGAGACGCGCTAAAACGATAAGAAAGGAGGAAATCCCGCGCGTGAAAATTCGCGGTGAAATTTACACGAAAATTTCGGCGCGCGTCAAGATCCCGCTTCCAAGGATTTAATCGTCGAAATTCGCATCTCTCGCGGTAGAAAATTATGCTTAACTAATTTCGCGGAGCTCACGAACGAATCCACTTTGAGCGAGAATCCGGACTCGCTCGCTCCCTCTTTTCGTATTTTGCGGTCCAAAAATTTACATAATTCATCAGACAAACCCACGGTTTCGGATTCATGAATGACGGGGACCGAGCTATAAAATTTGAGTAATAATTGACGTACGTTAACAAATAAGCTAATTAAAGCGGCCAACAATATACGCTTATACGACATCCCCTCGTTAATTTTCAGATTGAAGCTAATTAATCAGTGATTCGATGCGTCGTAAAAGAAATTGTAATTGCACGTACACTATCGTGCGATTATACGCTCTGCGTATTAAAGGGATTCGTATGTGTGAATTCATTTTTATCCCGCTCATATTTGTGCGGAAAATTTTCGCACATTTATAAAATGGCAATCTCTCGACGTTACGTCAGATAATATCACCTCGATAATGGGTGATTTCCACGCTTGTAAAATTATTAATGATTACTGAAAATGGAGAAAATCGCTTTTCATCCAATTGCAATTGGGGCGATTATTAAACACGCGTAATGCGATGCATATCGCTGGAATACATATCGAATATACATATCGAATGGATTTTTATAATGTCATGCATAAACATTGATACACTTGGTTATCGAGATATCATCCAATTGTTGTTCATAATGTTACGCCGACGATATTAGAGACAAAAATCATAATTGCATAATTGCGATTATGACAATTATATAAACGCCAATTAATACAAGTACAGGGGGAATAATTGTAATCATTCGTGCATAATTAATGGCATCGGGAAAAATCTAGTTTCAACGACACAAAAACGAAAGCTATAATTTCCGATTTCGCGATCGACGGAAATTTTTACAGATATCCCATCTTACCTCATTATTACTGAGCCGCGTCACCTTGACGTTATCCGTGAAGCTCGGCTCCGTCCACGTGATCGCAGTTCCATTTTTCCCGACGACTTCAATGTCCCCCGGACAATCTTTGACTTTCGGTGCCTCGCCGGCTAGAGTTCGGAGATTAGCAAATTGAAGTAACAGCTGATCCGCCGCGCTCGTTTCCCCGTCGTGTTCGCGAGGAAATTGCGAGCCGTAAGAAAAGTCGTCGAAACGCAGGCGGCGTGTGAGAAAGTTCGATTTCCGCATCGTCGTCGAATGATGAATCGGCGAACGCGAGATTGTACAAGTGCGGACTGCGCGTGTATGCGAGCGAAATTCAAATTTTCTCGCGCATCACGTATATGTAATGTGACATCGGTAAAAGGAAAATGGAAAAACAAATTTCTCTCACACGCGCCGTACCTTTACATCTCCGGACGAACGAACGGACTCCGAATGGAAAAATTATGTTTTCATAATCTTGCGAGAGAGAACGGCGGAAAAGGTGCGCTTTGATCTTTCTGTATCGTGCACTCATCGGTCTAGAAAAGCCGCTTATTCATGCGCCAAGTCCGCTGCTCGTTATGTGCGAGAAAGAAATAGCGATTCATCCTGCGTACAGACTTGTCCGCGAAATCAGGTCATTCCTTGGAGGAAAGTGGGTTCAAATGTCAGCAATGAAGCTAGAGCACGCATCAAATTAGTTTCGTCGACTTATTTTTAGACACAAATAAGAGCTCTGTGCTCTTGTACAAGATTCGCTGAATGTATTCTCAAACGCTCGATTGAAAAAGCTCGCATGCCAACATGTTAAATCGTTTAAAGGAACCTTTTAGGAAAATAAAGTGAACAGTAAGAGAGAGAGAGCTGTTCCTTTTACCTCGCAATCTTATATATTTTTGAAATATTATAGAAATATTCTTGAAACGTCAAACGACATTTAAGATTCTTCCATATCTTTTTAATTCCCATACGGACAAAGTAAAATAATGTATAACGAAGAGAAAGACGGGTAACGTTAAGTTTTTAGCTTAACAAGTATCGAGGTAATAATTTATCTCAACGAGCAAGTTTAGTCAGAATTGTGTAAGGATTTAAGTCGCATGCGATACAACGAGTACTGGCGCAATGTATTTCGCTCACGTCTCGCTAGGATGCGCATTAAGGGGTGGACGGGGGACTCCTGATGCAGGAGACGTAATATTCTTAAGGTGCATTTTAAAGGACGCCGGCATCAACAGACGACGCGAAGGAAAACTTTTGTTGCACACCCGGAAGACGACCCAACAATTCGCCAAACTTGCGCGATACGTATGTATTTTCTCGCCTCTTTTCCGACGCGAACGCGCAAAGTGTAATTGCTCGCTCTCACGGCAACTATCCTTCCGCGAAAATTCAGAATCTCGTGCATCGAGAAACGTAAACAAAGGGGAAATATTTCAATCTCACGCTGTTAATCATCGTGAAACTGCAGAGTTCACGGCTGCTATAAATGATGTACAGCGCTCTCCATTCAGTTGCAGTTTATTTAACGTGTGTTCTCCTTCACGATGGGATTAGCCGACCTATGTGTTATCCTCTATCCCCATCCGTTATTAATCAAGATTTGCAAGGTTCAAGAGACGTTTATCCGATACCTTCTGCAAAGTGCAATCTCTATAATCCGGATTAATTAATGTAGGGGGGGTACGTGGATTAACCGAGAAGTATAAGCGATCTCCTCGAGTATGATTTCGTTTTTAGGGAGCTGACGTTTACGCGTGTAATTTAAATATTTTACACGACATTTGCGAGTATCTTTTTTTTGTTTTGCAGCGGAGATTGAAAATTATTAACGAATTTGCATTACGAGAAAAATGCGCTCCATATTTCGCGTCGTTGAACGAGAATTCAGATAATCGGATATGAATTAATTTTGAAAAATATACATGTATATACATATATATTGTGCCGCGATGCGAGGTGATGGGTGGCGTGCGCGTCCCGATACCGTACAAATTAATAATCGCCATTTCTCGCTCGTTACAGAGAACTGTCATTATCGCGAGCGCTCGAACAACGAGGAATCATCATCGTTATCGCGTTTGTACGTAATACGTCGTTAACACGCAAATTAATTACCTTTGACGATAATGCGTAACGCGCAGCTAGCCTGCTTCTTCGATACCGGGTGTCGCGCGAAGAACGTAATCTCGTGCACTCCGGGCTTCAGGCTGGCCTCGAGACGCGTCCCCCAGGATGGCCTCGATCGCACGTATCGAAACCAATCGAGATCTGTCGCCGGTTGATCGAAGGTCACAAACGCCTCGTCCCTCCCGGGCGGCAATTCGGCCACGACATCCCTCGGACACTCCAATCGAGGCTTGCTATATCCTGTCGCAAGGAACGTGCGAGATATTCTTTCCTTTCGATATCGTCGTCAATTTTTCTCACGCGACACTATGAAAAAGCGAACCACTCTCTCTTCGTGTCTTCCGTTAAAATATAAAAGAACAGATTTTCCAATTTGAAGGGAACCTTTTTTTTTTTTAAAAAATTCTTTATACTTTACCGGAAATTTATGCATCTGAATCCGCGTATAAAAGTGTGTCAGATCCAGATATCGATGTAGCTTTTAAACAAGATCGAGAAAAGAAAAGAAAGAAGCAAACCGAGCTATTTTTCTCGTCGAAATCTCACGACGAAACATCTTTTATAGAAAATATTCCATACTCACGAATGCATCTTCCTTTCTCCGATCCATCCCAAGTGCCGTCGGAGCGACAGGTCAACTCGTATTCACCGCGAAGCTGATACCCACGGGGACACTTTAGGAAGCATCTCGTGCCGGGTCGATTGGGTACTTTTCGCCGGTCGCGCCATAACTTGGACGTGGCTAATCGGGAACATATTAAATAACCACGACCGACCGGATTTAACAGTGGGCACGCGATGCTATTTATGTCTGGAACGGATGGGAAAACAAAATTACAATTTGTGCGTCATATAATTTAATCATCCAACGGAAGTAATCAAGATAATATTATTTTGGAAAAAATCACCATTTTTCTTAAGAGATGAATTTTAAATATGATATAGGTAATGACATCTTTAAAAATGTAGCTTTATTATGTTTACAAAATAAAAAATAACATATTCAATCTTTAAATCGAAAACCGAAAGAGGCATCGAAAATTGTAAAATCCTCTTATCAAATTGGCATTGAATAATTTAATGGCAAATGTGCAATTAAATTATTCACACCAAATATTGATATGTTGAAAGTTTAATTCGCAATGTATTTAATAGAATGGCAGAATAAAAAAGATAGTGTTTTCTTTTTCAAAATAATATTACCTTAATCTCAATAATATAGAAAATAATGTCATCATAATTAAACCGTGAATATTTAATGGCTGTTTATCGGCAAGAGATTCACTCATACATCGTTCTTTTGTGGTAAATGCATCTGACTTGAACCGACAGCGTGCATTAATGCGAACCCAACATTCACGTCTGGCTCATAAACCGCGCAGATTTCGCACGTAATCTATGTACGTGCAGCAGAATCCTCGACATCGACGCAATACTATGTGTCAGCTGCCGCATCAGCCGCTTCTACATATCAAATACGATATGTACATGAGGCAAGGAATTACAAATACCAATGCGGCAGCGAGGGAGGAACCTATCCTAGGTGCTGAAGTCGCTCCTGCGTGACAGCTTTGCATAATGCCATCCTCGTGGATACATCGCGACTAACGGGTGCCGATACTCGTTCCAAAAACGCCCCTCGAAATTTATAAAGTTACATAATTGAATGTTAAAAAGTTGCCACGAAAGAACGACGTTGAATTGAAACTCGTCGGATGGGGAAGGAGGGGAGTTAAATTGAAATTGGTCGAACTTACGAAGGAAAAGGGCGACGGACGACGAAATACCCTATACATCGAACACATATACGTATGTACACGTACACACGCGTGTTGAATTATACAACGGCATGTTTTGCGCGAGCATGAACGGAGCATGGAAAGTGATTTATCAAAGGAACACGTACCTACGCAGGATTTTCCATCGGATGACAGGGCTTTTTCATCCCCGTCGCAAGCACAGAAGAAGCTACCGTCTGTATTCTCGCACACTTCCGTGCATCCACCGTTATCAACCGCGCATTCGTTGATATCTAAAAATAGAGAGTCCAATGAGAGTTACATTTTCGTCATGACGAGCCTTATTAAAGTATTGAAAATTACATTAAAAATCATATCAATTATCATGCGTCAATTATCCGGAAAGATACATCATCTTCATTAAACGCATCATTATTACTGTTGTATTTCATATTTTGTATTTAATCATTCCTCTCATTTTAAAGTCGATCACACGTTGCGCGTATACTTTACTATAAGTAATTTATAGACGCGAATTTAATCTAGATCCGATGCAATCACGCCTTCTTATACAAGCGTCGCGACAGTCTCTTAACAGATCAGATCAATCGTTTTCGCTACATCAAGCTTAAGTGTTATATACAAGGCTTCTTTCATTCGCGCCGTAATGACTTCTTCACCAGCGATCTCGCTCTTCTTTGGCCCTCGATCTGTCTTTCAATCGTCGGCGAGATTACGCTAAATTGACCGAAGTGGCCGAGTCGCTATTGCCTCGAGCACTCTCAATGATAGCCGAGAGCACTCGACTTTCGCTGCTTTCACGACGTATAAATCTGCGCGGAAATATACAGGGTGGGCCATACAATCCTAAAGATTTTAATTACAGCAACGGAATTAATTTAAAATTAATTTTTTCCCATTGATAATGGATTAAAGTTAAAATTGAGATTTTTTGGGGCACTTTGTGTAGGCGGTCCGCAAATTAATTTACTATCAAACAAAATTCTTTGCAACAATAACGCGTAGCTGTCATTTATTATTATTCGTTAAAATTTGTATTCGCATTTTTCCCGCACATTTTGCGTCGCTTTCGTAAATGTTTTAATGTGAATTTTAATGTGAATTTTCATTTAACATGAATTCCCTCGTGAAAATGGGAAAGTGTATACATATAGACAGAGTTTATTTGCTTATTTGAGAGGAATATTACTACCGCGAAAATTTCTTGTAGCGAGAAAATCTTGCTCACGAGAGTAAGAAGAGAATTTTTTTCTTTCATCGTCGCTCCAGTTCCCCCCCGAAATCCACACTCGGTACACTCGCTCCTTTAGCCGCCACCTTGGCCGTTCTTTTCAAGTTTTCCAGAGATTGTAAGATCATCGCGATAGTCCACTTTTTCCTGGGGCAAAATGCGTGAGTCTTTGCAGGCGAAATTAGAATTTTTCTTTGATGCGAGAAAATAGCGGAGATTTTTTTCATAAACGCGACATTTCGTAGAATCATTCGAGCGCATGTTTCCCATTTCTTTTTATCTTCTCTCCATTTCAAGAAAATATTCTTAAACTTCTGACCTTTTAAGAAGAACTTGGTATCTTATCGATGATGCGCGCGTTAAGTTTATGGTAAATTTTACGCGCTGCTCGCCCCCCATAGTTGCGGATTTTGATATTTTATACACACGTGTCCGCAACAACATCTCCGCTTCAATGCGACCGGATAATGCGGATCATCATAGAATGCAGTCCACGTAAAATTCCCTCGCTATTTAACGACCGAGGTTGCGAGAAAAAAGGAGACGGAAATGGATTGAATTTCCGTGGAATAAGATTCGCAGACGTGCGAACGTGAACGCCACTGTAACGTTGTATCAACCGGGCTGTAATGTTCTTGTCGGTATTCACGACCGCGTCAATTGTAATTGACGGATTTACGCCCCGCGAAATTGGATTGCCAGTTACGAGTTTCAATGTATGTCGGCGGCGTGAGTTATATATATCGAAAGGGAGGCTGAGCGACGTCTCTTTTTTTTTAATTTTTAACGTGATAATAACTATAAAATGCGTAAAAAATGTGTATAAAATACGAAAAAAATGTGTTTAAAAAATTTCGATTACAAATTCTAAAATTGGAAATTTAAAAATACGTTCAATTTCGACGTCCGTTCGTTTAAAAAGCGATATAATAATCGCTCAAAATTATAGAGTCTACAAAATTAAATCTAATAATTAAATCTAATTATTATAAGAGTCTACAATCATAAACGTTTACAGACATGTACAAAAATTTCGTTACTACTTGTTTTATAATACATTATACCCGCAAAGAGAAAGAGAGGAAAAAAAAAGAGGGGAAAAAAATCACAAAAGCATTCCCTGTATAAAATGCCGATAAAAGCACTGCGTTTTTCCGATCGCGTTTGCGCGCGTCTCGCAAAACGGATTGCGGCGGGACTGCATTTGTGCAAACGGCGAGGAGCTGCTTCGGGATATTTGAAAGTATTGAGGGAGAAACTCGCACGGGACTCCCTAAGAAGGTTACTCTCTCGAGGAATGCACGATTGGCAAAAGAGAGAGAGAATGGGTCCGTCTCTGTTTTTCTTTAAGAAGGGAGCCGGTAGTAATATAGGTATCGTCCTTGCGGGGCCGTGAGATTACGATTCTTCGGTACTTTGCTCCTCGCCACGGAGAGAAGGGACGCGAGGCAACTCGGATTTCCTCAAGGAAATACTAAAGCCGCTGCGCACTTTCGTCCGGAATCGAGGGAATCGTACGAGAGAATCGTCCGAGAGATGTTTGCGATCGAAGAAACTTAAATGGCGCGGATGTTGGTGCGAGCTTCGCCCGAGAAGAGCTCCGAGAGAGTTCGCAGAGTGCTTTTACGAAGTGAAGAGTAAAAAAATATATGGAGTACGAAAGACACGCGCGATAATAAAAAAAAGTTGAAAAATTACGCAGCGTATACGTGGATTACAAATCATTGTAAGAGTTGAGAGTATATATGATGCGAGCTTATATACGAGAGAAAAAAAGGAAGAGATATATCGCGACATAAGAATTTATATTAGCTTAACTTGACTTAAGCAGCCGTGCCAAAAATTTATGTGGATCCATCCGTGCGCTCTCATTCGAGTATGGTATATCCGCGTCGCCCAATGATAAATTCAAGGATGTAGTCTCGCGTAAAACTAGCGGGAGAAATCTCATTCAAACTTTGACATATTTCTAATAACAGCTTTTAACGAGAACCGGATACGCAAACGAGTTTGAAATTATTGCTCAAGTTATATCACCGTTATTGATGTATTATTAACGACGGGGAAATTATTTTTTAATCTTTTCGATTAACTATCTCAAACATAATAAATTATCGACACGGAAACTTTTTATATTCCAGCGACGAGGAAATTGAAATTTTTTTTTTTCCATTATCCGACTCACCGATGCACGTTCCATAGGAAGTCTGTTCGTAACCCGGCAGGCAAGTGATGGACAGCCTGTCCAAAACTGGCTGATCCTTTAGCTCCATAGGTTGCGCGCATCGATAGGAACCCGGGGTATTGATGCATCCGTAGCGACAGAACTCCGTCTGAAGATCCGGCACCGAGCATTCGTCCACATCTACGGCAAGTGATTGTCATTTGTCAAAAACGCATCCCGATACTTCTTCGCTGTAAAAATATCCCGCCGAGTAAAATCCCGCGAATATTTGCACGCGAAATTTCGACTAAGTGCATCGCAGAGCGTCGATATGACATCGAGATTTATTTTCGTTTCGTTTCGCGTAAGCGTAAAATGCCCGTTGTATAAATCGCATCCGGTCATCGCTCCGAGAAATGCCGTCGAAATTAAATTATTCTTAGAAAGAACTAATAGCTTTGAGATATTTTACGAGAAAGAGAGTTTTAAGTTAATAAGCGAAATTCTTGGAAAATCGATCGCGTCTAATTAAGTTACCCGCCTTGACAAGTCTTCCAGTCATCCTCGAGGATGAAACCGTCGGGACAGAGACAGAATACCCGACCCATCGTGGATAAACACGTGTGAGAGCATCCGGCATTGTTGACGCTGCACGGACCCGTGTGCTTGTCACGCTCGCACGTGTGATTGTCGGCGGCCAGCGATGCGTCCCGTAAACCCTCGCAGGAACATTTGTATCCTCCCACGAGATTTCGACAGGTGTCCTGGCAGGGGCCGTGCCCGTTGTTCAGCAAACATTCGTTGATGTCTACGCAATAAATAACAAGTAATATTTATTCCGCCAGCGAACGATGATTTTTTTATTCCGCACAAGGGTGAGTTTAACGTGTAGATACTTTGCAGAGATATTTAAGTAATGTAAATCTCGTGCACATATTTTACACGATAAGGATGAATTAAACAAGATATAAAGAGTCAAATTAAAATTCTATGTTAAAATTAAAGCGCGAAAATTACAAGCGTCCAAAACTGAAGTGGAATAAAAATGTTATATAAATTTCGTGTAAATTGCGCGAACGCGCAATAAAAATTTGCAGAAAAAATCCGCGTTAATATTAATTACACGCTCGCGATAAAAACGCGAGCTCACCGATGCATTTGTGACCGTCCACCAATCTGAATCCCTCGTAGCAGGAGCAGACGGGACGGCCGTTAATTTCGTTGCAATCGTGTTCGCAGAATGCCTCGGCGCATATCCCGTCCGGGTTTTGCTTGATCTCGCACTTTGGCACCTGTCCGAGCCACTGACGACTCCTGCAGACTAATCGGCTCGTGGAAGATACCATACGGTAGCCTGGCACACACTCGTAATCAGCTTCCAAATACTCGTGCCCCGGGGTCGAGGACCTTTATAATTATGATGAAAACAAGCAAACGGTTATTTTTACGGTAAAATTCCATTTTATGTAAATTTTGCATTAACGGCAAATGGACACAAAGATAAATGTATTTTTCGATCCTTTCGCATTGCGAAAGAGGAGTTTTATCGTCGAGATTTTGGAGTAAATCCCCGATTAAATTCTTCCATCGTTATTATTTAAATAATTAAATAAAGCGTATCAAACTAGTTTCTTATTATTTTATAATTTTTCAAATAAAAAAGTATAGAAAATAGAATTGAAAATGCCCGCGGAATCTGATTACTGAAATCAGAACGCGTAGAACACATTTCTGGAGCATCACGTATATAGTTCACCTTGCGACCGTGTAAATCGTTGATGCCAAGATTATCCCGTGCATTGAATTACGGATGCTAGAAGATAAAGGGAAGGAGGAGCACTTACTTTACATATTTGATCAGAGCGTGGCGCGATAGAGGCGCCGGCAGGAACGTCCCATTTATGCAAGATAAGTCCCCGTTGGTGCTGTCGTCCTGCATCGTGCTTGTGACTTCCGTGCCTGTTTCTTCGCCGCTCTCGTCCGAATTAATTATCGGCTTTCTCGGCGGATGAGGACCGGAGGTGCGAGGAATCGGCGGCGGTGGCTCGCGCGACAACGACGCCGGTTTCAGCCTCATGTAAGCGTTATAGTCCTTCAACGTCCTCTCCAGCACCTCATTCTCCAGATCCAGGATCGGTAGATCCTCCTTGGTCCTCGAATAGCCCAGCATCTTCTCGGCGTCGTAACGCGAGCTCCCGAAATCAATTTTGCCGTCCGTCGAAGCGTCCTCGTCCATGCTTTTCTCATCGACTTCCCTCGAATCGCCATTTCGTCCGGTCGATTTCTTCGGAGAATTATCGAAGATACCATCGTCGAGAGTCGACGGATCCTTGGACGCAGACTTGGAAATCTCCATCTCGAGCTGTTTGGAGAATTCCCTCTCCACCGTGTCAGCTACGTAAACGCTACGACGAGGCGTCGTTCTTGTTAGCCTCTTGGTCACCTTAAGCGTCGAATGACGCTGGAGACTCGACGACGTTGTAGCACCATCGACAACTTCCGTCAACGAGGTCAAACGATCGGCGGTGACGGTCGACGAGTTTTCGGTGGAGCGTTTGATCTCGTCGATCCCTTCGAGCCTCGACGAACGACCCTCGACGTCCTGTCGCTTGTCATTTTGTCGCGAGCTCTTTCCGCCACCTCTATTACGTCCCTTCCTGTCCTTCTTTTTCCGTCTTCGTCGCTCCGCGCGGGATTTTCGCGCTTCTCGACTCCTCGACCTTGACTTTGAGGAAGGATCATTTCTCTTGCGCGACGACTGATCCCGTCTGTCTGATATCTCGTTCTCGCGACTATCCTCGGTAATGTCGTGTGCGCGATCCTCGACACCGGAAGTCTTACTTCTGCGGCGTTTCTTGCGCGTTCGATTTCCAAAATTGCCCTCTTGTTGCTTGTTCAAGCTTGCTGTCGGGAATAGAACAAAAGCAGATGACCAATAAAAACGTATTGTCACAGCTAAAACGATAAATTGGCCTGAGCGCGTATAACAAACGGTTATAACCGAAATTGGCGGAATTTTTCCCGTTTAAATTTATTCTATTTCTCTCTGTTTAAACATGTGGAATATACGACGGTCTGTCTGAATAACACGTGTATTTACGTAAAGAGAAAACATTTTTGGAATAACACTCGGAGACACACAATCGTTTAGAAGTCATACATCATTCGAAACATGTTTTCGTTTAGTCGCCAATTTTTTTATCCCCGCGATACACGCTTTTCGTGATTAAAAAGTCGCGATTTTACTCACTGACATTTACGTTTCGCCGAAGAAGCGGAATTTTCGCACCATTTTCCGACCAAAGAGGATGCTTGTTGCCTTCATCGCCGCGGGTTCCCGCCCTCGCTTCCATCTCCATCGCCCCCGGCTCCTTGATAATACCTCGCGACGAAAGCATCCTTCTGTTTTTCTCGAGTACCTCCATTCCCTCGGAAGATGCGTCCCGGCTAATAAATAACAATAAACTCTAAACATCTTTGTTCTCGCGAGAAATAAGAGATCTAAAAGAGGTGCTGCTAATCCGCTAAATAAAATGATCGAAAGCACAAAGAGAATCGCGCTCAAGTAATTGAAGCGTTTCGAGATACATTTTAATTGCTTAAAAAATTTGTTTTCTCAGGGACAAAGTGTTTAGAAATTTCCATAGAGAGGTTCTTGCTAACAACCGTAGTTCAACATTACAGTCAAAGGGCGATACAAATCCAATAACAATAAACTGCAAAGTGCGTATAAATAATTTCAGCAATAATCGAATTCCTTCTCGCGGGCATTATGTAATTATTGATCAGTCCAATGTATGTTACTTTGATGATACTATTACCGTAAACCTTTGATCCTATAATTACAGGAGAGCTATAATTACAGGATGTAACTCTATTAAAGATATTCCGTGACGTCTCCGTTCGATCAAAGCGTGCGCGAACTGAGAGAGATCCAGCGGATCCTCTCCGTAAAGAATCTCGCTTCTCGAGCTGGGTTTTCTTCATCGTATTACATTCGGAAGGAAAAGTCCAGCGAGAAGTGGTAGATTTTACGACCGAGGAGACCTCAGGCTACATCGATATACTTTACCTATACTGCTGATGGGTTTGCAGGGTGCGCGACTCGTCGCCGGAAAGATCCGATCTCCTCCTGTCCCCGGATGTACCGCGTGCCTCGGCATTTTGGCAGAGTCCTGTAAACGAGCGGATTTGACCTTAAGCCGATCGGCCGAGGCGGAGCAAGCGATACGAGCACGAGGGGTGAGAATACGGGCGCGATGAGGGTCGAGGGAGGGGGGGGCGCGAAGGGGGAGGGACTCTTCCCGTAACTGCATCTCCGCGGGCGTTGCAGGCAGCGAGGCGAAAATGCGGAAGTTCTATTGTGAAGTTTGCCGGAGTCGTGCACTTGGCCGCGAGTGGGGTCGGGAAACTTCGACTGTTACTACAATGAAACTCCGCCACGCGGAACTACGGAAGTCATCGGTCCCCGGCCGTCATTTCGCTTCGTCGCGCGAGGCGTTCGTCGCCGATATGGAAATTCTTTAATGCGCCAAGACGGCGATAAAATCGAGTCGAGATGAGAGGGGGACGAGGGAGAAAAGGAAACGGAAAAGTACGGTCTCGCGGCGGCAGGAGGGAATAAAAGATTTCTAAAGGAACGAGCGAGAGATGCCTTAATTTTTCGAGGGGGGGATGTTCTTCCGATGACTAGTTAAAAATCTTTTAAATTTTCAGCATCATTTATACGGAGGATCCTTCGCGGATAAAGGAACGCGCTTTTCTTTCTTCTAGAATACAATTTTTTTTTAATGGACTTGCAATTCTTTTTTCATATTCTCTCATGCAGCAAATGAATCTCGCTAACGAGGAGATGCCTGTCGGATGCCCGGAAAAGTTTTGTGGATTATACTCGAAACTTTCGCGAAGGATCTCAATTCGCAGAAGAAGCGAAACTGGGTGCATTTTCCTCCGCCGTTTCGGCGAAGAAAGCTCGGCGAGAAAAGCATCTTCAATTAATCTAGATGATATCAAGTAGCAATTGGTATATAATCCAGCGATAATCGATTTTCTCTTCATTGTTGCCGCTTTATGCGAAACTGTTAAGGAACACGAGACGGCCGAGTATTCGCGCAAGAAGCTAAAGATATTTTAAGAAGAGAGAAATTACATATCTCTCACAAAATAATTCACTCGTAAGCACTTTGTTTTTGAATATGTATGTTTAAATATTTATTTAAACGTGTTTTAATTTATTTAAAAAAATAATTATTAATATTTATTATAAAATTAATTATTAATTTATGTATTTAAAAGAATATTAATTTTTTAAATCTTTCTCTTTAATATTAATATTTAAGATTAATGCATTTAATTTCAATGTTTAATAATTCATTATAGTGTTATTTAAAATGTAAAATATATATAAAGTGTACATATAAATAAACAAACCTAACGATAACTTATTTTTTATATTTGTAGTGTATTTTAGCGTTCGCTTTTTAGCGTGTAACATAACTATTGCTTTGAAGAAGCCTTATTTATTATCGATTGTCTTTTCTGCGCCGCGGTTTACCGGAAATATAAAAGAATAGAATGTGTGCGACAGAAACACAACGGAAGAAAGGGAGAGAGAGAGAAGAAAACTGGCAGAAGCAATTAAAGCGAGCAACTAAGCTTTGCCGTAGGCAGCGGAGAGTAATTCGTTCGTTTCTCCATCGTAATAGCTCTGGCCAAACAGAGAGAGTGGGAATCCTGTCGCAAAAGTTTAATTAAATTCAATCAGCGGTAAACGATGTCCGTATAATATTCAATTGACGATAAACCGCACTCCGCGTTTTGACTTTACCTTGTCGGATGATTAATGCACGAATGTACGAGGAGACGTGAAAAGTTGATTCGCGCGTAATTTGCAAAACAAGTATCAACATGCTACGCCTTCGACGAGACGAAGCAATTTGGAGAAGTGCACGCGTGTTTCAACGTTTGACAGTCGTCGAAGAGCCAAAATCAACAATCGAGATAATACTTGAATATTTCATCCATATTCCCGCGCTACGACGACAAAAACTAACGTTGATTCATGACGCATTACGCTAGCACCCGCGTGAATAAATGAGGATATTTCGGAGGACACGTCCTAGTCGCACGTGCGCTGGTAATTTTTCATTTGCCGCCCACGAGCGAGCGCTACCCGGAGCGACATTTCGCATCTGTAATATTCACGGATCATCACTTTTAAATTCACATTTCGCGGAAACATCAACATCAGCCGGGCGAACCTGACGCGTCGCGTTTTCGAGGATTTCGATTATTAGTTTTTACGCTCGAATCTCCTGGATGTGTATTTCGATCTATTTTTCCCGCGATCGACGTTGTATTAATCGCGCTAATTCGACACCGAGCGAGAAACGTACGATGGCGACGGCGATAATTTCGGATTCAGGACGGTTAATCGACGCGCCCGAAATAATTCGGGATCAATGGCGCTTTAAGGGCGCTCCTCGGAATTTGCCGCGACACCTGGCAAACGCCACTTATCGTTCACCTGCAAGCACGATAAGCCCGCAACGTCACAAGGGAGTTTCTCCATCAACTTGTATTGCGCTAATGCACGAAACGTAGCCCCTCGTCGGTTGATCCCTTGTCAATTTTCGCTTATGACACACGACGCTTGGGAGACGAGATTACCTCCGGTATAACGTTGCATCGCCAATCGAACGAGATGAATTTCCGCCGGTAAAGCTCGACTAAAAGGACCTTTCCCTCTCGCATAAAGGATAAATATTCCTCTCCAAAGAATATTTCCCGACCGAGTTGGCGATCGATGAGGAACGATGGCGCGGCGCTTCCTATAATTATTCCACATTTACGCGCTAAGCTTTTCTCCTTTTCACGGCACGATCATTCATTCAACTTTTGACGACTATCTACGGAAAGGGAAGCATGAGAAAAACCGATTAGGTACGAGGAGATTATATTTACGTCGCAGAAATTACAGATGTATATTGATAAAATTTCGAATTTAAAAGAATGAATAGGAATTATGTGAATATCTCCTTCGTGCGCGGTAAATAAGACTTGTTATAATTATGAAAATTTTAGTCAGATGCGGTAAAATTTATAATCATCGCGCAATAGTTGACGAACATGAGAAAAACTAAATATATATTTTTCAAACGTGCTTTAAAATGCACAAGAGTCTTTTCTCCATCTGGGATCTCCCGCACAATTTCTGTAAAAAAACTCCTTTTAAATTATTAATGAGACGCATTAAAACATGTAAAAAATATATTAGAAATATGTATGCATGTTTCATCCCGTAAATCTTGTACCATTTTGTTAATCCTGTTCCGCGCAGAGAATATGCAACGACGTAATTACATGCGAATATACCAACTGTGCCAACAAGCGCATAAATCCTAAACGAGTTAAGTGGCGAAGTTAGATTGCCCGGCATTCATTGTTTTTTTCGCTGGTGAGCGAAACACACACACACACACGCGCGCGCGCGCGCGCGCGCGCACACACACACATACACATGTACACACGGAAAGAGAGAAAGGGGGAAACTCCGTTTAATGTTAATTCGTAAATCTGCTAATACGCGTCCAGCGGCAAAACTAATTACATCAAGCTATAGAAAGACATCCGGACGAGGGTGAGGGCGGGCTGGCATTTCATTGTGATTGCACGGTCCACAATGCACCGTGAAAATTAACAGACCGCGCTTCAAGTCGCTCGTAGCGGGAAAGCTGAGGTTGAAATGAAGTTTCTCGTCGCTCCGCGCGACGAGAGAATTTCCCCCAAGATGTAGCGAACTATTTTTCACTTTTAAGATACGAGCCATCGAGCGGAAAGAATGGTATGGGACATATTTTTTCACGTTTCAGAGAATAAAAGTATGAAAGAAATTTTTTAATGTAAATAAGTGCTGTGCTTTTTTCCATGTCATTCTTTTATATTATGAGAGAGATAAAAGGATCTCTGAGAGAGACAAGTGTCGACAAGTGTGCGCGCGCGTGTGTGTGTGTGTGTGTTCTGCATTATTCCGGAATAAGCATCTCCTGTTAAAAATGGTACATGACTTATTATTACTTTACATCAATGTTTAATTTGACTGCTCGTATAATAAATAAATTGGATCAAATAATCATTCTTAAATTTTCTAGATATAGATTTGATCAAATAATAATTCTCAGATTTTGAAGACACAGACTAAAGCGATTAAAATTGAAATCTCGGTTGGCTAATTTCAGAAGCGAATTAATACAGTGTATTTAAAAATTGCAAGAAAAAATTTGTGCATATTTTTACAGTTCTATTCTCATAATATTTTATCTTTTATATAAATATATAAGCTTTAACTGTTAAATATTAGAGCTCAAATACATTTTTTAAACTCTTCATTTTTCAGACACCGTATAAATTAAAAATGCAGGCTGACACGTTCTGATATTGAATCAAATTTTGTCAGCTCTAAAAGGGAAAAGATTGATTATTATCAAAAGCTACAGACAGATTACATATTAATCATTTGTTATTTCTTATTAATTCTGTAATATCTTTTTAATTTATGCTTTCATATTTTCAAATGGAATAACTTAATTAATAATTAACTTGTATAATAACAGTTTAGCCAAATATCATTTAGTTTAAAAATATATAATTTAATGATTAAAGATAAAATTGTTATTACAAATTATTTATTAATCAAGTAATCTAATTTATGATAATAATTATTCGCACTGTATATAAAGATAAAAAATTTCATCTAATCATCAAACGATGAAACATGAAATATAAATAGACATCAAATATTAAAATTGTTTCCACAACATTAAATATACGAATATATTAATGATGTTTGCCATGATTGCATAAATAATACTTTATAATATTATATTAAAAAATTACATACTTTTAATCGATAAAAAATTGAAAAGAAACCATGACTGTTTGCTATTTTTACGGCAAGAAAACATTGAAGTTTCTCAAAAGAAGTTTTAGTTTCTTCCATCGAAATCTTTCCATCAAAAACTAAAAAAAAGATGCACTTACCGAATGGCGGAACAATTGCCACGAGAAACAAAACGGCACAAGCGAGCCTCGCGTGGCTCGTACGTTTCTCGATACACATAACGTGATGTCGTTGACACGACATGCGTTGAAACGCTCGTACCGTGTCGCGCGACCGCTCGCGTGGCTCTGAATGTTCCTCGTTAGAGATTTCGCGTTTCAAACGTTCTCTCTCCTTCTCTTTCTCTCTCTCCGTCATCCCTCGGATCCTCATCTCCCGCTTTGCGCGTCGCGGGACCGGCCGGCGGCGGCGCACAGCCCGGATGCTGCGAGCGGTCCAGCGGGACGCCTGCACGATGGCAATTCGTTCTACGACCTCGCCAATCGTCCGCTGTTGGCGCCACTCACCTGAAATCGGGAAAGATGTCATGATTGCACGAGAACCCACGCTCTTATCATAGGGAAACGCTATTACAGATCCCTTCCTTCCTATTAATTCATCGAACAATTCGATTATTAATCGAAGATATTATTAATTTGAATAGTCGAGGAATTCAATAATACTATTATAGACACGGTTGAAAAAAAATTGTGTGCAAGTTATCCGATTTTTATTTTGATTGAAGAGTTTGAAAAGCTTCTTCTTGTTTGATGAACTTTATGTCATTCTATTATTTTTTCGTTTCTATTTTTTTAAACTACGTATCTTTATCATCTGCATCAAGCATGTTTTATTCAAGTTTTCAATTTTAATATATTTTTTAATGTTTAGAGATTTATATGATTCTTATCTAGAATTATTATTCGACGATGTTCATATAATTTCAAAGTTGAAATTTCATAATATTAATAGTACGCATCGTATTTACACAGCGTATTTACACGTCGTATAAATTGAGATTAATACAATTCCGATGAATTTAAATTTGCGTGAATATGCGAAAATAATTTCTTTATATTCCTTATATTCATTTATGACAATGGAAAGAAATGTCGCATTTTTCGAACCTTGAAAACAGATTTCCTTTCGGGCATGATGACATGTACTTGTGGTTTTTATAACATACAATCCGCTCCTACAACGCGCGCGTCCTCATGCGCCGTCGTCCTCATCATCACCGACCCAGCTCCTGTAACTCCCTCGGATATCGATCCTCCGGTACGCGTTCGCGCGTTTCGAACGACGCAAGCTCGAGTTCAAGCCATAGTAGGTAGAGGGATACCTCCCACCCGGCGAAGGTAGTTTATGCTCAGCGCATCCCTCCTCACCCCCGATCGCGTCCTCTTCCTCTTTCTCTGTTTCTCTCTCTCTCTATCCTCCCCTTTTGTCCTCATGAACAGGAGGCACGGCAATCGGGCAAGATGAGCGACCAGGAGGATCTGGATTATTACATCATGTTCCCATCCTTTCCGCCATCTCCGAAGGATCCGACGCTGACCGGGCAGGATCAACGGGAAGAATTTGTGTTTGTGTACGAGGAGGACAAGCGACCGGTCGTGATCTTGCTAGGATGGGCCGGCTGTCAGGACCGATACCTGGCCAAGTATAGCGCGATCTACGAAGAGAAAAGGTATTTCAATTAGTATCTTTAGCTTATGCAAAGAATCGGTCTCGCAAACAAGGACAATCACGAGACGACACGCGATTAGATTCCCAAAAGAAATGGAAATATTCGTACGCCGGACATTATCTTGATAGTATTTCACGTAGTATTTGTATACATAAGAGCGATATCTCTAAATCGTGACGTATAATTGGCGAAAATGATTCAAAAATGAACGAGATGTGTCAAGTCGACGAAATTATTGTAGGTTTCTTCGTAAAATTCTCGTTTTATGAGTGGGGTAAACAGTGATCGATGCGCACCTTTGCAGTTGCATTACGCTGCGTTATACGGCGCCGGTGGAATGCCTGTTTTGGCGCCGGGATAAGATGCCGTACATCGGCAAGCGGTTGCTGCAAGTGATCACCGACAAGCGATTGAACGAGCATCCGATATTCTTCCACGTCTTCAGCAACGGTGGCGCGTTCCTGTATCAGCACGTCAGTCTCGCGATGCAAAAGGCTAACACGTTGTTCAAGGTAGAAAATACAATACGATACAAAAGATTGTTACATATCTTTCCAAGAGAATGTAAAATGACTTGCTGTCATAATATCCCTCTAACTTTTACATGTCATGTTTTCTCACGAGATTGTTGTCGATTATTCTTTGACAACTTTATATCGCTATCATGCTACTTTCAAATAATTAATTAATTAACTGGAAATTACAAATCTGTTAAAATGAAACTTGAAATTAAATGAAGAGCAAAATTTTGTTAGAAATTCGCAAGCTGTACGGATATCAAATTATGCATCTGATGTCTCACACGATATAATAACGTAATATTGATTAATTGACAATATAAAGTATCTCTGATTGTGGAACAGATCAGGGGAGTGATATTCGACAGTGCGCCTGGCGAGAGAAGAATAACGGCTCTTTTCAAGGCAATCAGCGCGATCATCGGTGGTCATCCTCTCACGAATTTGCCGATGTCGTTTGTTCTCACGTTCTTCCTCTCCGTACTCTGGTTCTTCGAGGTAAATGAACGTTTGTTACAAATATGTATCAAAATTATCTATAATTCTCATCGCCTTGCAATGATCTTGAGATTGAGCAGGCAGGTCAAAAATGACAGTTTTTATCCGTTTTACACTCTATCGCAATAAAAATATCGAGTACATTTGTGATGCAATAATGAAAAATGATATATTATATTCATGTATTCGCTTACATGTCAATTTATGATCATCAGGTAATTGCGCAGGCATTCAGTAGATCGCCCATTCCGACAGATCCGATCGCCCTCGCCGAGGAAACCTATTCCTGGCCTCAACTGTTTCTGTATTCCAACAGCGATACCCTGATTCCGGCGTCTGTGAGTTTCGTTCATTTTTACCTCAATAATTCCCTTTTTTGGATTTTTATATTCATTTTTGAATTTAATAAATTTTTTTAATATAAGAGAATACATAAGAAAAAAAAAATGCCTAAAAATTTATTCTTTATTTATATCAAAATTTCGCTCTTGTCAAATACCCTGGCTATAGATACCTAACCTGGATGCAACGAAAAAAATTTTTTGTTGCAAGGAAGATTCGCAAAATCAACGCCATTATTAGCGACAAATTATTCCGGTGATAATAAATTTGAAATTTATTCTTTTATACCTGATATGTTTCACGTATCTGAAATCTGTCGTCAGGACGTCGAGAAGTTCGCTAGCCGGCGAGCTGAACGGGGCGTAAACGTGCAGCTGGTCCTGTTTACCAATTCGCCGCATGTCAAGCACTATGCGACTTACCGGGATGTCTACGTCAACACCGTGTGCAGCTTCATCCACGAATGCCTGATCTCGCCGAGCCAGTCGAGGAGCCTGATGGATATTCGCGATGAGGATCGCGGCTCCCAGAATTACGATGCCCCGAGCCTCACCAAGCGCGTTGTGTTGCCCCATGAGGCCACCAAGCAGAACTAGAAAAATCGAGAGACGCTATTATTAGATAAAATAGTCATCCGCTATGTGGAGTATCGCGCTGGAGGCGGCGCAGGTTTTACAGGTGCAAGGAAGAGAGGATATTTATTAATTACACAATTCTTATATATACATTTTATAAGAAGAATCTATAAAACACGAGTGAAAAGATAAAAGAAATCGCTTGGAATCCGTGATTACGATCTCTTAATTTTCGATTCTTCAAGTTAATTTTTAATCATTAGTAGAATACATCTTTTTATTAAGTTAAAAAAGGAATGGTTGATTATGTAAATGAACTAAACTGAAAAGAGAAATAAAGATTCTCTGAAAAATTTTAAAAGCAATTCCCGTTTTCGAAGATTAAGAGTTGCAAAATTACACGGAATAAATTCCTCGCGATTCTCATTTTATATGATAACGAGGCGATGTCCGAGATGCTGGAAACGGTGCTACGTCTGTTGATGCATAGAGCTATTTTATATGAAGGTGGATTATTATTTTCGAAAAATTATTCAAATGAAAAACGTGAATTTTTCATGAAGCGAGAATGCATACACACACGGTGGCGTAAGATCTTTAAAGTTTTGTTCGTTGTATTTCGACATAAAAATTTAATTAAAATAGAAAGACTTTTATCAATATATTTATTCTCTATTTTGCGATAATGATTAATTTTCGCAACTTGAATATACTCTAATTTCCTGCGATTAATAAAACTTTCGAGACACATAGTGCCGCTATAATTTTCAGCAGATGAGAAACGAGATGCCTAAATTATGTGCACTGTTTGCGGCATCGTGAGCCTTGTCAAAATTCCGTAATTTTTCGCAAAAACCGATACTGCGTCCTCTCTCCTTTGCCTCAGTTTCCTTTACGTTATGCCCGTCCCAGCTTGATTCTTCCTCTTTTTTTCGTCATTTCTTCCGCCACCGCGTGTCCGAGCGATCGTTATTTTAGAAGCTCGTAGACACGAATGCATTATTTTATGCATCTCGCATAACGGTCTGAATAATTGTCCGAATCTTGCTCGTCGGATCAGAATGCGTATTTTTCTTCAATTAAAATGACGCGAGAACGATTCGAAGATTTGAAGAGATTTCTAGAGAAAATCATGCAACGCAATGTTATCGCTTTTTTTCCTACGCAAAGAAAAGAACCCGCACAAAAGAATCAAGCTGGACTTGATTTAGCTTTCGCAATTCACGATCCGAGTACATGATAGTACTTAATCGACTCGGAAAAAAAATAAAGAAATCTTCTTTCGTGTCCTGAATTATAACAGTGATAAAAACTTTCGGGAACCTCGATGCTCGAGAGTATAGTTGTATTAGAATAAATCTCTCGTTAAAATACACATCTCTAAACAAATAATATAAATAATATAAATATATTTTGATCTGTCGATTAGAGTTATATGAATAAAGACTGATAAATACATATAAAGTCTCATTTTCATTTCCTTTTTATGTTGCATATCACAAACTGATAAATTCGCTCCTAGAGTTTATATCGATTATATATATATATATATATATATATATATATATATATATATATATATTTCAGTGTTTTGTTTTTTATTAATTATATCAAATATCAATTTTAATATTTTTTTCATTTAACGTTAAGTTAAAAAGGTTATCAATGCGCAATATCACGATTGACAAACTTACTCATTTTTATCCAAGCATTGCTTGATCCCTAATTTGCTTAGAAGCGAATTGAGTTTCAAGAAATAATTTCTCAAAATTTAGAAAGAACTTAAAGCTCGTCAATTTTGAATGAGAATTAAAATTTTTCGAAATAGTTATTAACTTCTTTTGTCACAACGAATTTAAACTTTTTCTATTCCAAGGAGCAAAATTGTGAAAAGTATAATAGAATTAACGCCTTGAGTGTCTTCATAGAGAAAGCGGAACAACAAAAACAACAAGAAGAGACATTGCCAGAACACGAGGTCAAACTGAAAGGCAAATTAATTGCTCTCTCTACAACAAAGTGGGTACAAGAGAATCCTAAATATTTAAATGCACACATAAATACATGATGATTTTCAACAGCTTGAGAAAATCACATCAAAAAAAATCTAAAAAAACGGCTGAATCTAAGAATCCTGTGTTCCACGATAACAGCAATAAACAATGTTTCGGAAAATATAATTGTACAGACGTTTACGTAAAGTAAAAATTATTATCTTTCATTTATTTTCGCTAAAAGTAATGCACATTCGCTTTTACGCATTAAAAAAAATTTCAGAAATTTATGCGAAACACATCTTGATAGGCAAAAATGTTTGGAACTCTCGCGAAATTTTAAAGCGCACGGCGATCAAACCAAGAGCAATCTGGATTCTCAAGACAATAAATTAAATGAGAATTTTAATCGAAAATCACAAATCAAAGCTACTCAAAATAAAATCAAGACGAAACAATCTAACCAAGAACTCCTGGAAGTAAAACGTGATATTGTATGTTTCTTTCGCTTTATTTGAAAATTACAGTTAAAATATGTGTCTCTTAATTAAGTTCCAAGACAGCACGCTTAATATATTTTTAGCTAAAAAAATATAATTTTAATAGTTACAATAAAATCCTCCAAAAAGCTCTCTTAGTTTATCACAAGAATCAACTAACGTTGATAAGAAAAAATGTTTCCAAAACAGGTTGCGGAGAATATCACGAAGCAGGGTAAAAAATTACGCGCGAATCCCATAAAAAGAATTCCAGCAACGAATAATTTCATTTACGATTTCAATCCATTCGCCAATACCGAGCAATTAAATCCATTAACATCGCGGGCTTGTTTGCGATCTACGAGTAATTTTGAACAAAAATTGCCTTGTGCGAGGACAGGTCTGCGGAATTAATTATACATTCGTGCTCTCTTTGCATCAAAGATATTTCTGTTTAAATTCCTAAATCGATACATCTTATTTGCATAATTGATTAAAATACAGTTTAAAGAATAAAATTTATTTGTAATATTTTAATATTAATTATTTAATTTGTTAATATTTCTTTTTTAAAAAAATATATAATATTATTTGAATTATGAATTTTTTTTACACTATCATTTTTGATATTTATATTCATTAATTATATTAATGTATATAGATATTACGTCATTCGCCAATTCAAATAATAATGTGGAAAATGGAAATTTCGTAAAACGGAAGTCATCTGCTGTCTTGCCGGAATTGAATTCGCGTAATGATTTTGTAAAGGATCATTTGGATTGGAATGTAACGGATTCTACTCAGAATACTTGCTTGCCAATACTTGGCAAAGAGAATTCGGCGAAGACATTGAGCAAACAACTTGACGATGAACGTAAATTATTTTCTTTACATCGAATAATTCTTTTCGCTTCACTTTTATTCATCGTATTGAATCTTAAATTTTAAAGATATATTTTCATCATGTATTCATGTTTACTTCAGACGAGCCAAGTGATATAGATTATGAAGTGGAAAAAGTAAAATCGGCTTGGCAAGCATTACAAGCGAAAAGAAATTGGACAAAGGGTAAAGATTGTATCAGCAGTATTAATACGAAAAAATTGTACGAAACATTGGAAAAGATGACATGCGAAGTCGACAGAATTCAGAAACGCTATATGGATCCCAAAGCAAATCATTATTTGCATAAAAGCGCGACGAATGTCCTTAAGACAGCCAGTAAATCAAGTTTAGAGGAAGAAGCCGAAATTGTGAAAAGTATAATTTTTCCCAAGAGAAAAGCAAAAATCAAATCGGAAATCTCTCATCTGAAAAATTTTGATACCGAAATAATCAATAAAGATATAGCAAAAATACGATTCGATGAAACTGCAGAAAATATTTTGATGAATAAACAGCCGACTAAAAATATATTTTCATCGAAACATATCACGCAAAATCGATCTGTACATACTAACGCATACGGACATAATATTGATAATGATATTGTATCAGCGAATACAATTGCATTAAATGCCTGCGATAAAAAACAAGATATAACTACAGACACAATGAAACTGGCGTTTAAAGACGATGGCAAGACAAGGATGAAGATTAAGTCTTCCATCGAAAAGTATTTGCAAAATTATAGCGATAACATTTGTAAACCGCGCGATATCGAAGAGCAAAAAGAAGAAGAGTGGTTTCAAGATATAAAATCATCGGCAAGCAATATTGCCAACATTCCTGCGAGTCATAATATTGGATCGTATGGACTGTATGAAAATTTCGAGAAATGCGATGACACCTATGATTCGGAAGATTACATGAGCAAAAAGAATAAAAATTTTTCTTGTTCAAATATCACGACCAATACGACGCAAATCGATACGATTCAAGGCAGTAAAAAGATTTGTGATAGTACATTCCTTGAAAATACAGAATCGTATAAGAACGACATACGACCGATGAAATCTATCGGTATTTCGAAACAATCAAATCTAGCAAGTTGCCAAGATAACGCCTTTATTAAGATCGGATTGAATGTTTTAGAAAAAAATTTATCGAAAGACAAATTGTCGCAAATATTGCAATCGGAATACTTGAAAAAGAATTTGTCTCTATAACTTGTGTAATGTGTCTGCCACGTCTAATGACATAGAAATCTTTCATATTTTACTGCTTTTAAAAATATTTTTAAATTACATTTTAAATTTTGTAATTTTCATCATTTCATAAAGTTCCTATGTTAAATTATTCTTTAAATAATATATAAATGTGAAAGAATTAAAATTGTTTTTTATATGTACAGTCTTATGTTTTATAGAATATACATTTTATATCCTAACACACTGCGAAATTAAAATTATACACTCTTATCAGAACATATCACAAAATGCTTTCTGCTAATTCTTAATTGATAGAATACATGTATAAATTAAAATGCATAATTAGTTTCATAAATATGTGTATATATAAGCGTATCTGCCATATATATTTCTCAATTAATTATTCAAATCAACTTTGTTCCATTCATCAAACTATGGCACTATTTATCAAAATCACACTTCAAAAAATGATAAGATTTAATATTAATATAAATAAAGCACCTTGATATGTTTCCAATTCTCCAATGCGCCATAACCAAACGCACCGCATCAACTTCTTGTAATCATTCATCGTTGCAAGACTAAGAATCGTTTACAATTCTTAATGCAAACATGCATTTTCGCATATCTTCAACAAATACTTGACTATTTCTCTTTCTTTAATGCATAATGTTCGATTGAGAGCATATCACAACACTGGAAGTGCCGAGCTGTGGCTTTGGTATATTATAGCCCCGGTGAAATTGATCGCTGCCGCTAGCACGAAAACTGGCATCCACCAACCATGCGAGGCAGTCACTAATTCAGCCGTCAATGGGCCGCACAGAATTCCAGGTATTGTTGCCTACAAATGCAAAATATAGATAATGCAGGCAATTATCTGCGTTACAATTGATGTGTAATATAGATAAAGGAAAATAATGCTTACAATTGTATTTGAAACTGCAAATGTAACCCCCGCATGATTCGGAGCTATATCTGCGTGATTACTTAGGTGTCCGGCAGAATTGCATGCACAAAGGCCCATAGATATCGAAACAAAGCTATAAAAAAATGTTTATATAATCTACATTATGTAAAAATCTTATTGGGAAAAAATGTTCAATATTCCGACTAAAACATGTGATAAATAACAATGTTTTAATTTTTTACATACACGACTGCTGCAAGTAGATCATCTACAGCACAGAAAGCTAATAAGAATGCTCCAGGTCCTATTAGGCCTATATTAGTCATCAATCTTCTAACGGATAAAACGGACCATCTCTTTTGTATCAAAGTATCAGCGCTATGGCCAGCAACTATAAAAAAAATATATATTTTCTTTAAAAATTCTTTAAAAATATTTAAAATTGGAGGATACATTAGAGGAAAAATTTGATACTCACCAATGCCAACAAGAGAATTGACAATGTAAGGAAGCGCTGTCAAACTGATGCTCTCTTTGTTTGCAGATAAGTTTCTTGCCAAATACGTCGGCAGCCATTGCATTATTATATAATTACTCCAGTTCATTGCAAAGTGTGCTATGTATAAAGCCCACAATGGCCAATGAGCAATGAACTCGGTCCAACGTAAACTTCTATTTTGAGCTACCTGTTAATTATTATATATAAATACAGAATTTAAATTTGAACATTATTAAATATGAAAAAAGGGTATTTACCTTAGGAACAAATAATGGTATCTCATCTTGAGAGTTAGTCTCTTGATATAGCACCAACCATAATAAAGTCCATAAAATACCTATAGTTCCAAATAAGTAAAATCCAGTTTGCCATGCCAAGCGCGGACATATCTATAAAAAGAAAAGTTATACAATATATAAAATATATAATTTCATTAAATATAAAATATATATAAAAAGTATGATTTTACTTACAACAGATGCGACCACCTGGCCGACAGAACCAGCAGCTACAAGATATCCAAAAGCACGCGACCTCTCCTCTACAGGAACATTATGTGCAAATAAGTGAAATATCACAGGTAGACCTGTAAATAACACAATATTAAATCTTGTTACAAAGAATCATGCTATTTTGCATTAACTTCTCTCAACCTTACCTAGGCCTTCTCCAAGACCTAAAACCACCCTGCAGACAATGAGTAACGGTACCGACTGTGCTAGCAACGGCGTGACTACTGTGCTAATGGACCACAACAAAACCGCCAACATGAGTACCGTTTTGCAGCCAAAACGATTCGCTGTACTTGCACCAATGATCTTGAAAAACAAAATGACATGCATTAATATATGTACATTTTCCAGCAGCGATATAAAGATACAGATTGACCTACTTGACTAGTGAAATATCCAAAGGCGAACGCGGACAGTATCCATCCCTGCCAGTACAGGTTCCACTTGAACTCGTCAGTCATGAGGACGATGGCGATGGGCATGATGACCCTGTCCGCGGCGTTTATGAAATTCGCGGCTGAACAGAGTGCCACGATGCGCGAAGTGCGCGGTAACATCCGGAATTTGGCCATTTTCGCTCTACGTATTCGTGCTCCTTTCGAATCGATCCGCTTCAACGATCACCACTGGCGATCACATCGCATGTATTCGGTTCAATTTCCATTCGATTACGCTCTCGTGACGCAAATTAATCAAGTACGCGTAGACGAAAAACGAAAAACATAAGGGAATAGGGATTCACTGTCTCGGCGCAGAAAGAATTCTAACCTTCGTGCGAAAACGAAAAACCGTTTCACGATGACGTGTCTGTAACAGGTGAAAAGGTCGAGATAGACGAAATCGCGACGACGCGCACGTCTTGCACCGATAAACGCGTCGCGTTAACGTTAAGAATCACAATTGAATGTCATATTAGCGCGAGGATACAACGAGATGAGAGTATCGCGTAAATTTGACACGGTTCGACGTGTCAACACACTTGCACGGCACGACACACGCCACGAAGCAACACCTGTCATCTCGTCACAGATGGCGCCGCGATGTCACCTGTATTTGCGCCACTTTGGAATTTAATTCGCATCACCTGTGCCGAATCATGCTCCCCTAATATCGCAAATATAGCAAATATTTGAATTCGCAACTTACTTCAACTCGCTTTACCTCTTGTCGATTCATATTCTCCTGATAATCTATCCGCTCCTGATTCTTAGAGAACATGTATGTAATTTGTTCCGGAATTTTCATCGATAATTATAATCGACTTTTTGTTATCCGCATCTGTTAAAAGTTAATTAATTAGAAATTAATATAATATTTATATGAAACGAAATTGTATCTTAAAATTCGCGTCACATATCGGGATTGTCTTACCTCTACTCATTTACCGTCATGTTCTTCTAATATCGAGAAGCTAGCTACTGAAAACTATTTCAGTTTGGGTAACCTCTGCGGAATTATGTTCTCCGGAAGAGCGCGAAATTCGAATCGGAATTTTAGTTCACCGCTTGCCTCTTATACCTCTTGCCGAAACATATTCTCCTAATAACTTTTTACAATCTATATGACGAAGATGCCGAAAGAGGCCATATTCCAGCTTTCATTGTTCCTGTTTAAGATTTATTCTGCAAGCAAATAATTAGTTGTTAGATGATTAGATGTGATTATATTAATTAAACTGTCAAGTATTTTTAATAAATTACAAGTAAGAATAGAAAGTGATAATTACTACATATTGCTGCATTAAACGATTGTAGCGAGACAAATTAATGATCTATTGTCCAATTATATTGTTTAAAAAGGTATAAACGTAATGTATGCATATATCTATGTATAAGTTGAAGCACAGTCTAATATGTTGTCTAGTATATCTAATGCTGTATATCAAGAATGTATACATAATTGTAAATTTTACTCTAAAGTTTAGAGCAAAATTTCTATTTTGAGATATAATAATATTCATAGCTCATATAATCGGTATATCTGGAAAATATTACGACACTCATACACACATTATATCTTAATGATCCGAAAATATTTGTTACGGTAATTATATAATTTCACAAAACAGAGTTTTTTTTATATTCTTTCTTCCTTAAAAATATATAACTTTAACATTTAAAATATATATATAAATATTTTTGATATGTAGAAAAGGAGAGGAGAGAATAAAATATAGAGATTATAATTAAAATATCTTAATAAACTTTTACTCTATAATTATCAAGATATAACAATAATTCTTTTTTACACATTTTTAATAAAATTCTTATTTGAAATAGGCCTAATTATTGTATAAAAATGAAATCGAATTGCTACGGTATCAAATCGTAGAAATCGAAATTTTTTTTCAAACAATGACCGTCTTGGATGACTAAATTCTTGTACACGTGCGAAGCGTATTATTTACAATCAGTTTTCAATTAATCTAAGCGGAAGGCAGATGCTCTCCCTCTGGGCGGAATCCATTTTCGTCGGCGACATAGTTGACGGTGTACCTAACATTAGTGGCCGGGTCGACATAGGAGAAGCTACCGCGGACGGCGAGGCTCTGATTCTCCTGACCGGCATTCACCAGTTGGGCGGATTCATGATGGACATGGCCATCGGAAAGCTCATAACCGAACTGATATCCATCAAGACCAATGTTGTCCGACGGAGTTTCCTTCACGACTACTGTCTGATCGTAAGGAGGAGCCGCAACGGCGATGGCTACGAGAGCGCAGAGAACGATGATCTGATTAAAGAGAAAAGAACATTTTAATATTACTAATTGTCAATTAATAAGAATCTGTTAAAATTCGCTTAATTAGTTATTCGTGACTGTTATGAAAAGCGACTAGTTCCAAATAGATTGCAAGTATAATATTTTGATGTTCTCATAAACCGATTCACGATAATGATCTCTTTATAAGTTACGATAAATTTTCATGGAAACGAAAATTGGACTCAATGAAATTATTCAATTATTACGCAATTTTCAAGCCCCAAAATATACGCACTGTTTTCATGTTGATGATAGGTGCGGCTGCTCTTCTTGTATCAAGGAGGAGACTGGTGTGGATAGCCGAAATCAGCAGCGATTTTATAGCGTTTCTCCTACTGCTTTGACCGGGCCTGTTCACCTCTCACCTTCCTTCCCCTATTTATATGGCTAATTAGCACGTGTATCAACTATAACCAAAATATCGATCTTCTTGAAAATTGTCCATCCACAAGTGATCTGAAAATATCTATTTTGTAGAGAAAATTGCAAAATTTTTCATTACAAATATTGTCAATATAAAAAATATAATTATTATATATCGAAAATCCACAAATGTTGACACATTCTTAGCTATTTCGAAACAAATCAATTATAAAAACAAGATTAAGCAATTTCATTCGAAAGTTGTGGCATATTTTAAAATAAATTAATAGATTAATATTAATAGATATAATATTAATAGATATACAATTATTAGTTATATATCTATAACGTTTATTACACAAAGTTTGTTAACAGTTTGATTAGTAAGAGAGCAGAAAAAAATTTTACTTTTCTCAAGAATATTTACTTGAAAGATCATCATTAATTATTAATGCAACCTTTATAATATATAGCTTTGCACAAATCAAGGAATTCTCTCTCTCACAAATCAATACATCCTTGGTCTATAAAATAGTGACAAGAGAATTTATATTTAATTATAGATTAAGATTTATCTCGTCCCCTATTAGCGAAATTTTATACCGCCCTCGAAAAGCGCTATTCACCGAAATCTTGAAAGCAATAATAACGTATTTAGAAATAATGTATTTTTAATTTTCGATACGATAAACTACTTATTTGACCTATTCATATTTTTTTTCGTAGAATATCTTATTACGAAATCTACCAGTAATGTAATGGTAGATAGTATTATTTTAAAAATTTTAGTCGAAAATTATCAACAGATTATATTAAAAATGCTTGGAAAATACGTTATTAAAGCACTCTTATAAATACAATATATATGAACAAAAGAAATTAGTAATAAATTGAAAACATTTGTAATTAAAAAATGTTTAACGGTAGAAATAATAATTTATTAAAACATTTCTTTATATAATTGTTTTATATAAACAATTTTTTTGTTAAACATTTTTGTTAAACATTTTTTAATTACAAATGTTTTCAATTTATTACTAATTTCTTTTGTTCATATATATATTGTACTTATAAGATATATTGTACTTATAAGTGCTTTAATAACGTATTTTCCAAGCATTTTTAATATAATCTGTTGATAATTTTCGACTAAAATTTTAAAAACAATACTATCTATATATATACTATTATCTATCTATATATATATATATATATATATATATATATATATATATATATATATATACAAGGTGTCCCAAAACTCATAATCAATCTTTCAAAGACAGATTCCTGGAATCATTTGGAGACGATTTTTCCTCAGCAAAAATGTCGATGAAGGCCATCATTTTTTGCATGTTCCTGATTTTTGTCATCATATATCTTTGCAATTAAGCCTTAAATTAAAACTCAACTAAAGTAAACTTTATTTAAAATTAATCGAAGAATGTGGTTTTGTTAATATTTTATTTCTACAAAGCTTACGAAAAACTCCTTATTTCTAATCACTTATAATTCGAAAATTATTAGTGCCTCGACATTTTCGTTGAGGAAAAATCGTCTTCAGATGATCCCATGTCATAATTTTATCATAATCCGTACAGGGAATTATAAATGTATAAAATAAACGTGGAATATGTAACGTAACAGATAAAAAGTTATTTAAAAATGTTTTGGAGAACGTTGAGAATAAAAGCTATTTTCAATATCAATCTTTGAAATTTACGCAAAAATTAAAAGCATTAGAGCAATTAAATATTTCAAGCTATGTGATACGAATGCAACAGACAAACAATTCAAGAAAGTCTATAAATCCATATAATAATTTATTTTTTAAAGATATGGTCTTGTTTTCTGTAACCTTTGATATTATTCTTTAATGAGTTATAATTAAAAAAATAAATCTATGTAATTAAAATATGTAAAATATGTTATATTATACTCCACATATTTAAATTATTTTATTATATTGATTTTTTATCTCCCATATAAAATATTATATATTATACTATATCGAAAATATTCTCTATAACATATTCAATTATATATATTTTCATATATATATTTCACATAGATACATACATACATACACACACACATATATATACATATATACATATATATATATATATATATATATATATATATATATTTATTTATTTATTTATTGCATAATATTGTATATAGATCATATGATAATAAATAATATTTAGATACATTCATATATTTTTATTAATTTATCAAAGAATACAGATACATATTATTTTGTAACATATGTACATATGTATATTGCATAATTTTTTAAGTAAATTAATCGGATCAATTAAAGATCATTTGTTTCAAACATCTATTAACCTGCTTTATTCTCTATTTTGTTAAGAATTATTTATCCATTAACAAAATCAGAATAACATGTTGGAAATGGAGGAATCATGGAGTAAATTTTGAACGAAGAAAATTATGCAAAAATGAATTTATTTTAAAACTAAGTCTGTGTCATGAAATAACTATGATCGAAGAAATTCAAAGAGGAAGTTTGAATTTCTTCGAACATAGAAACGAGATTGAATTGCGAAAGAATTCGATATTTGCAGCTAAGGTTCTCGCTAACAATAAGATTTAGACAGACGGCAAATGTTCGCCCTGCGGCTGGAATCCATTTTCGTCGGCGACGTAGTTGACGGTGTACCTAACATTAGTGACCGGGTCGACATAGGAGAAGCTACCGCGGACGACGAGGCTCTCATTCTCGTGACCGGCATTCACCAGTTGGGCGGATTCTTGATGGGAATGGCCATCGGAAAGCTCATAACCGAAGTTATATCCATCGATGCCGATATTGTCCAGAGGCGTCTCCTTCACGACCACAGTCTGGCTATCAGCTGGCTGCGCAGGTTTTGCGAGGACGACAGCGATGACGGCAACAAAGACAAGGATCTAAAGTATAATAAAATAATTTAGGATAACTTATTAAATGATTCCGATTTATTAATAATAAAATATTTTAGTGTATATATCCCAATATATATTTTATTAGAACTTTCGATTACTTTTATTTTAGACTTCTTTCTAATATTTTTCTTTTTTTATGAGTTTCAGATATTTGAAATTTCATAAAAACAAAAATTTTGAACTATATATATATAAATAACTATATGTTATGTTTGTACATAGATAAATATCTTATAATTAATAATTTTTATTAATATTAATTACGTATAAAATAGATTTAAGTAAATACAAAATAAAAAACATGTATTGTCTTATTTAAGTGGATCCAAAATAAGCCGTAATTTAAACGATAATTGTGATAATCTCTAAATTTTCTAATATCTGCAAGATATTTTGTTTTTTCTCATAAAAAAGAGTGATAATGCTTCTTAATTAATTTTAACGCGTCGTATGAATACGTAATGCCTCATGATTATTTCATAATCCTTAAAACTTGAACGAGCGAAAGTTTTTGAGGACTGTCACCACACCCAGTAAAAGATTCACGTTTATTCCTCGAAAAATTCATGGAGAATTTGAAAACTTTCCGATCGATCTACTGAGCGATCGCGTAAACACTTTTTGTCTCCTGGAGAATCATTATTGATTATCGAAAAACACGCACCAGCTTCATGATTGATAGTTTTACGATCTCTCTCTTCTTCTCTTGAGGACAATGATGATCTGAGACGAGCTCACTATAGACTGGTCCAATATACAGCTGATGGAGAATATATATAGCCCGAATTGGGATGGGAATTACGCCCTACCCAATCATTGATGGCATCATTGATGGCATTGCCAAAATTTTCATATCCATATGTCGAAATCCGTAAATGACCAGCCATGCAAGCCGGTGATGGCACAACATGTTGTGCGGTTGAAAATGTCAGGTAGGAATGTTTGAGGGACGGATGCCGAGAGATGCTACACGCGGTTTCATCCGTGTGTGAACAAGTCGATAACTAATTCTTTATTCGATTTAATTACTTATTGCCCTAAGGGATTTCGATTAAACAACGTCTATTAAAAGTTACGAAAGATTTATAGTAATTAAGCTTTATCGTGTAATGTCGATTTTGAATAGCATTTATAATATAAAAGAATTATCTATTGAAATGCGCGCGCGGTTGTATTAGTCTAAATATGTACTAAGTAATTCGAAAGCTAATACCAATCTCGAAGCAATTTTAAATGCACTTTGAGGGATAAAATGCACTTTAAGTTTCTTTAAAGGTTACACGTAAATCCCTTTCCTCTTAATCCGGTGGTCTTTTATAATGTTTTTTTTCATTACGCAATACATAGATGATCCTAATGCAGACATTAACACACAAACATATGGCGATGTATTAGGCTAACTAACTAAATTCTATGGATCGAAGTGGATAATCCATCATACATGGATCTTGTTGCATCATAAGATACGTCAGAGTCAGCTGACAGCGAAACATTTCATTCAACAAGAATAAAAATCAAAAGAAAAATCGTAGACGTATAAACTCATAAATAATTATTGAAAGAATCTTTTTTTAAATTCATAAATACGCGACTAATATATTAATACGCATTTATTTCTTTTTGTAATTGATTGGAAATAAATATGTTTAATATGTCTATTATTTATTTGAAATTCATTTTATAACAGATTTTTTTAAAATTTCTTAATAATCCGTTGCACAAAGAGAAAAAAAATTTTTTTCTAGAATAATTTAGACATATATGTAAATATATTCCGAAATTAAAATTATATTAATAAATATTTATAGATGCATCTGATTATGTAACTATAAATACAGCTCAATGATCTAGTGACATATTTTGGTATTTAAAGAATTCCGATTTTATAATAAAGACGATAAATTTTTTCCAAAATTAGAAAAACAGGTTATGATATAATAATCCCGGATCTAGCTAAGAGAGTGTCGTTTTCTAAAGAATTCTACTCTGAAGGTGATGTCTTTTTAATAGACAAATGCCATAAAATCTCAAAATTGTAAAAATTTGTCATTAAACATAAGTTATTTTTTATTATCAGTTGTCATTAAACATAAGTTATTTTTTATTATCATGTGCACATTAAATAATAATGATTTTATATTTTTTTTATTTTCTCCTCATTTATTCACTGATTCACAAATAGCTATAAAACTTAAGTAGCCGAATCTGCCAACCAAGATTCTATCTAATAAAAATTCCAAACGATTTGATCTGTCTCTGCAGTCTTCATCTTTCATTTGAACGGTAGCACACGAGCAATCTCATTGACTGACATAAATTATCATCAAGTAATGAGAGAGGAATAACGCGTGCCTATTGAGCTTTGAAAAGAAAGTGTACTGTTATATAAGCAAGTGGCTTATGCTAATGATCGAGACGCAGTGACAGAAAGAGAGAAAGAAAAAGAGGCACATTACAGAGAGTAAAAATCTTCTTCGTGGGTGGATAAAAGATGCCACGTATCTCTCTACATCTTTACATCCATAAAAAAGCTATATAGATTTATATATTTTGTATACATACGTATTATTAAAAATCAAATTACTATTATTATTCCTCTAAATTATTAAAAACGAAATTACTATTATTATCATTGCAAACATATTATTGAAATTATTCACTTTCTCCGCGCAACAAATCTATTTTTGTTTGTATATCTATACAATAATAATTATGTATGCATAGCATGCATAATTATTATTATATAATATATCATTATGTTATCATCGCACAAAGATTCTATCAAACTTTCTAATACATCTATCTATGATCAAGAAACTACATGTCGCGTTATGTCACATGCAAATGTAACGTTGAATATACCGCTACATTATATTAGAGTGCATAGAGAGTATCTCCCGTGATTACATTTATAATTAATAACATGATGTGAATTTATGCCACAGGCAAAGTTATGACCGATTTCTGTAAATCAATTAATATTCAAGAGACATTATCGTTAAATTATATACTATCAACACGTTAGTCCACTTTACTAAAGAAGATTAACATTAATATTTCTGACAACTCCGGCTCTATATAATTTATATAATTTCTCACATTTTACTTAGAAAATTTAAAGGATTTCTTCTCGAAGAAGAAACGTTTTATTTGACAATTATCATTAAAAAAATTCTATACAATGTAAAAGATATACATAAATTATACAAAATAAATAAGTTATACAATTATTAAATAAATAAATTATACAAAATAAATAAATTATATAATGTAAATGGAGAAAATATAACTCATCTACGTAACTTTTAATTATACTGTGGCAAAATTTTTAAACAAAAATAACTTTCGAATTTACGAAAGACCATTAAAATTGAAATCGAGGTTTCTAAGATACCCCATGTGTAGCACATTAGATAACTAGCCGAGTTAGTGTATCGTTAGAGAGATTGTGATTCTATCTTTTTAAGCATAGAGCGTATTTTTAAGGCAAAAAGTATAATCAATTGTGCGTCAAGAAGGAGAACAGCGGGATATAGAGAAGATGCCCGATCATTTCGAACGAACAGATGCGAGCCGTTTATCTTGCGTCGACGTTACGCAAAGATTTTCAACGCTACTTACGTTGCCGAGTTGACACTTGACCCTATCATCCAACGCTAACAATAATTCGGTTGACGCGGCTTGTATTAATATAATTATATAATTTCAATATAAAATTATTCCTATATACACACCATGAGACATTCTCTCGAAATTTAAATTTAAATATAATTTTGCAATTAATGGATGCGAAAAATTATTTAGACGAGCGAATAGAGATATCAAACATAGAGATGCCTCGTCGCTTTTTCTATAATAAATGGAAAAATGTCAAACGTATAAGACAATTCATAAAATTTATGTTTGCAACATTGTATCGAGAAAATTGCCTATTCGTGAGAATAAGCAATACTTATATAGGCGTGTGACAGCTTTACGACCGTGAAATTATGGATATCGCGATTTGACACAGGGTTCCCGCGAAATGATTGTCGATCCTGCTGGGAAAAACATGAACGGAGAAGGTACGTGCGGGAGGATGCGCGCGACGTCGCTTTTCAACGAGGAACTCGAGCTAGGAATTTCGCAAGAATCCTGTTGGACCGCGTACGCGAGGTCGTCGCCATTGCCAGCTCTAAAAGGCGCGTTTCTTGCGTAATATCACCGTTGTGGCACGATGGCACGGATCCTAAATGCCACTATGCTGTCGACAAACAAACGGGCCCGTGGACGCGCTTACATTAAACGACAGCGAAGTCGTCGCCGCGCGATTCTGATTCTATCAGATGCTTCGATGGTGAATGATCTGTAGCTGATACAGCATTGAATTTTCCATAAAACAAAAATAGACAAAAATGTAGAATTCTTAATCAGTACCTTTCTATAAATTTTATCTCTATAAATTTCTCTATAAATATATAAATAAAATTCTCTATAAATTTTATCTCTTTCCTTAATAATTAATATTGAGTGTCTCGTTTGTTCTTTTTAATTTTGAATTAAAATTCCGAAAAGCAAAGTTTCTTCAAACTTGAGGATACGTAATAAAATTTATTATTTTAAATTTTGACTATAATAAACACAATCTTGAATTTTTATCATTTCTATAATTTAAAAATTCACGCCGTAGCAAAGCAAGCTTCTCTCTCAATCGCGTCTGACCATTTCTATTGCAAACTACTGACTTTGTGCACTGAGTGTGGCTTATGAATTACGTATCCTTCGTATATCCTGCTGCGTACATACAAGTCGATTGACTTACCTCGCGATGGACCACATGATGGTTACGTGTCGAAGGTGCGAATCGGGCATTTTATGTACACGCAACACGAATGATTATCGATGATATCCTCATAATTCACGCGAGATTTCCTCGCGGATAATGTAGCCAGATAAGATAATTATACCAGCAGGATGTGACCTCCTATAGAGATACGCAGAGAGGTTGCTTAAAGGTGGCAGTAAATAGTAGCTGGCACCGCGAAAGGTGAGCCTTTCGATAAAAGAAGATCTCGTCTTAAATTATATCGTTACGAGACGGATGTTCGTACGTGTACGTATTTTCTGTATTGCGTCGATAATCTTATGTGAATCTGTAAAAAAAAGATTGCATAATATTAGATATATACGTTTTTCACTCCACGCATACCGAAAAAAATTCATCAAGCAGACATTGATGAACGGAAGAAGCGCGGTAACGTGATTAACAAAGTCACGAGAAAACAAGAGATGTAGAAACAAGATAATTGCGTTCACACAATTCTTCTCGCGCAAAGCGATCCGGAAAACTCACGCTGTGCCACTTAACGCGGAGATTTACATACCTGACGAAGCAAACAATGGTTTATCTTCGGAAAAATATCAATGCCGAATATATGGACATTCTGATCAAACGCAGACTAGATGATGTTCTTCTTCATCTTTCGCTCTTCATCTCTCACTTATTATCACGCATCTGATTCGAAATCCAAGTGCATCTTAAAAATAAAAAAATCTGATTAAATTCTCCAAGCATGATGAAAATTAATTAAGATCAAGGACAAATTAAAATTGCTAGGAATACTCTCTCGTCCTCGATTAGCTATGATTTATGTCGATGTTCATAAAGTCATTCTTCAAGCCGGTTTGGTCAGATTGCAGAAAAAATTTTTACATATTCTAAAGAATTCGAATAGGATACGTAATTAAAATTTTAATTTATCTATTCTTATTTGTTTGTTTTTTTTACTCAATTTTCATTATACTTATTAACACTTCCTCTCAGTATTACCTTCTGTCTATTACTACCCCCGACCTTTAGTTTGTAATTACATATAAAAACAACTAGAAGATATGTCTAATCATCCGTGCATAATACTTATGAAGCACCGTATGCTTTACCTTTGAATGTCGCAAAGAGGAACGTTAAAAAGTCATCGGAAAATTATCGATCACTATTAATGTTTTTTCAATTTCTTAGAATTCTTGTAATGCAAAAGATTCGCATTCATTATTGCTGACAACCTGCCGTGAACTTTTCCTCAAAGAGGAAAGACTGGAATGGTAAATGAATCGTGGCTCTCGCAATCGTGGAAATACACATCGTAAAGACAAGACGGATACATCATTGAGGGCGATCGTTGTAATTTTCTATCGATTCCAGCAGTGGTGGACGCTGACACTTGCCTCATCCCGTGATCCAACTTGGAATCGCACACGCGGAAATGCAATTTTGTCCGACATTTGACTTCAGGACGATATTGACCGAATTGCGCGAGACTCGTTGCTGTTTCTCACGTAGATTGCAGTCTGCGACCTTTGCAGTGACTCGATTACGCGATTGAAGCAAGAGGGATACGTTTCTGAAGCGACCAAAAGCGGTCAATCTTTCCATTTATTTACGCTTCAATTATTGAAAGTATTTCTAACTTTGATTTGTCCTTGATCTTAATAATTAATTTCCGCTAATAATTTTAAGTGCTTCCAATCGAATCTGGATCTATCTTCTGTTTTTCAGCTATCTGCACATACCTAAAAAAAATTGTATGAAGAAATAAAAGAGAATAAAAATAATAAATTTAAAAAAGAAGATGGAGAAATAGAGAATCTACAAATTGGCAAAATAGCAAAAATGAACAATGATGTGCGTAATATCGTGAGGATCGCGAAACACATCTGTCGCGAACATATTGCCGGCGTGCGCGAATGATCGGCAAAGTGAATACATAAAGCGGTAGTGGTGATTAAGAAGAAGAGAGAAAGAGCTAGTCAACTCGTTGACATTTACTCGCTTTCGCGACTTTTTTTTTTAACAACAGCTACAAACGCATCTAACGCAAATCGGGCTACGCTTATTGCAGTGTCCTTGGATACGCCGAAGTTCGTAAATCGCCTCGTTAAATCGATGTCGTTTTCCCGAAATCTTGATTACATCTCTAATGCATTCTGTCTTCAAGCATATATTATTGAATATCGACCTTGTGTTAACGTGTTAAAAGCACTCATTCAATCCTCCCAATTATAATAAATCGAAAAAGGATGTCGATAGTCCATTAAGAAATAAAGATGACTCGTCATGTTAATATATTTATATAAAATTCATTGAATCGCCACCGGCGACGGGCATTCAATCAGTAGCTGAACACAAACTTCTAATTTGTGTTTTTTTACCTGTTCCCAAATAAAGACTCAAAGAAAATTGATTGCGTGTTGTTTAATACAAATGACCAATGTTTTTGTTTTTCTTCAAAAATTAAATAAATTTTAAAAAATGATAAAAACTAACGTAAAATGTATAGATTTCTAAATCTGTAAATCTTTTACTTTCAATTTTATTGACATTAATTAAAATTATTAAATTTTATTTTAATTCTCTAATTCTAGATAATTTTTTAATAAATCCTTTTATAAATTTATATGTTCAAAAAGATTATATGTATACAAATGTTCTAAACTTTTATCTCTTTTGGTCAGGCTAAAGTTTGTATCTATCTGTTGCATAATTTTAAAGTAATCAATTATATATATTTCGATAGACAGGTTTCTTATAAAATTTAATATCCCGCATGTCCTCACCTGGAATTTAAGGTTGTAACCCGACACACAATACCATACTAAGAGCAGAAGAAAAGGTCCTTTATTGCATAATTTCTAGCTATCGCCTGCAGATGCTTATATCCTTTGTTACCGCCCCGTCATAAGTCATTCATCGCCGATTTCTCTCAGAGAAGGAACGCAAATTTGTTCTCTGTACACGGAAATTGCGGCGCTTTTCTTAATTGGGAGACATTTCGATGTACTCCTTCCTTATTAGAATTAACGAAACTTTTTTAGCAACGTAATAGCGCAAACTTACAAATCACTTTTTTTCAAATGACTCTTAATCTCTTAACAGAGGCTTCGTCTTTGATATCAAATATTTATTTTAAAAAATATATATATATTTTTTTTTTCTAATAAAAACTCAATTTTTAAACATTTAGATTCCCTCAGGAATTTAGAATTGAATCATTATATTGCTTGATTAATTATGAATGTTTCATAATGATGACACTAATGAAGCAGAACCTTGACTTGAGAAGATTGATAAATATTAAAGTTTAGAATTTTATAGTAGTTGTAATGTCTTTGCGTTGACGTAAGAAATCAAATAAAATTTCTCGCTAAAGCGAGTAAAATGAAGTGATTTGTTGCGCTTACGAATGCAATTAGTTACCCTGTGTATTTTAAAGATGTAATTGCTCATTAAGCTGACAATATCGTACGGTTACAAGTTTTCTTATTTCTTTGAGAATCATTTCTGAGCGAATATTTATGTCTATGCGCAATGATATTTATACACAGATTTTTGATGGCGCAAAACATTTCACGCAAAAATTGTATCAATTTTGATATGAAAGCGTTTATCTGAAAAATAATTAATGATGGTGTAATTATATTATAAGATAAAATCTAAATAAATTTAAATTGACATAACCGCAAATTTCTCGCTGTACTTATTGATATGTAAACGAATCGTGCAGTTCGACCCAAAAAGAGAGAGAGATTTGGTCTTCTTCGTGATCTTTGCATAATCAATGTACAATCAGTCGGAGTCCACGTTTACGATTGCGAATCGTGACGTGCACTGACTTTCTCACGTACAAAAAATATAAAGATGAAAAGAGAACTGTTTCAACATTAAGACGGCAGAAACGAGTATTTTTGCGTTGTAAGCAGCAAATAATTTGCATTATATCGAGATAACATTGTTCATATCCAAGAAAAAATTCAGAGACGTCAAGAAAATTATATATAATATATATAATTATTATATATATTTTATATGATATTTTCTCGTAATTTTATTCTCTAAGGTTCTCCCACTGTAACGAAAAACAATGTTGCCTCGATGTTGTAAGATTTATTTATACAAGTTTATTCTTGCATAAAATATGTCGAAGATATTTTTATATATGAGCATCAATGACGATTAGCTAATATTCAGAAATCTTCCGATTGCGTGATTTCCAAGAATATCCGCTACATTTCTGTATAAGGGGACAATTAAAATATTTTGGAAGAAAAAAAGAAAGAGAGGGAAAAGAGGAAAAAAAGAGAGAAAGAGAGTACCATCAACGGAAAAGAGACCGATAGGTCTCCTGGAGTTGGAGGTCTTCTCCTCCTCAAGCGTTTTGCCGTCGCATCTTCTGAAATGGCAAGGTCACCGATAGTTACGTCATCAACTTTCCTCCGGCGCACGTACAACTTCGAGAAAACCAAATGTCACAATGACCAAGGACGTACCGTATAATATGTCTGTCGCCTCTGGCCAATGAAATCGCCATTCGTTGCCGGAATCTCCTGGTATCATGAGTTTTTGGCTTTCACATTTTTGATCGGGTCGACTGAGAGAGTGCATCTTGCACCTTGCATGACCATGGCCTTGTTCGAGTTGCATCAAATCTGAAAAAGAAAGAAATGAGAGCTGAAAATCTACAGTTACATCTCACAATAACAAAATCCATGAAATTAAAAAATATTAAAATCCATCGAGCATCTTCTACTTAATCTACTTAATCTTCTACTTAATCTATAGAACAGATACCATTACATCTCTGTGCGATATATCAAAGCTACATTTAATCTCTTGAAAATTAACAATGAATTTTAAATGACGCAATGAAAAAGAAAGAGAGAAAGATAACTAGATTTATAAAATTATCGTGTCAATGTGTGGTGTAAGAGACGAATAAAGATTAGATACAGCGATGAAAATCGCCGCATTGTAATATGAGAGAACGGGAACAATCGTCTCGACGAGACGAGTTGCCCTTGACAGTGATTCCTTCTATGGAAAATATTTCAAAGCATCATATCAAGAATGATTTGCACCTGAATGAACAATAGGTGAATTAATGCATACAAATAAACGAACGTGTTTGTTTCGTAATAGATGTTGCGTAACATCTAAACGCACAAATACATTATTGAAAAACGTATTCACGATACTGTTAACGCTACGATATTTAATTCAAAAATAATTATACACGTTAAAGATTTACGCATCGCGTAGATGTGCGCAAACATAACGTCAATCAATACTAATTCTTTTAGCGTGATGATTCTTCACGAAGATAGTTAAATATCAGTGAGCTTAGAAAACGCGAGATAGAAGCAACTTGAATTACGTTTTTGTTGACCTCGCGTAGGCACATTTAACGAATGACATTTTTATTTGCGTGTATGGAAAACTAACGGCTTATATAATCTGTGCAATTTTAAATATATTTATATTTGATTTTTTATCTTTGTACGAGATGTCATCATATAGAGAATTCTTGGTAACAATTATATGCGAATAATATTAATTGAGAGAAACTTGTTGCCGTTATTTTTCTCCGCAAACTATACTACTAATTATTTTATCAAAAAACCTTCTACAATCTATATACAAATACATATAGCAAATGGAAAAAACATTATTTGATAACATAGTAATTTCGAATATGTAAAAGTATTTTAGAAATATTATTACAGAAATATTTATTTTAAATGTTATCCTAAACTTTAGGATAATATTTAAAAAAATTAATATTAAACAAATATAAAAATTAAACACTTAATATTTAACTATAAATAAGTTTGTTCACAGTAAGCAAAAATGTTACATATTCAAGTATCATATAATATTGTTCTAACATCATATCAATGATATTTTTTTTCATTAGATGGATATACATAAAGAAGATATACATATTTGGCATTTCAAAGCTTTTTCTTCTTCTCCTTTCAGAGTCATTCAATTTAGCAACGTAGTGTAAATTATTATGACACCATACAGCATACAAGGTGGTCTGCAACATCTGATAGTGATCGCATCATTGGTCGTATCGCGGATGCAACCTGGCCGGGATGCAACCGCGGGAGAGACTCATCCGCGAATCTCTGTCAAAGCTGCTACATACACAGGTGGGGGGTACGTACATCGGTACATTGCGATTTTCCGCCTATATAAAGAGATGCGCATTAGGATTCCTTGGTAATCCACGTATCGGTCGTCGTTTAAAAAGACGAAGGGCCGCCGTCGTTTTAAAATCGTTCGAAGGAACCACAAAGGAACCTGAGCGCGATGAAGACGGTGGGTGGATCTTGGAAAGATCGAGATCTCAGATCGAGATACATACATCGATGCAATTTATCGGCGCGATCGAGACTTTTTTAGTCAGGAGGATGCGAGGGGACGGGCGGATTGAATCGAGGGTTACACAGATATTTCGGGACCGGGTGTCCGAGAAACGCAGCCTCCCAATTTTTGCGCAACAGTGAAAGTGAAGAGGATTTTTGTGATATTTGTGCGCGCGTGTGATTACGCACACTTCTCAGCGCGTGACAAACGCTAAAAGTCACGAGAGAACGTCTACAGGATGTCTACAGGGTACCCGATAATCGGCAATCTTGTACATTTTTTTCTCGAAGGAAATTTCGAGAAAAACATCATACAAGTGATATTCAAAATTAAGCATTTTTAAATTATCGAATTTTGAATATATTAAAATTTCAAATGATAAAAGTTCAAATTCGAATTTATGATTAATAAAATGATTAATAAAATTTAATTGCTTAATTTCATTGTCAGAGAATCTTAGCTCGTGCAACATTTTTAGTTTACATATCATCTTATCATTTGTACTTCAAAAACTCGCGGGATATTTTAATTAATAAATATCGCTTCTTTAAATTGACAAAAATGATCACGATTAAGCTCTGAAACATCCTGTATATATCTCTGAAAGAATTGGCTCTTCACTTCGTTTTCCATGAAATCGATTACAATATCCTGGCTTAATTTTGTGAGGCAATAATGTAATACTGACGCCGAAAGGTCAGATTCTGAGAAATGGTCAAAACACGATTATTATGCCTTCGCATACGTTATCTATGTACATTCGAAAACAATATTTCATCTTACAATAAATATCTAAACATATCGTTGCATAATATTAAACGAATAAAACGATATATCTTAATACAAAAAAAAACGATAGGAATTTTGTCTTCTTGTTCTTCTTTTTTTCAGTAAAATGATTTTGTCCTTTTTTCAGTAAAATGATTTTGTCCTTTTTTTACACAGGTCCTCGTCATCTTGGCGCTTTTAGCTGGCGTTCTTGCGGCACCGCAGAATCCAAACGATATCACGATCGTGAAACAGGAAGAGGTGAATAATATAGGAGTAGGTGGATATCGCTTCAGCTATGAACAGAGCGACGGTCAGAAGAGAGAGGAAACGGCCGAATTGAAGAATGAAGGCACCGATAACGAGGCACTTAGCGTTGTAGGAAGCTTCAGCTTCATCGCGCCAGACGGACATACATACAAGTATTGAAAATCATTATAATGAATAAGTTATTCTATGTAACAAAGCATCTTTTATACGTTGATTAACCTAATTTAAAAGTCATTAGAATACAATAATCTGCGAGATTGTTTCGTTTGAACAATGTTATGTTTTTCGACAATTACATTATATAAAATTAATCTTTCGCACTCTTTCCGATTACAGAGTCGATTATACCGCTGATGAGACCGGATTTCATCCTTCTATCAATCTCGTCGCAAAGTAAGCGGACATGAAATTACACTCTAATTAAGATTCTTCGATCATCGACATATTCGTGTAATTACATACGAGTATTAGGATACTTTATTACACGAGACACGCGACTCACCGATGTACATACAAACAGATACAAAAGAAGCGTCAAGAAAATAATTGATCAGAAATGTGCGACCTATTGCCGATCTTCATTCACGCGAATTCTGCGAAATTGATCGCGATACCTTGCATTGTAAAATACGTATAATACACAATGTTGTTTAAAATGTCGATAACAATCGTATAATTATGTAGGACAGAAAATTTGTTCTCTAGTATATAAATGCTTCTTATAAATAATTCATCGAACAAAGATAATTCTGCAAATATAGTTTTAATGTAAAATTATTTTATACTCTCTATTTCTTGTCAATGCATTCGCAGAAAAAGTACTCGCATGTATTACGAGAAATATGATAACGAGCTGTATCTGTCTGTATGCATTCGCGTATCTCGAGGATAAACTCGCATGCCGGCAGTACGTATTATTTTATCAGTTTTCCTTTAAACTGCTAGCAAACGAGAGAAGTTTCGTTTGCGATTATATTTTATGAAGGCGATGGAGGTACAGTACTCATTTGAACCGCCGCGGTACCTACGTTTTTTTCTTACATATACAACATGATTTTTTTATACACATATCTATTGTATGAATTTACAAAATGCAATTTGTGAAAATAAATCTCTATAAAACCTCTATGAAATTAATATGATAATCCCTTCTTCGGTGCAAACAAAATGTTGTTCCAAATGTAATATAAAACAATATAAGATAATATATATGATAATATATATTTATATTGAATATTCAATATAAATATTTAAATATATAAGATTAGACACTGCATCAAATTAGACAATTACTAAAAAAATCATTCAATCAATCTATTAAACGATTATATTAACATAATTCAATATTATTCGTAAAAAATATACAAAACATATCGCGAATATAAAAATTCAAGCTTGATCTAAAGTCATACTATATTCCTTCCTTTCACATGTAATACATTGTTTGTATTTAAACATTTGTATCATTTATATATCTAACAAATGCAAATACCATGTGTTTAAACTCGACGAATAAAATTTTTTTATTATAAGTATGTTAATCGAGGAACTTGATCCTATATATATTTCAATAAACAATCACAAAAATCGATCCGAACGTACCTGAATACATTGCTCGGGAATAACAAGTTTAAACTGGATTTCTAAATAATCCCCAAGCTCTAATTAAACTTAGAGTTTTATTCAATTTCGACATCCATTGTAATCCTTCTTCTTTTGTGTCAGCTAATAAAAAGTGCCTGTGGATAATATATAAATAATATTAAGTAATATAAGTTCATTTTATGTTAATAATGACAAACCGAAAGTAATGATACATACTGTATTGTGGTTTCAATCCCATTCGTCTTCATAATGAGATTGTTATCATCTCCGGGTTGCGCTGGTCTAGATGTCTCCAATACAAATGTAAAGGGACGAGCGCATTTCTCTCGATTTACGAATTGTACATTCTTCGTAAATATATCTACATATATATACCATATATCGAATATATAAATCCAGAAATTAAGTCGAAAATAATCAGGCACACACGGAAAAATTACAATCAAATGTTCAAATAGAATTACCTTCTAAGTCTAAATATGTTATCGGACTTTTCTTGTGTTCGTCTTCAGGATGTATCCAAAAATAAAGTCTAGTGTTTTTAAGCCAGCACCATCTTCGACTCCAGGCTCCTAAGTTAGAAATTTCCTCAAAAAGTGTCAAGAATCCACGATGCTCTACCGATATCGAAAGCTTGCGCGATACATGCATTTGTAGAAGTCTTTCCAGAGGAGCATGCTGCGAAGTCTAAATAAAAGAATTCAGAATCAATGGTTGTATATGTACATGTTAGGTTAAATTAGTTATAAATTTTCGTCATATTAAATAATTCACATACCTCATATAAAGTGAATTGTTCACAATTTATATCATTGATCGTAATAGTCGCAGTTCCAGATAATTCAAAAGAAGGCGATCTGATTACGTGCGGTCCAGCTGGATTCTGTATATCCGGCATTACAAATTGACTTTTTTTCTTTGGCGTCTTATTTATCGTCTATAAATGAATGCAATATTAAATATAATCATTACCACACATTTTATTATATTACAATTTAAAGAAATATATATAGAGATCTTACTTTTATGTTATGAAGATTGATATGGTATTTTTTTTCATGTGGCAAAAATTTTGGCTGTGTCTGCAAGGAATATACTTCAATATTAATTTTAAAGTCACTAGTCAAATTCTCAAATTTTAACATTGAAGTGAAACGAATGCATGAATCGCCTGGTTCTGCAGTAGCTGCTTGAGTGCTAACCATTTCATCCAAATGATACATCAAGCAGACACAGTAAAGATATTTATCTGCAATAATTTGTACAATTATTTTAATGTAGTTTCTTCACACAACAAAACTGTACATTACTTTATACTTACCAAGATCCTTATATTCTGGTTTTAATGATAATGTAATTGCTGAAATTGATAAGATTCCACCTGGTGACTCTGTGTTGGTAGGTCTTAGCGTACCTTCCCGCTTTAGTCTCTGCACTTCATTCAATGCAATTTGTCGTTTACGAGCTAAATGTGAAAAAAAAATATAGTGTTTACATTTATATACAAAACTCTGCATATTGTATTAAAATAAAAAACTTACTGGCAACAAGAAGAGCCCATTCGCCTCCGACATATTCACTAGAGCCATTAAATTCTATGCTAGCTTTGCATAAATTTAATGCTTTACTAGCTTCTTCCATTTTCTTGTCTTGTATGACAACTTCGTCCATTAATTTTTTCACTTTATTTTCCACTAACATTAATTCATCTTCACATTTATCTACATCAGAATCTAGATTTGATTCCGTTTCTGATTTTGTAACTGAATAAGTTTTGGTCAACTAAAATTATGTCAAATGTCAAATATTTCCTATATTCATAGCTGTATTAAAATATTTAAACTTACCTGAGATTGCTCTAGTCTATATTCACTAACAGTGCGTACTAATGGTATGCATTTGCTACTATCATTCTTTGAACTCTCTTTTGAAGGTGAATGATGTCTATAATCTATGTATCTATAAAAATTAAAAATAGTCTCTTAAAGAAAACAAAATTTTCATTTTAGTAAAATCTAAAATATATGCAATTGACTGTACTTGAAACTATTACATGCCACCAATGGACATGTGACACTTTTATTTATTTTCGGTGATGCTGAACTTTCCTCTTTCACATTATCTTCCATGTCGAGATATTCGTCCAAATTTTGCTCCATTTCATCTAATGTTGAAATATCTGATGTAGTGCTATCTAAATATCCTGTAAAGTTCTGCAATATGATTAAGAAATATTATTATACAATAATATAAAATAAATATTATATATAATAATATATATATATATATATATATATATATATATATTATTATATATAATAATATACAGAAATATACATATAATCTAGAGTATAATATTAAATGATTTTTATACCTTTTTATTAAATGAGGAGCGTTTGTTGAACACATTCAAAACAATACGTTCTAAACTCGTACGTCCGAAAGATGAATTCTGTGTGCTTTCTCGATCACTTTCACTCGTCTCTTGATAATTTTCATCATTCTACAAATATCCAAGAATGTGTAAATATTTCTCAATACATACTTGATCATTTTTATTTTACCTGAGTATAATCGGTGATTATTCGATGATCACTTTCAGTTTCAATTTTCTCATTAAGAGTATCTTCCATGTCTAGACACTTATCCAAATATTCATTCATTTCATCTTGTGCTAAAATATCCGATATAATGCCATCTGGTTCTATAGATCTCTGTAATATTATTAAAAAATATTTAATAATATAGAAATATTTTACAGTTTCTACTTTCTTTTTTATTATTCCATTGCTCTCTAATTTTTTCCTAAATAACTGACAGTTCAATATAAGTTCTCCTTTTAAAATAAATATTGTAAAATACCTTTGAATTTAATATTGGATGCGATAAATTATCTTCCCAATTGTTAATTGAAGCTAAAGCTGCTAATCGATCAAGTCTAGCACCTCTTTTAATCGATTTATGTTCTATATCAATTTCTTCTGCATTGAATTTCTCTTCAGTCCTATGTATTGAGGATCCAAGAGTATTATCCTCTGAAAAAGACAAATTATGTATTCATTTATATATCCATATAATAAAAGTTAACATATTTGTTCTCTAGAAATAAATCTATGAATTAAAAAATTAAAAAAGAAATAAGAAAGGAAATGCAATCGTGCATATTATGTATATATTTTAGCCTGTATTTTAGACATGCTCATATATTTTTTATCAGTGAATAAATTTATATAGGAATACTATGGATTATGTGAAGTTGTAAGTGTCTAAATAGAAATATCAGCAAAAGAAGACTCTACTACAAGATTCTCAAATATAAACTATTATCAATCAGTGTTTAATTTATATTCATTTTATTTTTATATATAACTACTATTTACTAGAATATAATTTTCCAAGTTTTTACAACTTTGAATGTACATTATAAGTTTCAAATTCTTCATTTTCTTTATTATTTTATTCATTATCCTCAGATGTGTTATTTTCAGGCTGAAGGAATATATCAGAAGATTTTATAAAATTATTAAATCTTGCTATAAGAAAAGCGAATAGTTGTTTATTATAACATATAACTTTGTGATTTATTATGCAATAAATATTTTTAACTGCACTATTTGATTTATACATAAAATCTAGAAAAAAATGTATAGAAAAAAATATTACCTGTTATTTGTTGAATATTTTCTTTCAAAGGATTCTTTTTTTTAATATCATGTCCTGCATTAATTAATTGTTCGTTCAATTTCTCTGTCTGTGCTGCAGCTCGTCCCAACATGCGCTATTTATCAATATATACATATATAATATACAATAGAAATAATACTAATAAGAAAAATACTTTGATGCATATATTAATAATAATAAATATTATAACTAATAAATATTCTTTTGATATTTAATGGTATAATAATATTACTTAATATAAAATGACATTTAAATAATATTAATTATAAATATTAATTTATAATAATAATAATAATTTCAATATATTGCCACACATGGCTTAACATACTTCTTTCTTAAAAAAAAAAAGTTATCTAGAGATCGATTGAGTAGAAATCCACTTATGGATATAATCGAGATATCGTAATTATGTCGTGAAATAAATTAATATATATATGTTTATGTGAATATCCTGTAGCATTGATCTGATTAAAATGAAAAAGTTTCTTACTTGTATGAAGGGCTCCATTGTTTGAAAAATCACGTTTTACTTTCACCGAAATTCCTTTATGAATATTCTTATTCCGAATACAAAGTTATTGAAATAACTCCGAAGAATCGAGATGTAGTCTTTGTTCTGCAACGTACAAAAGAACTATCTACTACCTACTACTGTATTTTGTTTCTAACCGTTGTATTTAAACATAGGCGCCTTACTATTCGATAAGAGAGAAGGCATCGACATATACACTGGACTGAGGCTGTGTACGCTTACGCGCATCATTCTGTCTTTATTGCACATCGAATATCAAACGAAGATAGAGCGATGCTTTCAGCGCTAAAATCGTAAAAACGAACGCAGTCTGAGCATCGCGATAAACAGGCGAGCGCCCGCTGTAGAGAGAGAGGGGATTGCAACCGATTGACCACGTCGCCAATTGGCCAATTTAAAATAGGACTCTCTAATTGGTTAATCGTTGCTAGTTACCCTAGGCACAGGTTGATATAATTGGCTGTGATCAATCGCAACGTGGTCAAATGGGACGCTCCCGAGAGAGGCCTATGTCTGTCTCTTTTGCTAGTATCTCATTGGTAACTTTGGTTCCCGCCCATCGAGGCCAAATGAGTTGCTCCCATGTAGTATCTTTCTCTCTCTCTCTATAGCGGGCGCTCGCCGGTCTATCGCGATGCTCAATCCAGTGCGTACAGTGTATATGTCGATGGGTTGTGCTTCTCGATGCACTCATTAGGTCTGTTCGTTTTAGCTGCACTGCTGGACTAGTGCAATAAGTTAGCAAAGACATACATACTAGGTGTGTTTCGGGGTCGCATCGCTACAGTAGCGCTACTATAGCGCTACATAAGCATGTTTCATGTTATTAAAGCGCTATAGTACCCAGACAGCACATATGTCCAAGAAACATCTAAAAGACGACTTAAAAACGTCTTAAAGACATCTTTAAGACATCTTTTGGCCTTTTTGTGCTGTCTGAATAGCGCTATAAAAGTACGTTTCAAGGCTTTCTGCTACAATTGTAGCGGTCGCCATTTTTTTCTGCTACAATTGTAGCAAAAAAGCTGTAGCGCTACTGTAGCGATGCGATCTCAAAACACACCCACTTTCTTTCACTATAATTGCACTAGTGCAGCAGTGCAGCTAAAACGAACAGACCGATTGTGACTATATACACGAATTGTGATTGGCTTCTGCTTTTCTGCCAAGATGTAAATGCGCCTTAAGAATAAGTTCTCATTTGACGCTCAACACTTTTTAGCATCAAAAGATCACATTTATAAAAAATACTCTTATTGAATGTGTTTTATAAAATATTCTATTGAATATCGAATATCATATATCGAAGAACGTAGTCTTTGTCTAAAAATTGATCGTGATATCTTACATTGTAAAATATGCATAACATATGATCTTACTTAAAATCATGAAGTATTAAATATTTTTTTATATTTTTTTGCTGCTTCTTAAATTATAATTACAAATAGATATTATAAAATATTTTTCAAAGATATAAACTTAAAAACGAAATCGTTTTATGTAGAGATAGGATGGATATATTTAATTAAATATAAAAGAGTTGAATATATATGTACTTAATAATCCTTATGCTATAAAAAAATATCCTTAATTATCGTTTTATCAATTAGTTTTTTATGGTTTTAAATCTTAAGGGATAATTATAAGTTATCTATATATAATTAATCAAGTTGTATACATAATTAATTATGAGTATATAAAATTGTAATTTTACACATATAAATATTACTATGTTAATGAAGATTAATCTATTTAGCCTATTTACAATTTTTTTCATGTGTATATAATACTATAAAAATATCGGAATACAATTACAATAATATCAAAGTCCCTCTTTCAGTGCAAACAAAATATTATTCAAGAAGCAATTCAAATCAATATAAATTAATATATATACATATATTCTATATATATATATATATATATATATATATATATATGTATATATATATATAATGTATATATCAATTACTTAATATATACATGTGCATGTATTAAATATATTGATATAAGAATTAAGCGGGTAAATTTTCATAATTTTGTTTGCTTATTACATATTATTTTTATAAATGTTATTATCAATAAGATATTAAGTATATCTTTAAACAAATGTTTTTGTTTCATAGATTATGTCTCTATCTAAGATTGTATAAGATTACAAATTGCATTAAATTAATCAATTAGTAAAAAATCAATCAATTAATCAATTAAACAATTATATTAAAATAAAGCATTATTATTCGAAAAAATATGTAAAACATATTGTGAATGTGAAAATTCAAGCTTGACCTAAAGTTCTACTATATTTCAAATCCTTTCATATGTAATATTTGCATTATTCGTATTTAAACCATGTACCGTATTTGTACCATGTTATATATCTAACAAATGCATGTACTTAAACTCGACGAATAAAAATTATTTTGCTAAATATGTTAAACGAAGCACTTTATCCTATATATTTCAATAAGTAATACATAATCATTGCTCATTTCTTATCACAAAAATCGATTTGAACGTACCTGAATACGTTGTTCGAGATTAACAAGTTTAAACTGGATTTCTAAATAATCCCCAAGCTCTAATTAAACTTAGAGTTTTATTTAATTTCGACATCCATTGTAATCCTTCTTCTTTTGTGTCAGCTAATAAAAAGTGCCTATAAATAATATATAAATATAATAAATATATAAATATAATAATAATAAATATATAAATATATAAAAATAATATATAAATATAATAGTATTAAGTATTATAAGTTCATTTTATGTTAATGATAAGCCGGAAAATAATGATACATACTGTATTGTGGTTTCAATCCCATTCGTCTTCATAATGAGACTGTTATCATCTCCGGGTTGCGCTGGTCTAGATGTCTCCAACACAAATGTATAGGGACGAGCGCATTTCTCTCGATTTACGAATTGTACATTCTTCGTAATTACACCTACAGATACATAGCATATTGAATAGATAAATCCAGAAATTAAGTAAAAAATAACCAGGCATACAGAAAAATTACAATCAAATGTTCAAATAGAATTACCTTCTAAATCTAAATATGATATCGGACTTTTCTTGTGTTCGTCCTCAGGATGTATCCAAAAGTAAAGTCTAGCGTCTTTAAGCCAACACCATCTTCGACGCCAAGCTCCTAAGTTTGAAATATCCTCAAAAAGTGTCAAGAATCCGCGATGCTCTATCGATACCGAAAGTTTGCGCGATACACGCATTCGTAGAAGTCCTTCCAGAGGAGCATGCGGCGAGACCTAATGAAAGAATGCATAATTATAATCAACACTTATATACATGTTAGATTTATATATAAATTTTTATCGTATTAAAAAGATGCACAATATACATACTCCATACAAAGTGAATTGTTCACAATTTATATCATTGATCGTAATAGTCGCAGTTCCAGATAATTCAAAAGCAGGCGATCTGATTACATGCGGTCCAGCTGGACTCTGTATATCCGGCATTACAAATTGACTTTTTTTCTTTGGCGTCTTATTTGTCGTCTGTAAATAGATGCAACATTAAATATAATCATTATTATACATTTTATTACGTGTTATAATTTAAAAATATATATATAAAGATCTTACTTTTATGTTATGATGATTAATGTGATACTTCTTTTCATGGGGCAAAAATTTTGGCTGTGTTTGCAAGGAATACACTTCGACATCAATTTTAAAATCACTATATAAATTTTCAAATTTCAACATCGAAGTGAAACGAATGCAAGAGTCACCTGGTTCAGCAGTAGCTGCTTGAGTGGCAACCATTTCACCTAAATGATACATCAAGCAGACACAGTGAAGATATTTATCTGCAACAATTTATACAATTATTTTAAAACAGTTTTTTCACAATATTTTATCACAATAATAAAACTATATATTACTTTACACTTACCAAGACCCATATGTCGAATATATTCTGGTTTCAGTGATAATGTAATCGCTGAAATTGATAAGGCTCCACTCCCCACATCTGGTGAACCTGCCTTGACAGGTCTTAACGTGCCTTCTCGTTTTAGTCTCTGCACTTCATTCAATGCAGCTTGTCGTTTACGGGCTAAATGTGAAAAAGAATATAGTTTTTACGTTTATAATATTTATTTAATAGATTTTGCATATTATCTATCCTTCCAATATCTAATATATACAAAATTCTGTATGTTGCATAAAAATAAAAACTTACTGGCAACAAGAAGAGCCCATTCACCTCCGACATGTTCACTAGAACCATTAAATTCTATACTAGCTTTGCATAAATTTAATGCTTTGCTAGCTTCTTCTATTTTCTTGTTTTGTGTTACAACTTCGTCCAATAATTTTTTCACTTTATTTTCTACCAGCACTGATTCATCCTCACATTTCTGTATATCAGAAGCCAGATCTGATCCTGCTTCTGGTTTTGAAGCTGAATGAGCTTTAGTCAGCTAAAATTATAAAAATGCCATAAATATTTTTTATTCATAGATATATTAAAATATCTCAACTTACCTGAGATTGTTCTCGTCTATATGCACTAACAGTGCGTACTAATGGTTTGCATTTGCCACCATCTTCTAAACTATCTTTTAGAGGTGAACGATATCTGTGAAATTAAAAATCGTCTTTTAAAGAAAACGAAAAACTTTTTTTTATCTTAATCTTAAAATCTATAAAATATATGCAATTGATTATACTTGAAACTGTTATGCGTCACTAATGGAGATCTGCCACCTTTATTTACTTTCGGTGGTGTTGGACCTTCCTCTTTCACATTATTATCTTCCATGTCGAGACACTCGTCCAAATATTGATCCATTTCGTCTAGTGCTGAAATATCCGATGTAGTGCTATCTGGATCTGGTTCTATAGATCTCTGTAATATTATTAAAAAATATTTAATAATATAGAATTATATAATATATAATCTAGAGTAATATATAATCTAGAGTATAATATTGAATGATTCTTGTACCTTTTTATTAAACAATGAGCGTTCGTTAAACGCATTCAGAACAGTACGTCCTAAACTCGTGCGTCCGAAAGATGAATTCTGTGTGCTTTCTCGATCACTTTCAGTCTCTTGATCAGTTTCATTATTCTGCAAAATACCCATAATAAATATATAATATAAATAAAGAATGTATAAAAATATTTCTCAATATATACTCGGTTATTTTTATTTTACCTGAATGTAATAATCGGCTTCAGTTGTCGTTTCGCTTTCAGTTTCAGTTTTCTCATCAAGAGTAGCTGTCACAGGCTCGGTACTATCAATAGTATATTCTGAATCAACTTCACTTTCTTCTGTAACTTCGATGTTAGATAAATTTGGGTAAAGGGATCCTGTTTTCGGAATACATACACGGATACGTTTAACATTGGAATCGGAAAAAGTTTTATTCGAATGTTGAACCTTAGGTGGACTTCCAACAACTGTAAAATATGTTAAGAAGTAAAATGAATCAGTATTATATTTTATATACACGAGAAACACAATATGAGAATTAAAAAAAGAAATCTGTTTTTTTATTACCTTGTCTTTTTATCGAAGATTTACTATGATATGACACAATCTCAGGTTGTGTTGGTGGTAGTGGCGGTGGTGGCGGTGGAGTGATGTGATCCTATATTAGATAAATATATAATTTATAATTAATGACATATAAACATATATATATATATATATATATATATATATATATATATATCCTATAAGTTATAAAATTTAGTTTTACCGGAGCAGGAGTCGGTTTCACGGGACAAATCGGCGAACTTTTTGGGGAGGTTGATTTGCCACCTCCTTCGCTACTTTCGCTCGTTCTAACACAGGATCCAGCAGCGGCACGAGCAATCTCCTTATTGTTATTAAATCGCGAGCGCAGCATATTTAATTCACGCTGTCTCTCGTTAGTAGCTTGTAAGATATGATTTTCCATTTCTCCTACTTTGTTTTTATTGCTACCTTGTTCAAATACTGCACGTTGTTCAAGAACAGAGAAGCTTTTGTTTGAAGTCTCATTTCGATTATTCGCGTCATGAACAACCAAATTACTTATATTAGATCCTGATTGCATATTAAACTTATTACTCTCCTGTAATTTCTTAGGCGGTATCGACATCGTAAGCGGTGCTTTTGGTATTAGTGGTGCCTCTCCTTTGTTTCGCTCAAAAAACGCCATTCTTTCGGCGACTGACATTTGAGTAGGATCTTTCGCCTTGGTATCCATGTTTTTAGCTTCGAACATTGATGCTTTGCTTAACACTGAACCTGATGATTGGACTAAAGTTTTTGGCGAGCCGTTAAATCCAGTTCTCGATGGTAGTCGAGAACTGCTATTGGTATTTGCGCCTTTCACAATATTTTCGGGAGTATTAGAATTGCTAGTGTTGTCTTCTGTATTCTTGTTTCTCGGTGAACAATCAAATTTCTCAGATGAGATTCGCTTCTTTTCCATCTGAACATTACTCGTGAGTTTCTTAGGTGATAAATGATTTGGCGTCGCATTTGTTGATCCCTGAGAACAATGCTTATAGTCATACACAAGGCGAGAATTGCTTTTCGTACGACTAAAGCCTTGAGCCTCCTGTAAACGTTTAGCTATCCAAATATAATCGTTTATGCTAATTCTTATGCTAATTGCCAATTCTTTTTTCCTTTATCGAAAATATCAGAGTATAGAAAAGTATAATATAAAAAATACACAAAAAAAAATTTATATAGCATAAACAATTGTACAAAGAAATTTACAAAGCTTTAGTCTCCTTCGTCTTTTAAAGAGAAAATTAAAATAAATTATTTTTTTACCAAATTTTCTAATACAGTTTTATCCCACTTTAATTGTTTAACTGGACTAGCATCTTTGCTTTTTGTCCCATTACTAACAGCAACCCACTTGTAATTTTCACTTGTGCTTGGTTGTGGTTCTACATTCTTAACTTGTTCATTAAACTTGGCTTGTATTTTTTCTGTTTTGTTACTTACTGGTTTAGCCTATAAGAATAATTGTGTATAAATTTAATTACTTTTATTCTATATGTTATTCTATTTTCTCTTCTTTCTGTTGTTTTACATAAAAAATTTTTTTTTATTTTCACAGTTTCTAATTCTTTTATTATTATTCCATCGCCCTTCATTCTTTTTCCAAATGACTGACACCTCAACATATAAATTCTTTTAAAATAAATATTGTAAAATACCTTTGAATTTAATATTGGATGCGATAAATCATCTTCCCAATTATTAATGGTTGAAGCTAAAGCTGCTAATCGATCGAGTCTAGCACCTCTTTTAATCGGTTTATGTTCAGTATCAATTTCTTCTGCATTGAATTTCTCTTCAGTCCTATGTATTGGGGATCCAAGAGTATTATCCTCTGAAAAAGACAAATTATATATTCATTTAATAAAAGTTAACATAATTATTCTCTAGAAATAAACCTATGAATTAAAGAAATAAAAAAGGAAATGTAATCATGCATATTATATATATTTTATCCATTATGTATATTTTAGACATGCTCATATATTCATTGTTAGTAAACAAATTTGGGAATACTATGAATTATATGAAGATATAAATGTATAAATATGAAAATATCAACAAAAAATTAGAATCTACTACAAGGTTCAAGATAAATATAAACTACTATCAATCAGTGTCTAATTTATATCCACTTAATTTTTTATATATAAAATTACTATTTACCAGAATATAATTTTCCAAGTCTTTGCAACTTGGAACGCACGTTATATGTCCCAAATTCATCATTTTCTTTATTATTTTGTTCATTATTCTCAGATGTACCATTTTCAGGCTGAAGAAATATGTCAGAAGATTTTATAGGAGTTTTAGCTGCAGTTGCCTTTGGTGATTTGATTGAAATTTCATTTGTTATTGTTGTTGTTTTTGGTGATTTGACTGAAATTTCATTTACTACTGCTGCTGCTGCTGCTACTGAATAAGTATAAAGCTATATGGCAATTGTCTCAATATAAGACTATAAGAAGTTAATAGTTTATACATTTAACTTTGCGATTTATTATATAATAAATATTTTTAACTGCACTATTTAAATTATATATGAAAAATCTAAAAAAAGAATGTATAAATATATTACCTGTTAGTTGTTCTAGCTGAACATTTCCTTTTGAAGGACTTTTTTTAATATCATGTCCTGCATTAATTAATTGTTCATTCAATTTCTCTCTCCGCGCTTTAGCACGTTCCAACATACGCTATTTATCAATATATACATATATAATTGGAGTATAAAAATAAAAATAATAAAGAAATACTTTTGTGCACATTATAATAAATACTCTTTTGATATTTAATGATATAATAATAATATAATAATGATAATAATGATATAATAATGTTTCTAACATGAAATGACATTTAAATACTACAAATGAATATAATAATAATTTCAATATATTGCACACAATCGAATATCTTCCAAAAAAAAAAAAAATGTTATTTAGAAATCGATTGAATAGAAACCATTCATGAATATAATAAAGGTATTGTAACTACGTCGTGATATGTCAATATGTATTCATATGTATTTATCTGATTAGAGGAAAAAAAGATTCTTACTTGTACGAAAGGCTCCATTTATTTTGAGAAACCAAGTTTGCCTTCACCGAAATTCCTTCACGAAACAAGAATTTATTTCCGAAACAAAAAGACTCTTCTTGAAACGATACCGAAGGATCGAGGTGCGGCTTTTATCCTGCAACGTACAAAAGGACCACCTTTATTTCTGACCGTTGGATTTAAACACAAGCGCCATACTGCTCGACGGGGGGGACAAAAGAGAGAAAGTGAGAGAGAGAGGGAAAAACGGATGGAGAATGAATCCTCACTGGTGATTCTCGGGAAGTCTCGTGTCTGATATGTCAAACAGATAAAAAACGTATCGCAAAAAACATACATCAAAAAATGACTTTTTACTTCGCGAAAAGACATGATTCTTTATTTTTCTCGCACGAATAAAATTATTCGCCTTTAATATCACCACGATTATACCCGATTACGCTTTTCCAATTCTTACATTCGTATTTTTAGACGAAATGAATGTATATACGTATATGCATGCTTTAAATAGGAAAGGGAAAACATGCATACGATAAAACGAGTAAACTTAATATTGCGAAGAGTTCTCGTCAGAAGAAAATGTCAAACCTGAGCGTTTTAATTCAGTGGCAAATTGTGATGAACAGACGCGCACTTTCATGTCAAGACTGAGATGCGTAGAGACGCCAAGCAACGAAAAGCTACAGCGCAGTGACGTAACTACAAATTTCCTCACCCTTAAGCAAAATAATTAAAACTTGTTCTTTTTATTTTATCTGCAACATATTAAAAAGAAATTTAAGATAAAAATTTGTGCAGGTTTTTATAAATATGCCTACAATTGAGAACGAATGTGAATACGTTTTAATTCTTTATTGAAATCTGATTTTTATGAAACACCTTATTCACATTTAATAGTACATTACTGATGTAATCCTACGCTTTGACCAAACGGTTTGAAATCGCGCTTCCCGATTGGTCCGCGGGGGACCAATGCCCTTTCACATCATACGTATAAATTATAAATTTAAAAATTCAAATTTTTTACGGTTCGAATTACAAATCGTTCGAAGAAATGTTTAATTTAAAAATAAATTAAGCAGCACAAAATTATCTAAGGCACTTTTCTTCCTAATTATAAATTATAAAAATTTTATTGACTAAAATAAAATATGAAGTATCACAAATAGGTTTAATTATATATAACATGTCAACAGATAGATTGGAGTCCGTTATCCCCGTGGAATATTTATATCATATTTTGGGATAGTAGTTTTTTTTCGTCATACATGAGATGATTCGTCCCCGGTATCAGCAGCCATGGCTTCACGATTTTCGTATGCCCAAAAACCATGGAACTCGATTAAAATACTGACCATCGTGTCACCTTGTCCACTTGCAATCAGAATATTTTACAATTTAGCAGGCTAATGTATTTTTCTATATCATAATATATTGTATACAATATTTTATACCAAGATAAGAGATCCTGCAGCGTGATTTTACATGGATCTGCTGGTTTGACCATGTCAAATATTTCGTCTTTAACGTCTTCAAAGCTAACAGGTTCTTGGCCATGCATTGTCATTTGTTCTTGTATAGCCTGCAAAACATGTCTATTTTAATTGAAAACTACAAAAAATCTGTCGAAAAATTTAAATCAACGATAAATACAGGATACATACTCTAAAGAAATAGTTAAGACAAAATGTGTCTAAATAACCACGATTGTTGATATCAAGAATACGAAACAGGTAATGAAGACTCTGAGGTTCATGTCGATTCTCTAATGCTAAGACAAAATCTAAGTAGGTTTTATAGTCCATTTCCCCTTCGTAAGTCAAGCATTCTTGAAATATTCTTTCAAGAAAAACACCGGTTAAAGTACCAGTACCATACCTATGTAAGTATATTTTTAATTTATTTTTGTATATGTGATAATTTTATATTATAATGCATTTATCATATTTTTCAGTTTATTACCCAGCAAGTTCTTCCTTGTTTAACATTCCATTATGATCTCTGTCGAGGTTAAGATATTGTCCGTATACTTTAAGAGCAGATGGTGCAGAAAACCAATTTGCTTCTTGTAAATCTTTCGGCAAGTCCTCATCTCTTAACTCTAAAAGATCATCCAGAAAACTGCATGTTAAAATATCTTGAATACGAACTCGTCCAGTTCGAAGAGGATCCAAGAAGAATAAAAATTTTCTCACAGCTGTGCACACATAAAATGAATGAAAAGATTTTTCAAGACCTTCGAGTTGCGGCAACGTTGGTATCAATTCTAAAATATAGTTTTCCAGATCCTGTATAAGTAAATAAATTTAAAATTTAAGAAAATCTCATAAATAAATATATTAGTATATTATATATTATATATTATATATTATATATTATATATAGTATAATATATAATATAAGGATGATAAGAATATGATAAAAGTCTATATTTTGAAAAACTTACCGATTCTCTAAGATATCCTTGTCCTGTCATATCGTATAAAGAAAGACCAATCCGTGTTTGGTGTAACCAAACTTTTCGCATAACATAATTGAATAGCGCCGTAATGCTAATTCTACCATGTGGATCTCCTTGTTGTAGTTTAGCAAAAACAACTGCGGTAAAATACGAACTACATTTTGCTCCTGCCAGTTTACCCACTTTCTTAAAATCCTCGTAATTAATTAACTGCTCATCCCCTGACAATGGTGGACTATGATATTTGTCCAACAAAACATACAATGCTTTCAGTTCATTGTTATCGAGCAATTGTCGAGAGCGTCTTTGCAAGAATAAGGCACGCGTCTCTTCGCGTAACTTTTGTGGTAAAATTTCATCCTCTTTCGGCAACTTGAAATAAAACTTTGGTATAATTTTATACGTAGTATCATTATCCCTTGCCTTTACACCTTTCCACTGCTGATACATTTTCTGAAAGTACTCATCCTCTTTCTCCTCGATTTGAGAATTTTCATCCCCTGAAACAATACATGACATAAGCACATGGACATAAACGCATTCAGCCTATTAATATGTCGTGTAAATAAATACATGTGCGAAGTGCTATTTTTGTTACAAAATGCAATTATATATATATATACGTACGTTTGTTTGCTAAAGCGCAGTTTCGTAATAAAGTTTTCAGTTCCATATCCATAAACACATCCACCACGCGTTGTTGTCCCTCGACTACTGCACCTGCACCTGCACTTCGATGCCTCGCTGGGTTGCGTTCGAAAATGTCTCGTCGAAGGAGAAGCGGAGTGCCCAATCGGCCAGATCGACCAATCGGAACAGATAAATCCTCGCTTCTTCTATCCCGATTGGCCAATCGAGGGCTGAACATTCCAAGGAAGGTAGACTTTGGAACGCAGCCCTGCGGGTTACGCTGGGTTACGTCGCGTTGCGAGATCAACCGGTGACCCCGTGACAGAAAACAGAATCCCTTGAAGCGCAGCGGCAGATGATTACCTGATCGTTCCTCCCCTCGTTCCGGCGAGCCAGCCGGATATGGTCGGGAAATTGGATTTGCATCGCGCGCGCGCGAGCTTTAATTCCACGTACGGCATGAATCGCGATATAGGTTAGACCCTGCGAGTGTCGTGCGAGGGAGGATAATAAAATTGTTTGATTACGTGGCCGATTCGCGCAAGCCCACGGCTCATGTGCTTGATCCCGCGAGATTCATCGTCGTCGGAGAGGAGCGGCGATGTGCAACGGTGATAAGAGATAAAAGGCTGCAAAGTTGAGCAACAATAAAGCCATGATCCTGTTTAGAACGGGCTCGATTCTGGGCTTCTTGATCCTGGTGAGCGGATTCCGAGAGTACAACAAGAGAGATCTGATCGCTTTGCGCGACGAGGTTCGGTCCATGTTCGATTACGCTTATTCCGGCTACCTGACGCACGCCTATCCCTACGACGAGCTACGTTCGTTGAGCTGCGACGGCTTCGACACCTGGGGCAGCTTCTCCCTGACGCTGATCGACGCCCTGGACACGCTTGCGGTTATGGGAAACCTCTCGGAATTTCGCCGCGTGGCCGAGATAATCAGCGCGAGGGAGAACTTCGAGGCCAATATCAACGTGTCCGTGTTCGAGACGAACATCCGGGTGGTCGGTGGATTGCTGAGCGCCCACCTGTTGTCGCGGAGGGCAGGTGTCAAGCTGGAACCCGGCTGGCCCTGCAACGGTCCGTTGCTGCGTCTCGCCGAGGACATGGCTAAAAGACTGATCGCGGCGTTCGATACACCTACAGGGATGCCATATGGTACGGTTAATCTCAAGTACGGCGTGCCAGAGGGAGAAACCAGCATCACTTGCACGGCTGGCATTGGTACTTTTCTACTGGAATTTGGCACTCTCTCCAGGCTGACCGGAGATCCGCTGTACGAAGAAGTGGCTATGAATGCTATAAAGGCGTTACATTATTATAAATCCAACATTGGCTTGGTCGGCAATCATATAGACGTCCTCACCGGTCATTGGACCGCCCAGGATTCTGGTATAGGTGCTGGAGTCGACTCTTATTTCGAGTATCTGGCCAAGGGTACATTACTGTTCCAAGATCCCTTACTGGCTTCGATATTTCAGGAGCATAGGAGAGCCATAGAAAAGTACATTCGTCGAGAAGATTGGCATCTGTGGGTCTCCATGACTAAAGGTCAAGTGACGCTGCCGGTTTTTCAATCCCTGGACGCTTACTGGCCCGGCGTCTTGAGTCTATTCGGCGAGATCACGGACGCGATGAAATCCCTGCACAATTATCATCGCGTGTGGAAGCAATTCGGATTCACTCCCGAGTTCTACAATATACCGCAGGCCGAGGCGGGTACCAATAGGGAGGGCTATCCCCTGCGACCGGAGCTCATAGAATCCGTTATGTATCTTTACAGAGCGACCAGAGATCCCTGGCTGATCCAAGTGGGAGTGGATATCCTGAGAAGTTTGCAGCACAGCGCTAAAACCACGTGCGGCTACGCGACTATCAACGACGTCCGGGATCATCGCAAAGCAGACAGGATGGAATCCTTTTTCCTCGCAGAGACTACCAAGTACCTGTACCTTCTCTTCGACACCGATAATTTTATTCACAACACTGGCTCCGAGGGTGACCTAATCGATACTCAATGGGGTAGATGCGTCGTGGATGCTGGCGGATACATCTTCAACACCGAAGCTCATCCGATCGATCCCGGAGCATTATACTGCTGTCGTCCGGCGCGAGTGATCTTTCCGGACAAGAGAGCGGTCCTCAAGAGATTTTTACCCACGCGGGACATGCCGGAAGATAACATCGCGCCAAACGATCTTCGCTTCGAGAAGGATGTTATCGAGACGAAGAATCCAGGCGTGCTGCCGATTGCGATAGCCAAATTGTCCGAAATCAGGCACTACGCCGTGAATAAGAAAGAAGGCGCTCTCAATGAGAGCTCTTCATCGTCCGATGCTTCATCGCCGAGGGATTCTGCCGCGGACGAAAACGTGACTGTCGAGGAAACGAAGAATTCGAATCGGACCGTCCGACTTTCGGAGCAGATTCTCGCGCCCTCATCGACAATCTACAAGGCTGACGATAGTGATATTCCCGATAGTTTCGAATCTCCCATATTATCAAACGGACAGTATTCGAGTTCCTCGAGTGCCACGGTGCAGAATTCTGGTACTCGATTAAACGCGACACCGAGTCCCACCAAGACTAGATTCGAGCCCCAAATAATGCTGGAGAACATCAGACGGGGGAATCTCTATCCGACAAATGTCACAGCGAGACAGAATTATCAAATCTTGTCCTGTCAAGCTCAACCATTCCTGCAACGAATGTCGATCATAGGGGAATTTTTTTAAACAACGCGTCGAATAACAAATCGAGGATGTATAGAAATTTGTGAATTTGTTACGGTGATTCTTGAACTATTTTTGAGTCGCAAGAGAGAGACTGTTGTTATGAAAACGAAATTTTACACAGTCTTGTTTCGCAAACATATTGTACTTTAATATATTTCTGTGATATAACTGTTGTATAGTTTATAATAAATATAAGATATGCAAATGAAGAAGAATCTGCTTTTCACTAGCAACTTGAGAAATCTCATTGAATTTTTAATTGCATCGTATAATTATGTTTTTTTGTTAATTTGTGAAATTAAATTTAAATTGTTAGACCTCTGGAAATGTCGAAATTTTAATATTAATATTCCCTCTAATCTAATTATATATCTAATGTAATTATATTTTCTCTTATATTTTATATGTATTTTCTTCAAAAATTGTCAATAGTCTTGTTTACGTAATCTGTAGTATACACAAGTAATTACCACCATTAGATATATATACAATCATAATTTCCAACAGTAGGTAACATTTGTTACATCTCATGTTATCGATAATATTCTATTCAATATGGCGAATTGTTTGCAGTTTCACTTCATATGCTCCATCATGGCTGATAAAAGACAGAATAGTTTATCAGTAAGTATTAAGATATTGTACGTGCCTGTAAATTAAATATAATTTTTGTCAGTTTGTAGAATACATCATGAAAATATGGTTTATAAAAATAGCAAGTTTCTCATTTATTTTATACAAATTTTATGTGAATCGATTTGAAAATATAAACTAACCTCTTTATTGTAAACAAATATTATGTGTGTATATATATGTGCTAAATTATAACTTAATTTTACGTACAGAAAGAAGAAATAGCGAAGCAGTTTATGCTGCCAGAAAGAAAGAGCAAAATCGCAACATTGTTAAAACAAGACGGTCAAGCGTATTGTATTTGTAGAAGCTCGGATAGTTCTCGTTTTATGATGTAAGTAAATTCTCTGAAACGTGTTGATGTATAAAATTATTGTCATTTAGAATCTTTTTACACATCTTTATGAAAATAGAAAATATGATTCTTATTTACATTTCCAATTATTTCAGAGGATGCGACGCATGCGAGGAGTGGTATCATGGTGATTGCATAAATATAACTGAAAAAGATGCAAAACATATTAAGCAATTTTTCTGTGTTGTAAGTTTTTTGACATTTTTGATCAAATTAATATAAAAATAATAAGTCACTATAATTAATTATCATTTGTTTTATATAGCGCTGTAGAGAAGAAGACTCAACTTTGGTAACACGATACAAACCACGTAGAACTGATCAAGATGACAGAAAGCATAGAAAATATAAGGAGAAAGAAGGAGGACATCGATACGAGTACGATGCACCTTGGGATCCTAGAGTAGAAAAAAAATCCTCCAAGCGTTGCGGAGAATGCACTGGATGTCTACGTTCGGAAAATTGTGGAAAATGCGACGCCTGCAGGTGAACTAACATGAAGAAATAATTATCAAATTATCAGTAATTATTTATGCAATGCAATTTTAATTGTGGAATATCTTGTTGATCTATATGTAGACATTTGAAGAAACATGGGCCTTCGGTGCGACTAAAGCTCAGATGTATCCAGCGAACCTGCCGTATACTGGGAGATCCATTAAAACCTTCTAAAAGTTTTAACAAGGGAACGAAATTGACCAAGAAGCGAAAGAGAGATTCGAGTAATGAAAGAAATGAATATCTGGAACCGCCGCGTCATTGCTATGGCCCTGCGTGTACGAAGCAATCGCGACCCGGTAGTAAATACTGCTCCGACGATTGTGGCTTGAAATTAGCGACGAGCAGAATTTATCAGGTATTACCACAGCGGATACAGGAGTGGTCGCTAACTGCGTGCATTGCGGAGCAAAACAATAGACGCGCTCTAGAATCCGTGAGGAAGCAGCAACACGATGTTCGCAGAATACTTCAAGAGCTGGAAAAGAGACACGTTGAATTAGATCGCATCGTCGAACGTGCAAAGCATGCGACCATCGATCCGCAAGCCGAGGTGGACGACAATGACGATACAGAAAGTAGCATGTACTGTATCACGTGCGGCCATGAAGTCCATTCGAGAACCGCTGTTAAACATATGGAGAAATGTTTCAATAAGGTATTATATAAAGTAATATACATATTATACATAGAAAACATAGTACAAACAAATATCTATTTTGACAAATCACATATAATTTATTTCATGAAATATTTTTTAATTTCGAAGTAAAAATTAATACTTCTACTTTGCTTGTATCATTTTGCAGTACGAATCGCAAGCGTCTTTCGGCTCAATTTTCAAGACGCGCATCGAGGGCCAAGTGATGTTCTGCGATTTTTACAATCCTGTGAATAGAACCTATTGTAAAAGATTGCGTGTTCTCTGTCCGGAGCATTGTAAAGATCCCAAGATTGGCGACAGTGAAGTGTGCGGTTGTCCATTAGTTACGAATGTGTTCAACGTTACAGGCGAGTTTTGTCGCGCGCCTAAAAAGAGCTGCGTAAAACACTACATGTGGGAAAAACTGCGACGTGCAGAGATTGATATGGAGAGAGTGAGGCAGTGGCTGAAGATCGACGAACTTGTAGAACAGGAAAGGCAGATACGATCGAATATGGCGACGCGAGCTGGTGTATTAGCGCTCATGTTGCACTCTACTTACAACCATGAGCTAATGGAACAGATGACACAGGAACAGAGCAGAGAACAACTACAGGCGATGGAAGAGGAACTACAAAGAAGATATGGTTTACAAAAGGAATAATGAAGCAGTGATAGCCTCTCTCTACTTCATATTCTTCATTATTCAACCGTAATATCATTTGTTTTAACTCATTTTATATATGCATACCTTCCATGATCGTTTTTATATATATATATATATATATATATATATATATATATATATATATATACATACCTAACAATTTTCAATAAATAAAATCGCGAATGAAACAATGGACATTGAAAGAAATCGAAAAATTATAACTAGTGTAAGCATTGTACTGTAATGTAACATATATGTAATATATATGTACCTGTTAGCAATAATATTAAGATAATTGTATTAATATTATACATTTAAATCTCATGTCTATTGGTTTTTAGAATTTTAGACTTGTAATAATTATCTATATATTTTAATATGCGTGTTTATGCCAAAAAAAAGTTCACATGTCGAAAGAAATGTCTCTTGATTCATACATATATAAAACTTAAAATTTTTTTCCTCCGAATGGTGGTCTGTAATAGATGGAGAAGTTCTGTTTGGTAATATTGTTATTATTTACATTATATGGTATATCGAGAGACGTAGACGTTAGGATCTTTCTTTTCACACACTCCGACAATTAATCGTTTCAACAAAAACCATTTATTCACAAGTCGTAGCCTCTGCGGATGCAAAATAACACGCCAAACTAGCGATCTATCACTTAGCTTCGGAAAATAATCGCGCAAAGCGCATAAAATGGACATTGATCCTTTCAGGAGAATCGCCTGTTTCAAATCGCTTTCTTAAACACAACTAATGATGCAATATTTATCGAAATATTTTGTCATTTTGACAATACATTTTATTATTAAAATTAATATTAATCGCTTAGAAACAATTGAAAATTTACGTAAAATTAGTTTAAGGAACAATAGTAAAGGATTCTCATTGTTTCATCTATTGAAGAATTGAGATTATACACACAATTTTGGGACATATACTATTTAAATATTATGATTATTTGATATATATATATATATATATATATATATATATATATATATATCTGCAAAAAAATAGGAACAATCGTGTCAAATGCAATGGCAGTACATAAAGTAAATACATTTTATATTTGTACTGAATTAAGGAGTCCGGACCTTGGTGTTATTTTTCACACTTCAAGTGCATGCTAGCGGCAGAGTACCGCGAAAAAGCAGTACCGTCTATGCCGGTCTAGTGATGGTAGCAAAGAGGGCACCATTGCGTAGAAAAAGAAAATATAATAATTTATTATATTATTTTTAATTTATTATTTTTAATTTTATATATTATGTATAATATTAAATAATATTCCGTGTTAATATATATATTTTTTTATGCCAGTGCCTTCTTTGCTACCTTCACTAGCATAGACGATACTGCTTTTCACGGCGCTCGGCTACTAGTATGCACTTTGAGTGGAGAAAATAGCACCAAGATTCGGACTCTGGTAATTACAAGATACAAACTGTAATTAAATATAATATCGATATATTTTTAAAAAATTATAAGTATTTCATCTACTTGATTACACAATTTAAATACTTGCATAACAATATTATTATGATAATATCCACACAGAGCAAAATCGTGTAAATGATCTCAATTGTATATTGCGAAAAAAAAATGAATAGGCCACGATAAATCGTTGAGTTTATATTTCGCAAGATTGTGCCGAACTAAAAAATTTTGCGATTCATTTGAAGATATCGATCAAAAACAGGCGATTCATGTGTGCTCGCATGTATGCACATGCACATGCCATGCACATACACATACATGTGCATGCGCTTGTAAAGAAAACGGATGACGAAATAGAACGACTCATTTATCACAGTATTGCACGCAAAGCATGTACGAAATCGCAAGTAAGTTAGCATAAAGGCCAAATGGCGACACTACACGCTTTTCTCTCAGAATACACTCGGGGAGATTAGAATTTTTTTTCGTAAAAGTAACGAAATGTTCTATTCCCTCGTCCTTCCTCTCCTCCTCTCTCTTTCGCTCTCTCTATTTCTCTCTCTCTCTCTCTCTCACACATTCTCAATTATACAATTAGACATAGTCTTTTTACATTCCAAGGATTCCGAATGATTTGTTACATCCATGATCCATGATAACTTTGACATATATCTGATAATATCGTTAGTAACAAAATACTAAGCCATATGTGTGTGAGTGTGAATATATCACCTGAGAATGAATCGTGATATATTTTCGCTTCCTTCGTAACATTTTCTGGGTTTTTTTCACTCTTCCTTTTGATAACTTGTATAACTTTCCTCTTCTCATACGACGGAGTGTGTTTTAACAATCTATTATCGTTACGGATACTATTAAAAAAAATACAGTACGCGCAAGCAATGTTCAATATTCGACGAGTTCGCTGTCTTATTCTTGAATTGACACAGGCTGGATGATCTCGGCCTCTCGACGACCTAATGTTATTTTTTTTTTTTTTTTTTTAACAAAACATTAACGTTTTTACACAAACTCTTCAAAAGGAGAGATTGAATTTCTCCGGATAGTTCTGTAAACGCATACAGAAAAATTTATTCCTCAATTCATTGACGATTGATTAAGATGAACAATTTATACTTAAAGCTTTCCTTTCGAATATTTTTAATTCTGAAAAATTCAGTAGAAAAAAAATAAATACGATCATTCTTATGCAAAATCAATAGAATAAAAATGAGATAAATAAGAGTTTTTTTTTTTAGAAATAATTAAAGACTTAATTATCTCAAAAAAAGGAAAGAGAAAAATATCTAAAATTTTTTTTTCTTTTTGTCTTTCCCAAAGACAACGAACGCTAGCACACGGTTTTGATTTACCATTTCGACAAATCTCGCCGCGTCAAGGATACGATTAAGCAGTTATCGGATATCACTGCTTATCGTATTTTACATTCGCAAGAGGGAACTTTGGCAACAAACATACTCGCATAAAGTAGCTGGACAGTACAGCCTTTTTCACGCACACACAAATTATAGCTTCAATATACATAATGGCTGTTTGTCTCTCTCTCTCTTTCGTTTACTGTCTCTCATTAATATAATAGCGGCACACATTAATAATAATTTTAATTGAATAATTTTTTCATAACGTTGATGTAATAATAATACAATATTATATATATATATATATGTATATATCATACAATACCGTATGTACAATGTAAGAGAATTGTTTCGTATTTAATAACAAAATTTACAGCGGTACGAGATAACATTGAGGTCGTCGTCGTCGTCGAACTATCCTCTTCGGTTTATTTTTTCCTCGTGTTACACGTCTTCCAGATAGTTGAGATAATCGGTCAATAGCTGAGGCAACAAATATCGCAGAAATATTAATTTTTATAGACATTTACGTGAACAGTTGACAATCAATGCTCAATACCGACAATCAGAAATGCAATAACATAAAGAAAAAAAATCATTGCTGGAACATCCAAAGGCAGGAGGAGATATGGTATACAATACTAAAACACTCATAATTCGGACGTCATAGAATGCTTATGAACAAATTTCTCTATAGCATTCCTAAATAGAGCGCAATTGTAAATAAATATATGCAGCTCGAGATGAAAGAAAATAAACATATTTATTTCTCTTCTCATAAACGCTTATAAACGAAAACAGTAGAGGGGAAGAAGTCACATAAATTTTATATATATGTATTATTGTAATTTCTCTCTCTCTCGTTTCCTTCTTGTCATCTATTTCAAGTTGTGTTACTCTCGTTCTTTACCGCGATTCTGATTTACATGTCGTTTAAAGAAACAAAAGTCGGTCCGCAACGATGTTCACGTGTGCTTCTTGTATGTCCATCGAATGAAAAAAAATGTGAAGTAATTATATACTCTACGTGTGTGCGACACAGGTTTGCGTGTAGCTGCCTCCTCATACTCGTTATATACATACACTGTTAAATGGTCCTATCTTTTTTCTTTTTTCCCCTTTTTTTGTTTAATTTTTCTCCACAAGTACATTTGCACTAGTCTTTGCGAACTCTTATCACTTAGCCATTTGAACCGGTCAATGGCACAGGCTGAGACTGCATCCTGTTACTTTAAGGCGGAGTGGAGCACCTAACTTTTTGAATGTAGTTTTTCGCACATCGGATTAAAATAGCTCAAAAAAAAGTATCATCTGTTCTCAGAAGCAACGCAAATTCTTCGATGATTCAGTCAAATTAAGAAATATCGCGAATCAAAGCCGCGAAATATAATTGTCATAGCGTATCGTCGAGTCTTATATAAAAAATAAAAAGAAGAAAAGAAATAGAGTCGAAAGAAATACAATCGATATATTCATCTGTTGAAACATCACACATGAGGAGAGCATAGAAGAGCGTATAGAGAGATTAAAAGAGGATTCATCGAAGAAATAGTTGCGACTTTTTTGGAATGTTAACTTTGATATTGATAATAGGGCTAAATGTGAAATCTTTTTTTTGGGGGGGGGGGGGGGGAGAGGAAGAAAGCGGAGAAGAAAACTAAAATTGAAAAGGTGTATAAAATACAATCAATAACATTCAAAGATTTGCAAAGCAAGAAATTACGCTTTAAAAAAATAAAGAAAGACGCAAGATATTTTGTTTGTTCAGATATTTTAGCTGCAGTTATATGATTATACTTTTTTCGAGTTACCATTCCGATATGCATTCCATAATGCTTATGTCGTACAATTAAATTTTCTCAATTTCTCGCTTATCTCGAGAAAACTGTACTTCCAGCTGAACTATTTCTTATATACTGGACAAAAATGAAAATTATCAACAGAGCACGATATCTTTTTTTTTTCCATTTTTACACAATTTTGATATCTTCACAAAGAAAAAACGATATATAACAAACTTTTTACCCCAATTCTAATTCATTAATAATAATTAACTCGCATTATATAATACTACATACATTACACTTTCATGCCCTTTCATATATATATATGTATATATATATATATATATGAAACTTATCTATGATAATTTATTTTATCATTACCTATATAAAGGTGATAAGTTTCCGTGACATTTCATTCATTCGTTCCTTCATGTATGAGATTGCTGTACGAACATTATTATTTTCATATAGAATAACACGTTTCGTAATAACGCGAGAACAGTTTTTATTTCTCTCGATGTAAAATGTATGCACGACGTTCTCACACTTTCCTGCTTCGGCGAAGCAGTATGAAATGAGTTTAGAAATATAATTAAAGTTAGTTTATAAACATAAAGAGGGATTAACACTAATATTTAACCCGTTTAGTATTTGGGACATAATACGCGCGCGGATCGTAATATCCTGAAGTTACAGAATTCATAGACTTACATTTGTATTACAGTAGTTAAAAGCAGAGCGTTATAATACAATATACTTCATATTTCTCTTAGGCTCAATTTTTTAGGCATTTACAGGCATACAGAAATTTAAAAAGTATGGCTTATATATCTTTTCCGCTCTCTTTCTCTCTGCAGTTAATTTGAGAGATGAAATTCCCCTTACCGTTATATATATACATATACACCGTACTATATGTCAGCGTATATATTTCTACTTACACTTTATCGAAATGATAATCATTTTTCTTTTTACGCCTGTAAATAACGCCTCGAAAAAAAGAAGAAAAAAGGAAAAAAAAGAAATGCAAAAATTCATGTTTTGAAACATTGATAGAACATCGTCATTTATAAGATATCCGATAAGAAAAAACTAAAACTTAGGAACTAGGAACGTACCTCGCGTATAGAATTTATAAAACTCGAGTTATACTTAGTGAGCAAATAATATATGTACACATAAATTATCTCTGTGCACTTCCGGAGCAATGTCTGTTCTGCAATCTAGTCATAGATCACACATTAGATAGCAGAATCGGTTGAATAAAATTCAACTTTCTGTCCCCTAACATCTGGCAGCTGCGACATACATCCGTTTATACATGGGCTTTTGCGCATAAAAAATTATATCAATAAATTGTTCATTTTTCTACAAAATCTGGAATAAAGGATTATATAATATTGTAGACGATAGACACGTAAGCGAGGCAGTAGATATTGTCAGTGATTCGTAAATGTAATATAAAGTCTATTGAACAAATAATATAGTATAAGAATATTATAGCATATTCACATGAAATGCAATTAATTTGGAATAACTTTTGTTTAGAATCTCTAAAAAAGTTCAGAGATATATTTCAACGTGTATATAATGATTATATGATCGAACAGCAATCTCATTTCTATGATTACCCGATAAAATCTATACGAAATCTACATGAATTATACACACGCATACAAATTCATTTACAGCATCGTATTTTTACTGATCACAAGCACGTATCTTCTTATATTATCATTATGAATATAGTTATCAGTTATTTATTAAATAAGCAAGTCTGTGTAAAAATTTATTTTGCGACACATTCAGCATTCTATCTTCACAGACATTTGACCAGATTTTGAGCGCACTTTGACATTTTCAAAATCCAGTTAGTGACTTTTTTTGTTATTTTATACTATCGAGTGCTCCACAGCTGGAAGAAGTAGCCACTCTGAATTTTAACTCAATCACACTATCATCTCAATATATTACATAACCACACATTTACATTTCTCTGATATAGTCTGTATGTCTTAATTTATATTATCAAGTAAAATACCCGATATCTCTTTATATTTTGACCTTTGTAATATTTCGACTCACCAACTGGTTCATAATCTTCCACAATGTCAATAAAGATTCAGCTCAAGAGTTCAAAATCTTATTATAGATGTTTTGCATTACTCTTGGCAAATTTCTTGATTTAACGAGCGTACTTGGCGTCGTCAAGTTTTTTCCTCCATTGCCTAAAGATTCACAAGTCCAAAGGCACCAGGAATCACCATTGTTGATGCGCACGCAAAGTTTTCCTCTTCGATACAGGATCCGCTTCATGGTAAACCTGGTTATTACAAGCTTGTAATTTTTTTGTAGCGTTTCCCTTAAGCACTTTTTAAAAACTTACACTCTCATAAACCAAGTTTAAAGATAATCTTTGAAAATTTACAGGCATGCCTGTAATGTATTTACACACGATTCATACACTGGAAGTTCCCTTTAATCAAAGAATCAATATATATGTATGTATAATTCTCGAGAGAGATAGCCCTCACATTTCCCGATCAAACGTTCCTATTGTCAATACTGAAGTTTCACGACACTGCCATCATTGTTTGAAATTCACACAAATGCAACAATACATTGCTGGAATATACATCTCTTTTATCCATTTATCTCTTATCTCTTATCCGTTTCCTTATCCTCTCCATTTTTGGAGATTGATGTATGTATGTACACTGTTATTATTATCTCTTGAGGCACACTTCGTATCGCTTGGTTCCATTAATCTCGCTCTATCGATTCAGCGTTTGACTCGAGCAACAAGACAGGCGATTCTCCGAGCAAATTTTGTCCATGCTCGAGGGACATGCAACTGCACACACGGCACATGCAAGTGCTTGGTCTCATATTATTAATGAAAGACCCAAGATCAAACTAACTAAATGTAATTTGTAATGGAAGTAGTTTACAAAAGTTGCTGTGTTATTGCCTATTTCCTTCGATTCGGCAACTTTCACTTCATTGTCCACTATAAAACTGTATACGACCGGTTGCAGTCACATTTTCTCTCATGACCGCGTCCCATGCTATTCATGAAAATGGAAAAAAAAAGAGAGAAAATTAGTAAAAAGCGCGAAATGACAAGAATAATATAATCGAAATAATTTGATTAAACTATGCTAAAATACATCTTACCTAAGCCAACGAATGATACGATCTTATCGTGGTTATACGTCTGCACATTCAGCTCTTCCTCAGGTGCTACATAAAGCATAGCAAAGTCTTCCTTCGGTGGATGAAACTTCTCCATGATCCCGGGCGGCGGTGGAGGCGGTGGTGGCAAATACGTGGGCGGTGGAAATCTCGTGTTGGGATAGCTCATATATGGTAGCGGTTGCACCATGACCGGATGCACAGGATGCACAGGATGAGCATTCGGTGTCACATGAGCGTTTGGCGATTGCATATGATAATTCGACGAAAACTTGTCGTACCTCGCGGGTTTCTCGGCAAACAACGATGGATTCCTCTCAAAAGCGTTGAGCGAAGATTTATTAACGAGCGGCGGTATGGTTGGAGAGAAAGCGGAATTGCTCGTCGTAGTTGCCTGAGTCTCCTCGTTGCCGTTGTCCTCCGAGAGCAACAATTGTTCGTTTATCTCGAAACCGAACGTGAGTTCCGTTGGTAGGTTATTGTTCTTGGCGATATCCGATGTGGTTTCATCCAACAAGATCACCGCCGGTCTAGGAGTTGAATTTTTCGTCTGCTGCATCTCCACCGTGGATGATCTTTGCGATTGGTCTTTATCAGACTGTGATTTGCTCTTTTTATTCTCCATATCCTCGCGCTGTTGAGTATCCTGCTTCAAATTTTGCGTTTGACAAATCCCTACTTTTGTTACATCGTGCTTCATCGTAATATTATTGGTTGAATATTCTTTCACAATTCTTGCTGTCCTCGGATCGCTACTGGTCATTTTATTTTTGTTATTGCTTGACTCGGACTCGACGTCTTGTGATTCTTGAGTAGGTTTCACAGTTTTTAGCTTCTGTGCATCCGTATTGTCACTATGGGATGCGATAGTCGAATTAGTCCTGTTTTCGGATTGCGAAGCGTCGGTACTATGTAACTTTTTAATCGGTTCGTCATGATACGAAGGTGCAATCTTTTTAACGTATTGTTCTTCATATGATCCCTGAATTTGTACATTTTGATTATTATGTACATAATTCCTGCGAGAACGAGGATTATTAGTTCTTGAATGTGCAACAGAATCTTTATTATTAATAGTGCAATTGGGATTATTATCGGCATCGAGTGGATTATAATTTATCGTTGTACTATTATTATTCAATCTTGGCGTTACAGTGTTTGTTGCGATAGTCTCGTTATTCGTGCTGTAATTGTTGGAAGCCGCGTGATGCTTTTGTTCCTGTTGCGTTAGACTCTCCTGCATTTTTTCGATGTCTTGCACATATTTAAATACTTGAATGTTTTTATTAATTGCTTCTTCCTGAGCTTCAGCTTTCTTTCTATCCGATGAATTTTTCACTTTTGTTAGAGTCGGAGAAAGTGACTTTTCAAAAGCGAGACTCAAACTTGCTGCTGCATGATTTGATTGAGCAAAGTTTTGTTGTTGCCTCACTTTTCTTTCCGAGTGCTGTATCTCCTCCAAGCTTGGATAATAATCTTGCGGTACTTTATCCGGTTCTGAAGGAGTCTTGGGAGGTACACTGGGCCACGATGCTGTATTCAACATGCCCGGAACAATCGTCGACATGTTCAGGTTATGCGATATAGTGGCCATGCGCGCAATGTCCGCGTAACTCGCTTGTGGAGTACCGCCCGATGAAGTCGCGACTTTAGTCAAATTATGCTTGGAGCTATTTGACGTAACAGGCAACGAGTGGACCGAATCTAAATCGCTGCTATCTGACTTGTCACTGCAACAATTAATTAACACACATATTTTATTATTTTTATATTAATTAGTATTGATCTCTTTAAATTTTGAATGTCAAAAATCACGTGCAAGTATATACATATTTATTTATTACATATTTATAATTATTTGTCAAATTACCTAGGAGGCATACTACTCGCCGATTTTCTTCGCAGTTCGGGAGAGAGCGGTGTCCTATATTCATTGGGGAATCCTCTGGAACCTTGCAGATACGATCCTGATGTCGTCAGATTTTGCGCTCTGCTACCACTGGAGCTTCTCCTCTGTTTCTTGCTCTTCTTCTTTTTCGTAACTACTAGAAATTCCGTCTCATGTTCTGGTTCCGGATTGATCTTCTTATTCGAGTTACGGCGACTAGTGTAATCTTCTCCCGTGTCGTTACAATATATCGATTGACCCTCTTCTGTCCCCCAGGATCGCCTATCGCCTCGACTATCAACTGTCGTATCTCCGGTGCTCCTTTGCTTTGGACGTCGCAATGCTACGTTTTCGCCTATTACATTATAAATAAACACAATACGATATTAGTTGCGTAATAAATAGTGTAACTAAATAGTGTAACTGTAAATATATAAAAAATTGTGTAATAAATTTTATGTATAAATTTGCTAAAAATTCTTGAATTATATAAATTCATAAATATAAAATTTACAAAATACATACATAATAACATAAATAAATACATAAATAAACATAAAATTTATAAAATATATATACATACATTTACGTTCATTACGTCATACAATAATCATACCATGTTGGCTAGATACGCTACTGGCTCCACTGGAACTGACGCTTTTCTCTGTTGTGAGATCCTCTAATTTCGTTTTTGAAATTTCTTCCAAGGAATTGGACTTTTGTAATTTTGACGGTAACTGTTCTCTCTTTGTATCCTTTTCTCTAGTTCTCGGTTTTGTACCAGAACTGGTCTTTACTCTAACAGGATTGCTAGTTTTCCCCTTTTTGCTTTTGGATTCTTTATTCTCAATAAAGTTAATTAAACTGTCAATATCTTCATTACGATGACCTTCGACATTTTCAGCATTGTAAACCTTGACATTGTGTTCCTGAGTATGTTTTCTTCTGAGTTTCTTTGCAAAACGATCATTATAGGATTGTACAGCATTTCCGTTTTCATCCAACGATTTCTTTTCTCCTGATACAGAAGGATCTTTCATTGTAATGTGCTGTGTCGTATACCTGGAGCCTTTTATGCACAATTCACTTGTTTCAGTTTACAAGATAAATAAAAAAAATAAAAAAAAAATAAAAAATTAAAAAACACATTTTCTTGGAAAAATTTGAATAAGCATGTCCATCAAATCAACAGCAGCTATCAAAGCACTTTGTGTTTATGGGATACAAACTGCCTAAACTTTTATTATATTATTAATAATTGAAAGTTTATATTAATTCAAAAAATTTTCAGTACTAAAATTAATTTCAATGTTCAATTGCAGAGAGAGGAGAGAGGGGGGAGAGAGAGAGAGAGAGAGAGAGAGAGAGAGAGAGAGAGAGAGAGAGAGAGAGAGAGAGAGAGAGAGAGAGAGAGAGAGAGAGAGAGATTTTGAATAAAATTTCTTTTATAGAATATTTAATATTATTTCAGTGATTAGTAATCTTATATTGTATTGTACAAACATCAAATGCTAATATTTATAATAACTGTTATTAAATTTGAGAATTAGAATAGAAAATGTGTATTTCAATATATTTCTACAATATTTCTACTCTTAAATCAAGTATTGTATGTAATATATATATGTTAGTAGTCTTACCCATCGTTAAATTCTGTGCTGGCCAAGATGGCATTACAGAGCACAAACTTGGCACGATCTTGCTCTGGCTAGTACTAGAACTGTTTGAAGCTCCACCTATACCGCATTTTACACTGTTGTGTGGTTGAAATAATGTTCCTGTTACTTCTGTACCATTAACAGACATTTTTGATTTCTCCTGTTTATGATCGCGAATAGGGAATTCTATAGGACTATCCACATCCAAAGTTGCTCGTGTGACATAATGGATAGGTTTGCGTGGTTCAATGATTCTCATCTCAGTTCCTTCGTCATTTTCGGTATCTAATGAACGAGGTCTTTGTATTCCGCTTGCCATAGATCCCACATTTCTCTCGCTGATAGCGCCTACCTGCAATGATGAAAAGCAAATAATTACATACAGTTTCTCTTCCAAGCTAAAATATCTTTTTTATATATACATATACTATAAAATGACGTAAATTTTTAGTGATTAAACTAAGATTGAAACCATTGAAAAACATTAAAAAGAGACTTATTTATATTATAATTGTGTAATGTGTATATACATACATACATACATACATACATACATACATATACATGTGTGTGTGTGTGTACTAAATAACACTTTACCTCAACATCACCTAAATCGATCACCATATAGTCCGACTTATATTCTGGAGGTGGATTATCTGATTCCAGCATTTCATTTGTTCCGTATTTTCCTTTGCTAACTCTTTTCTCTCGTGTTTCAAGTTCTACTTCGCCTGAATTAGCAGTTTCTCTTTTCGATTCCTTCTTTTCTTTTTCTTTTTCTTCCTTCTTTGTACTAGTATATGACGGTTTGTCTAGAGACTTGGATTTTTCCTTATTGGTCCAGTCATACGCTGACCGTTCCACACAGAAATTCTTCTTCATAAATGAATAAGAAAATGATTGATATATTAAAGTTTCATATCAATGCTACGCAATTTTATCATGTTAAAAAAAATGCACATATATTATTAATAAAAGTGTTTATATGTTTGAGAAATTATATGTTTAAAAAAAATGAATATTAATTTTAATTATACAAAAAATACCTTTTTATCAAATGATAAATCTAGATTAGCCAAAGAAGCAAGGCTATGTGATGCATCTACATCTGATGGTAATGATCCACCTTCTCTTTGTCTAGCAGAGACGCTAGGTCCTATATATTTTTTGTTTTTTTTCCTATTACTTCCATAAGTATGACACGAACTGGATGTTGGATAAGCAAAACTACTATCGAATTCTGAGGCAATGGGATGTGCTAAATTTTGCAATGATCCGCCATGCGTCAAGCGCTCGGATACAGAATCCCGTTTATGTCTTCTTCGATTTGAACCAGGAAGACAACGCGAATTACATATCACTCTATGCCCTTCTTCAGTTTCATCCGCTTCTGCTTCTTGTAAAAGCTCCTGTAAAGAATGTGATTTCCCATATATATATATATATATATATATATATATATATATTTAATTACTAATGAATCATTAATGAATCATTTTATATTTGATATGTATAATTTCGAAGGTATATATCTTATCAATATAAAATATATACCTTATCAAATATATATTTCTTATCCCATATATACCTTAAAAAGATGAGATTTTCCTTCTCGATCTTTTGGGCACTTGTACGTTATAGCTTCATCTAGCAAAGCACGTAATTCGCTATCGTTTAATTCAGATAGAGTTGCTGGCTCTTCCTAAAAATAAGAACAATTGAAAAAATTAAATTGCATGTTTACACACTATGCACTTTAAAAATTTATATTAATATATATATATATTTTTATGTTTGTATAGAATTTTATTTCAATTTATCAAAAAATATACATATTTTAAAAAACAATTAAGAATGAATCATTTCTCTGTTTCATCTTTTTTTTTAAGTTACAATGCATATATTGATATCTGTTATCTAAGTCATTATTCAGAAAACATTATGAGAAATACCTGTAATATATTAAAATAGAACTTTCTATTACAATAGAAACTGGTTCACAAGTTGAATAGATGAGAAATATTGATAGATTTTCAGAGTAAATTTAAGGTTTCTCTTATTGGATCTGTTTAAGGCTTACAATGTGCACACGTTAAATGTACAATGTAGAGATAAAAAAAATGTACATGATGCATGTACTCTATCGTCATTCTTTATCGTCATTCTCTATCGTCATATTTATCTAAATATTTCAGATAAATATTCAATATAATGTAAATCGATCCATTTTATAATTCTTTACAAAGTTCTATTTTTGTCAACACATACATGCATGTTAAACATAATAAAATCAATTAATCTGTTATAAATAGGCAATAAATAAACGAAATTTTTCACACACATGGAACATAAATATACAACATACGTATATAATAAACTATTAAAAATAAAATGAATTAACATGTGCAAAAGGCTGCCTTGAAACGTAAATACATTCGTACGCGTGAGAAATTCGTGTCTAAAAAAAGAGATGGATAAATATATCGATTGAAAACACTATTGAAAAGGCGAAAGGAAAAGAAAAGTGTAGAAAGGCAGGGAAGAGAGCCGTCTCGAGATAACGAGAGGATTTGCGCCGAGCTCGCGCACACGACACGAGAATCAGAGACGAGAATCGAGAATCGTCACGTCAGAGTCTGAATTTCTTACAGGGTGTCATGCGCGAAAAAGACCAAAGAGAACAAAGAGACGGACAAAGGCAGAGCGAGAGAGAATCGCCGAACAATACGCTGCGTAAATCGACGAACGTCGTCCGCGAGGGAACGTTGCAAAAAATTGCAAAGAGCCGTCCTCGAGATTGATAGCGCTCCTAGCGATTAGCTCAATTAAGACGTAACGAGCGAACGAGACGGAAAACACACAGGGGGCAAGGGAGGGAAAGAGAGGGAGATACAAAGAAAGATATCGGAATGACTTACGAGAAACGGTGGAGAAAAAAAATCTGCCGGGCAATGTCGGAACGGAATCGCTATATTTTTAGAGGGCACACGCACGCACGCACGCACCACACACGCATACACGCACCGCGCACGGTGCCGAATCACCGAGAGACCCGCAACGTAATCGAAACTCCGAAGCTGCCGCTACGCGATGTTGCTCTTCGACACGCGACGAGGAACGCCGTCCATCCCGGGACGCGCGTTGCCGGAGCCCGGGGAGCGCGACGCGGGCTTCTCGTCCTCGTCGTCGGCGTGCAAATCGGCGAAAAAACGTCGGCGAGAACGTGCCCCGGTTTTTTTGAAAGCTACTGCGACGAGCGGGCGCGGCGCGCTCTTCCCAGCATGGCCGCCGCCATTACACTGAAAGCACTGTCAGCCCAGGAGCGTACACGACCGGGGAGGGGGCCCGGGGGACCCAGGGGCGCGAGGTCTTCCCCCAAAATAGCTCGTTTCGCTCGTTCCCTCTTCCTTCCTTTTTCCGTGGCGGATGACACGCGACTGCCGCGAGGAAGACCGATGAGCGAGAGATGAAGAAATTGATAGATACGTCAAATTTATACAATATTGATTTTCGGCGAGATCGACTCTCTCTCTCTCTCTCTCTCGATGTCGTAGATGCGCGAAAATAAACGCCGCGATCTCATCTCGCGTTGCTGTCGCGTGCGAACGCGAGAATCATTCCTCGCACACGTCGGTTTGCGCGAAGCAACGAAATCTGATTTGTCACGGATGGAATGGAACGTTCTTGTTTGCGATGACTTACGCGTGCGTGTTCGTGGCTTCTGCGTTTGGCGTATCGTATGATGCGCGATGTTATCTGAAATTGAGAATCCGAGGGCCGCGTTCGGTCTTAAATGTCTGCGAGAGGCCTCGTGTCTTTGTGCATCGAGCTCGGGAACAATGCGAGAGACGGTGCTGAAATATGTGTTTCTTCCGGTGGTTTCTAATTGTTTAACGACGTATTGTCACATTCGTAATGCGAACCGCGGTTCAACGCTCACTTGTTTTTTTTTTCCGCCTGGATACCCGCAGGATACACAGGGCGACTCGGTAAACACCACGTCATCGACGTTAGAGAAACGCACAGTCGTTATTTTACACGATTCTCAGATATGTTAATTTCAAATACTCGTATGTTAATTTGATAAAGATAACAAGCTAATGTATTTGGCGATATATCCCCGATACCGTTGAAAATATCGAGAAAAACAATCAAAAAATCAAATTCCTCGCATATTTGTTTTTCCATTAATGTAACTTGAAAATATTTCCCTTCGGGCAAAGATTTGGAATTCAAGAAATCGATAGAATTTCGATGGACTGAAATTTTATTAGAAACATGCATATATCCCGTGTAAAATATATATCCTGTAAAAATTATAAGGACTCCGATCCTTCCCAAGGATCGCTTCGATGTAGAATTTTTCGCGCACAAACGTCGTCAGTGTCGCACCGCTACTCCAGTTTCTAATCGTCACACATATGTTCCTCGAGAACGCGTTTGCCATATATTAGGCCATGTACGTCTGTCAATCGCGCATTCTTCTCGAACGTGTCCCTGAATCCCGCCTAACAACCGCGTTTACACGAGGCCGGTCAAGAGATGCGAGTCAATAAAAATTGCTCGCTCGCTCGCTCGCTCACCTACTCCGGTAAAAATTTACGAGCAAGGCGATAACGGCATCGTTGAATAACGATAATAAGAATTGAAATCGTTGGGGATACTTGCACGAAGGCTGAAATAAGGAGAGGCGAGTAATTACATTTTTCGACTCGAGGTAATGGGCGGACTGGAATTACTTTATGCACTGTGCGATAATTAAGCAGCTGTTTAGCGCTTATCTCTCGCGAAAAATAACGATATGCGAAAGAGGAGAAAGGCCAGCGACAAATAATGCAATAGAAAAATGAAATATAGAACATTAAAAATGCATAAAGCGTGCACAATGGAACGATGACTAACGAGCAAAGGAGGTGAGCAATTCCGTAGAGAAATATGACATGCGTTTTTAACTTTGTTGCTCTCTCATTGTCGGTTAAAAATAAAATATACGTCCGACGAATAAATATTTGACAACGACAAATATCTATTTCTGATACGAGATTCGGGCATATCTCGCTGCGAGAATCGTATTCGTTCCTCGTGTCTCATTGTAATACGACCTTTTAATTTACCGCTTGACCACTTTATTGATTTCGCGTAAATTCGGCACAATAGCCCTCCGAGAGATTTGCGCGAGATCCTTATTCTTGTTACGCAATATTTGTTAAATCGAATAATCAAAATCTGCTCGACGACCTATTTGTTCGCAATCGCGAGTTGCTTAATTACTCGAAAGAAATCGCATGGATTAATCAAGCGAACGAAAGGGGATATCGAGAACGTATTTCTGCGATGCGTCCTCGCTCTATCGAGGGCCAGCACGGCCATTTCAGGAGCGTAGCCGAGCGTGCCCTTATCAAGATTCATGCGTCTCGCTGGCAAGAAGGATGGCTGCGTCTTTTCGATACACTTCGCAAAGTTGAAGCTCGCGATAAGAAATACTATTTTTTTTATATCATTAAAATAAAAAAAATACAAGTATAAAATTATTTTTAATTAAATTATATCATAATTATTATATCGTTATTATTAACCTTCTGATATATATATATATATATATATATATATATATATTTAATTTTAAAAGAATTAGAAAAATACAAATATCGCAAAAACAATTCAATTTACTAGATACATTCAATTATATAGATGATGCAAAAAGATTAATTGCTTTCGAGAGAAAATTATAACCCAATATTATTGTCGCGATTAAACGAATCGATCAGATATCTAGCTGGTTTAATCAAAAAACTCGTCGCGCAGGATTGCATTAAATGTTGTAACACGTAAAAAATCAGGCGCGAGGCAAAAATTATATGTATAAACAACATATATATCGAAGCGTTTTAGATCCTTCGTCATGATTAATTAATTTCAAGACTTTCGTGGCATTCTGCGGAGAAGATTCTCGTGGAAGGAAGGAGAAAATCCTCGTTTCGAAAATGATATCCTTGCGTGATCTCGACTCCTCGACCAACTCGATCGTCGCGATGCTCACCTGTTTGCTGTCGACGCCGCTATTCGACGGTGAGCTTTGGTTGGCCGAGTCGGCGCCAGCGGCAAAATTAGTAGTTGGAGCGATCTCGATGTTCGAACTTTGCTCGGCGACGACGACGACGGAGTCGTTGCTGTTGCTGCTGTTATTGCTGCTACCGGTTGTCGTATCGACGTTCTCCGCGTCGACATCGGCGGCAGCGGCTGCGGCACGATCGCCCTCGACTATTTTGTCAGGAGCTACCGGTTCCTGGCGATGTTCCGGCCCTGGGGCCATGTTGATCGAAATTGACAGCGCGGTATCCGCCGTGCTCATGGCTCCTTCCTCGTCATCTCTCTTTTTCTTTCTCTCTCTCTCTCTCTCTCTCTCTCTCGTTCCTTCTTTCTATCTATCTCTCAAAGGCTGTCCAGCCTCGAAAGGATCGAGATTGTCGACGTTCCGTGCCGCATCGAAGACGTTGCACCTCACACTTTCAGTCGAGCGCGACGATATACTGGTTAGACGAAGAATCCAAGTCGGTTGCACCGACGTTCATGGGATGTTATTCTTTTTTCTGTTACAGATTTAATTACGATTTAGGAAAGCAGGGTAAAACGGCGCACGAATTATCGACTCGAGATATATAAATATAGAAAAGGACCGTGAATAGCTAATTTAGTTAATTTTTAATTAATTTAAAGAGAAATGAATTAATTTCGGAGATATTAATTTAGAAAAGATTATTAATTTCAGAAGATATTCCAAGATTGAACGAGTACTTGTGTCGGTGCAACTCGACACGGAATTTTGAAAGGGTTCTCGAGTCAGGAGAATGATCCCGTTCACCATCGACGATCAGCCGTCTCTCGTGGAGTCACAAATGTTATTCACAAATGTTTCCGCTTACCCAGCCGCCGTCTCCGAGGCTCGATTTATATCTCGTCGGCGAATAACGATCTCGGCGCGATTCGATCGCGCAGCTTTGAGGTTAGCCTCGACTGGGCTGTCAACCGCTCGGCTGCACACAGCTGTCTGTCAGCCAGTCATCGATCGCGACTCTCGTCGCGTTCGCCAGAGTCGGGCGCAACGCTCGGTATCCTCGTCTCGTCACCGACGAGAATGTCGTGAACGCTTTACGAGCGCTGGAAATGAATGTCCCTTCATGAATATGCGAATGCGACCGCGTGAGCGTCAGTCGGGAGGCAACTTACGTAAACGCGACTGCTGGCGGTCACATGTCAAATTCGAACGATCGACCGGAACGATGCGTTTTCTCCTCCTCTCCCTCCTCTCCTCTCGCGCGAACGTCGTCAACGATCGTCCGGCTCTCAAAAGAGGCGCGGATCTTCCGCGATCGGCGTCGCGCTCGTCGCCCTCGTCGGCGTTTCCTCTCGAGGACGGAAGGCCCCGCCGATCATCTCCAAGCGCATGGGACGCGAAGCGAGCGCGGGCGAGGATCGCGTCGCGAACGGTGGCGGGGATCGCGGGGGTCGCGGGACACGACGACACGAAAAACCGTCCGTTTTTGGCGTTACAACGCGACGATGTTGATAATCGCCGCCGCGCTGCCAATGCCGTGGCGAGCACTCGCAATCGATTCAAAATGGCCGCCGCCGCCGCTGCGCAACCGAATGCACGCGTCCGTGACACATAACTCCCCCTGTTGAGCCGCCGCGCCGCCCGTCGTCGCTCTCCTCTTCCCACGGGCTCGGCTCCGGGTCTCCTCGCCCGCTCTGGTTGCGTCTAGCGTTGACGACCTGCGTCCTCCTGGCGCGCCTGTGGGGCCTGTAAATTCCCGGGTAACCGTCACTGGACTCGTCGCACGGTCCCCTTTTATGTCCCTCTAGTGCTGATCCCCCCCTCGGCACCTTTTCTCGATCGGTTTCATCGGCATTACTTTTTTTACAGTTGTTACTATCCATACTGTCTCACCGATCGAGATGTTTTCCGCGGTCGAGGGTGCTAGGGAGAAATTACAGCGCGAGTATCCTTCGAAAATTTCATTCACCTTCATTCCTAGCCGCCGCGAATAAGTCCGTCCACGATCGACACGCACTACACACACGCACGGGCGCGCGTGCGCGAGCTCGCACACGGGATACGCGCGTACGGCCTATTTCCCTCGGCGGTCCATTTCCTTCACCTCGGGGAAGAGCCTGACAAACGGATGCGTCGCGAGCGCGACGCGACAGGACGACGATGTCTCCCGAGGCATCGATGCCCGACTGTCAAACTTGACACGAGGCGCCGCGTTCGCTCGCGTGCCCGTCGTTCCGAGATCGGGCGCTGGATTATCGATCGCGTAACATCACCTGGGACGATTAGGGGCTTTCTTTTACGACGACTTAGGGGATCGGAGATTCCCTCGCGCGAGGGAAACGGGGCGGTTCGACGAAAAAAAAAAGAGAGGCTCGAGCGTTCGCGACGCGGGTGTCACAATCGAACACCCGTCCGAAACTACGACTCCGTAGGATGTACGTACATGTACGCGGCGCGGAGGCGACGAGTCCGGTCCAGGGACTGCGTAGGTCCGCCCCCGAGGCTACGCGGATCCTCACCGAGCGACGCGTTTCCGGCGCGCACGACGGTCGCTCTCGGCCGAATATCTCCGGGAAGAGCCGCGCGGCGCGGACACTTTCCCGTCGCGACAGCGATAAGAAGCGGAATCCTCGCTTTTGCGCAGAGGAACGGCGGCGACTGCCTCTCGCTCTCGGACCAGCCGCTCGGCCTCCGAAAATGTCGTCTGACGTGCAGGCGCGTATCCGCTTCGCCGAACACCCGGCCCGAACCGCGTTTCCGATCTCGAACGAGGTCACCGGTATCCACCTGTCAGATTCATCCAACTGTCAGTTTCCTGTCATTACAGTCACGTGGCGAAGGAATACGAAAAATGTTCTAAATCCTTGGTTAATAAAAAAATGATGTGCGAAAGATGACACCGAAGTGTGTTATTGTTATCGAGAATAGCGATCAGAATCGATCCGAGCTCGGTGAAACGCATACTCCCTCCGTCTCTCCTAAAAGCGCGTGGTTGAAGGAAACGTAAGGAAATGCACGGGGTGCGAAGGACACGAGGTACGGCCCTGGACTTTGAATCGATGTATCTCGAAGTTGCGCGATATCCGTCGTTCGATGCCGACTTCTCACAACGTCGTTGACAGCCGGATCGACGGAGGGGAGAGCCGTGCTCGTTCGTTCTCGATTCGTAAAGACGGAGTAAATCGCGAAGCGTATCTCTAGATAATCCTTGACACTTGCGTTATCTCGTAGATAGATACTTGCACTTGTCGGTGAAAAAAGCTACGCGGGATTCGCCGAAATGACGGAGTCGGAGAATATTTTCTTGTTCGTGCCCAATATCATTGGTAAATACTTGCGATCTTATCTAACTACGTTTCTACTCCTTGAGCGAAAACGTGTATTATCGCTAATTTATTCCTTCGTGTATGATACGTCGATGCCCGCCAAGATTCGATTCAACGAGACGCAGACTTTCGCAAATAATGGAATTTTTTCTCTTGCCAAGTCATCCCGCGTAATGTGATTGATTAGTCAGATGAAAGTACAAGTGGTGCGAACGTATGACGCTTTTAAGGTTGCCTGTATCGATTGACTACTGCTCCATGTAACATTTGTATCGTCAGCCAGCAATAATGAAATTTCTCGCTGTAATCCTTTTGAAGCCATAGTGTGTTTTGAACTTTCAGATTTCTAGATGATTATTTTATATTTGACGATTATTTTTATGACAAGTAGAGCAAATATAATTAGGAGATACTATATAAATTTTATGTACATATTCAACAGGTTTTGGCAGAGTAATTTTGGCGCTAATTTCCTTTTACTTTATGCCTACCAATTATATTATTGCATCATGGTGTTATATTGTCAGCGCATTACTGGATGCGATAGACGGTCATGCGGCAAGGTATTACAACCAAAGCACAAAGTTTGGCGCAATCTTGGATCAGCTGACGGATAGAGTCGGCACAATGTGTCTTATGGTCACGTTATGCTTGTTCTATCCTACCTATACTTTTTGGTTTCAATTGAGCATGTGTATCGATATAGCCTGTCACTGGATATATTTACACACGTAAGAAATAATATGTAACACATTTATATGTAACACGTGCAAAGGAGACTAAAGGAAATGTGATCATTACATGTTATCGTCTTGTCAAAATACAATAGGACTCTTTTACAAGGAAAGACCAGTCACAAATTTATAGACATGTCTGAAAATCCAATCATGAGACTCTATTATACAAATCGCACGGTATTATTCTTCATGTGTGCTGGTAATGAGGCATTTTATGCCGGTTTATATCTTTTACACTTTACCGAGGGTCCTATCTGTGAGTATCAAAAAATTTTATTACTTTATTTCAAAAACATGAAGAAATATTGCGCAACATTTTATTTTTTAGTGGCTGGTATTGGTCTATACAGATTAATTGTATATCTGAGTGCTCCGATAGCACTTGTTAAAGCTGCTATTTCTGTACTACATGGATATGTTTCGTGCATCAATCTTAGCATCATTGATGTAAAAGAGCGTCAAGAACGACTTAAAACAAATTAAATTTTTCAATGTACATTATTTACTAGTCAAGCTGAATGTGATTTACAGATCTTCCTATTCCATAAACTGACACATGTGCATGTTTATATATTTCCATATATATTTTTAAGGAACAAAGAATATTTAAAACTGCATGATAAAAATCTCTCTTTTTGATCTAAATGATATTTAGTGCATAGGAAATATTATACCTTGAAATTTTTAGATCAAAGATAGTGGCCAAATTCCTTCTATATATAAAGGCAAAAGTTATTTTTTAATAATATAGCATTTATTTATTACACTAGACCAGAGTGAGAATTACTAATATGTATTCATATTTTCAGGATATTTTTATCTTTGATACTTTTATTTTTGTTATAGAAATTATATAGTACAATATCGATAATCTCTGTATTTTCCAATAGCGATACAATTTAAAAGACCTAATAAATATTCTTCTTTATTATTATTAATGTATGTAATAAAATTCAATCATTTTAGGGAATATTGTAGTGACCAATGTGTTAATAAAATATAATTTTAAAATATTTCTGTGTATTTAACAATTTATTGTACACATTAAATTTTATAAAAAGTATTAATATTAATATATACATATATATATATACATAAAATAATAATGCTGTTATTGTACAGATTTTATACAATAGTTTTGCTCAAATATTTGCATATATATATATAGTAATTATTACATCCAGTATGCACACATCTTTTAAACCAAATAAATAGTTTTACCGAATAGAAATTCAAATCAAGAATATGTCAAGGATAACAGAAGTCGGATATAAATAAAGAATATTATTCCAACATCAATTATCAAAATAGAAAATACTTAAAAGTCACATACATAGATAAATCAAATTCTTTGTAAAAAATTAGCAATTTTATTTTATATTAAAGAGAATCTTGATTTTGTTATGTATATTAATTGTAGAAGAATGTATTAGATGTTTTTTTTCTAAACTGTCATAACTGAAAAAAATATTGAGCAAAGAGAAATTACGAATATATTTACTCTATAATTTCTAGGCAAATCAATTTAAAAGCAAAAATGTATCAAAAATCTTGGAGGAATGGAAGAAATAATAATTCATTGATCGAGTGTAATAATAAATGCTATAAAACATACATGAAACGTCGACGTGAAAAAAATGACGTGCATGATGTATCGTAATTGAAGCACTTGTATGTACGAATACAAAAACAACATGTTAATTATAATACGTGACAGGTAGATTCGCACGCGTACGTTATTATCAGTACTCAGGGATGCGTGAAAAGCATAAAATAGCTGCGGGAGAACAAATTCGACTCCCGCAACGATGCGCCAGCCTTATATAAAATGTCAAAAAAATCACGTACTAACCTCAAAGATTGCTCATTCCCCCAACATGACCAGTCATAATTTCGGCGCCATGTTATCACTTCAAACACTCGCGCATGTTGGAAAAGTTGGAAAATTTGTCGTGGATTTTCTTCTTTATCCTCAGGTTACTTCGGAAGGCGTATTTTCCGGCGTACGATCGACGGATGCCGAGGAAACGATGCCGATCTTCGGTCCCGTGGAAACGCGACTGCGACACGCGCAGCGGAGTTACAATATTTATAAAAACAGATGAGAATTTTCGCAGCACCGGCACGCACCGAGACGATTCGCAGCGAATGTCGGGGCGCCACTGTCGCTGTCAGCAGCCGCAGATTTGGCGGTCCGCCCGTGATATTTGAACCTGCGGATAACCACCGCATCCTGTCCGAATGCTCCCCTCTAATCGATGCGCGATAAAACGAAACGGAAAGTAGCGAACGCCTCCGTATAATCATTTCAATACAGATGTAAAGAATGACCGAATTAATACAACATTAAAATGCAAAATTTTTTTTATTTTAATCTACGATAAAAAAATTCTTACAATATCAAAACACCGAGAGAATATTTGAACGATTAGAAATACATTAAGGCCCCTTCAAGGGCACACTTTTTTTTTCTTAAAAAAATTTTGTTTTTGTTTTCGAATTTCAAATACATGGAATGCAAAAAACAAATCGAAAATATTAACGAAATTACAGTTATGGAATTCCATCCTGTCGTTTTATTTCCATACGAATGTTCTCGTCGATCTTTACTAAGGAAAAATCATCTTTTGAAGGATATATTAGTATTAGATTTCCATGATTATCTTCTACTTTGACTTGTTCAACGATCATATGGTGACGACCCTCAGCATCCACTGCTGGATTGGTAATACCTGAGATTAATAGTTCTTTCAAAAATTGATCCAATCCAATCCTAGAAGAGAGCAAAAAGAATATAGCTTATTAGAATTGATTTCCTTTCTAACAGTTAAAAAATTGAGATATATTTTTTTATATAAATTTTATATAGAATCTTAAATTATAGATAGATAACATGTGTGTTTTATTTTACTTGCAGGCTCCACGTCCTACAGTGCTTGTTATTTCCACAAACATTGTTCGAGTGGATGGAGATACTTTAGTCGTATTACTGTTTATGATAGGTGGAAATGATATAGCCATTTGCGAATTGTCCAATAGACATGGAAATAAAGTTTTTTCTTTCAGGTACTTTAAACATTCATATCTTTCAGGATATTCCGTTTTTCCTGTTATTTCGCTTACTTTTTTTGCCTCTAGTTGCAATTCTTCACACAGAACTTCTCCTGTGAATACCCTGTTACGTGGAAAAGGTTTAATGTTTAGTTCCTTAGGTTCCTTTGCTGTATATATCAGATCCCCTAAATCATAACAAATGTATGTTAGCAAAATTGATATAAAAGGAATATTATTTTATTAAATATTTTTTAATACTCTTTTTACCAGGTGTTATGAATTTCATATCATGAGTCATTAATGTGGTCTTGTTTTTATTCCTCTGTATTTCTCCTATTTCATAAAAGGTTTTTGTCTGTAGCTCAATAAACTTTTTGAAATTTTCCTTCGTGAATTCTATATCTTTTATAATACACGCAGCTATGTAAGGTCTGACGTTCTTTACATGTTCTGTAACTCTTATTACTCTTGCACCATCTGTTATTCCCTTAATTTCTAATATGTGTCTTAGAATATATAATGGATCTGTAGGAGAAACGAACAAATTAATATTCCTCTTTTTATACTTATTAGGCGCTGATAATTTTTTTTCTCTTATAGGATTTGCTTTCAGATATTCAATTATTTTCTTTGTATTGTTAACAGAGGAACATAAGTTGTTTAGATTGTCATCATCCATTTTATTCCATCGGACATTCAGCTTCTCTAATTTCTTACAATTTGCTAATTCATTTGGCAGATCTGTATTATAATATGATTATATATTATAATTTTAAGAATATATGAGAAATATTATCATTTAATAACAAAAAAATATACAAAAGATATAATGGAAACATTAAACAATTACCTTTAAGTAAGTTGTACTCGACATCTAAGACCTTCAATGCTGAAAGTTTACTTATAGTAGGTGGAATATCTTGTATTTTATTATCATTGACATAAAGTTCCGATAGACATACAAGTTCTTCATAACAGACATCGGGAAAGCTCTCAAGTTTATTGCATTTTAGATTTAATATGGTCAATGCAATGTTTTTACACATTGGTGGTATATCCAACAAACGATTTGAGCTAAGATTCAATACCTTCAACTTGGCTAAATTGCCTAATTCGTCTGGGCAAAGCATCAATAAGTTTTTCGAGCAATCAAACATCTTCAGCTTAACTAAATTGCCAATCGTGGGCGGTAAATCCCTGATTTTGTTCGAATGCATTATCAAAGTCGTAAGATCTTTCAATAGCCCAATATCTACCGGCAAGCCTGAGAGGTTTGTATACGTTATGCTTAAATAATTCAAACGATGTAGCTTAAACAGATTCCAGTCTATGCCTGTAGATTTCAACGCTCGAGAGATTCCCCGGCCTAATAGCACCATGTGATGGTGCTTTTCCTCGCGTGCCGGTTTAATGGCCACGTCGAACGGCGTATCTTCAAATGTTGAGTTCATCACTAATTCACTTTATTCGTAAATTTTATGCGTTTACGTTGTACAAATTATATCTCGATGACGAATCCCTTTAGATTACTAGTTTATGAATACGTGTACGTGTTGGATCAAACGAAAGAAAATGTAAAGGGACGCAGACATAAACACACCTGAGCTCCTGTAAACACAAAAAAGAATAAGTTTTTCTAAACAGAAAAAAGATCAACAATAAACGGAAAAGCAAACGGTTCTTTTTCAAATTAAAACAAAGATTTTGATGAATTAGAGCAAAAGAAATAAAATCTAATTAATAGGGATTCACTTAAATGAAGTTTAAAAGACGTTTGACAGAGGGTCTGTTCTTTTCACCGGCACTGCTGCACTAGTGCAATTAGTTAGAGTGAAAGAAAGTATGTTTGTCTCTTTCTAACTTATTGCACTAGTGCAGCAGTACAGCTGAAAAGAACAGACCCAGAAGATGTTTGTAAACAAGTGCACAAAATATACAACCCGATACACAACAACGAAAGTACATAAGATCAGAGAAAAGACTGAGAGATGTCATGACCTGCTTTTAGGATCTCTGAAAGCGATACTCCCTCTATGGACATTGAAAACGTGGACATGAACTACAGCCATGAATGTTCTCAGAGGGTAATATATAATGTGCACAATTTCTGGTTTTGTTCCGTGCTATGTGCACGAAATGCCGATAACACCAGTGCTATATACAGGGTGACCCATTTTAACTTAGGCAGCCAAATAACTCGAAAAATAAGCACACTACGAAAAAATGGTTAGAATCAAAATTTCGTCATTTCGAGGGGGACGTACAATGACGTTAAAATCAGCCCCCCCATCCCTCCCCCTGGGCGGTGAGGGGGGGCAAGTTTGAAATCTTAAATGGGAACCCCTATTTTTTATTGCATATTTCTGTAGCTTATCTCGAGAGCTTTCCAAAACACTATAATTAAGTACCTTTTTATTAAGTACTTTTTGAGTTATAAGGCTTGAAATAATTTCTTAATTTTACATAAACCATAAAATATCTAGTAAACCATTCATTTTTCGATTATCTTACCTTCATACTTTTATGTACAAAATAATGAGAGGAATCAATTGGTGTAAAGAAAACATACAGTTGTTTTTAAGAAAAAATATGGAATTGTTAATTGCAAATTACATATTTTTTCTTAGAAACAACTATGTGTTTTCTTTACACCAATTGATTCCTCTCATTATTTTGTACATAAAAGTATGAAGGTAAGATAATCGAAAAATGAATGGTTTACTAGATGGTTTATGTAAAATTAAGAAATTATTTCAAGCTTTATAACTCAAAAAGTACTTAATAAAAAGGTACTTAATTATAGTGTTTTGGAAAGCTCTCGAGATAAGCTACAGGAATATGCAATAAAAAATAGGGGTTCCCATTTAAGATTTCAAACTTGCCCCCCCTCACCGCCCAGGGGGAGAGGTGGGGGGGCTGATTTTAACGTCATTGTACGTCCCCCTCGAAATGACGAAATTTTGATTCTAACCATTTTTTCGTAGTGTGCTTATTTTTCGAGTTATTTGGCTGCCTAAGTTAAAATGGGTCACCCTGTATAACAAGATACTTATGTATGTGTAAATTGTATGTAAATTGATAGTAAATAAATTATTCGATCGCGAAAGATACTGTAATATTCAAAGATGAAATAAATATTTTTCTATATTTATTGTCATATTTATATCTTTTCCTATTTAGCGGTCTCGCCTGGGTAGTGTTGGGCTCTCACATACATAAAATTTCGTATTACATAAGTATATAAAATTTCGCAAAAAAATTCGTATTACTATAAAAATTATTGTTAACAATTTAATTTTCATCCTTATATAAATAAAATATCTATAAAAAAACACTCAAAAAATATTGACCCCTTAAAAATTCTTAATACTAATAATATAATTATTAAAATATTTATTAATCTGTTTTCTCCAATATTATTTAAACCCATTTCCTGATTCTTTAAAAGATACCTAATATATTAATCACCTAAATTAATCACATAATAGCCCTAACAATCCTATTTCTCGATTAAGTGAAATTATTCGAGAAAATACTATCTCTAATCACGTATATTTTAATTACGTGCCTTAATTACATTCTCTAACAGCGTGTCCTAACCGTGTGAATAAATGTCCGATATTACTATTGTACGTAAAGCTTTTCTTCAGGCCTGTTGAACTTACTTTTCGTTGATCCTGGCCACTTTCTCGTTCGATCTTTAATCAGGGATCGAAAAAGGAGATAAACACTCCTTCTATTGCCGATTAATTACCGGCAAATAAATGTAAATATTTTACGCTCATCGTAACGATCGCTTGATTTTACAATCGTTCGTTAAATATTTGAATATAATTTTATTTTAACTTAAATAAAGCCAAATTACTACAAATTTCTGTATATTATATTTTCTAATAAAATATCAAATTTATGTGTGTGTATAACTTTTATCATATTACAAATTATTTAATTAATTAATCATTTGGCTTTATATTAAGTTAAAGTGAAGTTTAAAAACAATATTTACAAACAAATTCTACGATGGATGAGCTATAAGAAATTAGAATAAAATAAGTGCGCGTTATAAAAATAAAGTAGCATCAAAAATTAGTAAAATTGATAAAATTATTAATGCGTGCTCTTTATTTGATAAATTAAACAAAATCTTTATAAAAAAATTTTCTTTTCTTGATTCTCTTTTTTAAATTAATACTTTAACATAATTTCGTAATAGATGCAAAGCATTTCGAAAGAATTTATTAAAAGTTACTTTATTTAATCCATCCTAGCTCATCAATTTTAAGGCAACAGATTTATCTACAATCTACAATCTACAATCTACAATCTACAATCTACAATCTACATCTACATCTACACCTACAATCTCTACAAATCCGTTACCTTAAAGTTAAATAAAGTTTTTCTCACTCACCAGCACTGATGCGCAACAGCGGAGTTATCGAAGCTACGTTGTCTGTAACATACAAATATAAAATTTATTTATAATAATGGTCACAAACTGCAATTAATATTTTTAAAAAATTTTATCGCACGGCATTTTATATCCAATGTGTAAAATTATAAATTTTTGGAACTGTTTTTTAAATAGAAAGTTTTATATGACTTTTATAAAAATCTTTTTCTCCAATTTTCTCTTTAATTCATTTAAATAATAAGACCGAATTATTATGCGTACAATTTATACCAATTAATATACAAATAATAAATATTCACCATCAGGTTGCTCCGCTGATGCAAGATGCTTCTCCCAGACCTCCTCCTCCTCTCATGTTGTTGACGCGCGATATTTTCAACGACACTCCCGCACTCGCGAGCGATATTTTTATATCGCTATTTTCGTTATTTTACGCGCGATACTGAACTCCCGCATTATTTCGATGCGATTAAAAATTTTATATTTGATCACGCGATGTATATACTTAATATGTATATACCTTTAACGGCACTCCCTAATATGTATATATCTAATGCGACGCGTTGACGAAGCGCTTGCCATCCGCGGCACGTTGACGGCACCGACGACGCGAAAGGGTACTTAGCTTCCCATTCAGGCACCTTAAGATTTATCATAAATTGGAAAATTTAAGATAAACCTTAAGGCACCGTCCAGGTACTAAGCCCTCCCACCGCGACAAGGTGTACCCCATGGGAGGGTTATATTATATTATATATAATTTTATATATAATATAATATATAATTAATTTTTTGTGATATGCTATATAAATTTTAATTCGCAAATATAAACGATAAATAAAAATATAAAAAATAAAAGAAAATCTATTATGTAAAGCAATGTTCAAAATAATTGTTAGAGAAAGAGTTTGATAAAATGGAACGTCTCACATCACTACCTCACTGCTCGAAGGCCACTGAGGGAATGATCGTAGGTCAGAAACATTACCGCGGTACTGTTTACATCGTCAAGGTTGACTATGTAGAAAGAGAATTTGATAATATATGAAACGTCACTACTTTATTGTTCAAGGTTACTGTGCGAATGATCGTAAGTCATAAAACGTCGTTGAAATATTCTATGAGTGATTGCCGATTAAGAAAATTTAAAGCATTAGTTGAAATTTATTTAATTTTAATAAGTATTGTTAGAGAAATTATTATAGTAAATATTAATAATCGAAAGATCATAATCAAATTAATTTCTTTATTCCCTTTTATGTTCTCTTTTTCAACTTTCATTCGCAGTAATTAATGATTGCGATTCGATAGAGATTTATCGTTGCGATACATTTTCATGACCTCTATCATAAGTTAATTTATTTTTAATATGTTCGTCATCGAAATATTTTACGTACTTTAACATATATATACACACACACATAGAATATAATATAATAAAGAATATACAAGTATTTTACATTATATAGATTTTTTAATTATATGATTATATATTTATTAAAAGATTGATATATCATGGAGTCTTTCATTATGTTAATTGTTTAGATACACGACTCAATTGTTTTACTGTGCGTTCTCACAATCCGAATTATATATTTAAATATTTATAAATATTAAAGAAATAATTTCTGTGCTCGTAAAAATCGATTTCATATCGAAATAATAATTTATTACTTTAGATTTCTGTTACTATGATTCTTAGTTAATTAAATGAACATCTCCACGTCACTACTTAAGTCTGTGCGAATGATAATAAAATCGTGTAACGTATTAACAATAGCGCGATACTGTTTATCAAGATCGAACACGGTGTTATTGATAATTCTCTCGTTGCCGAAATATTTTCTGTAATATAAAATATTTTACGAGGAATATTAAATTATAGAAGTATTTTAATTTATTGATTAAGATTAATTGATTAAACTATTCATCATGAAGTCTTTCGTTATGCTAATTATTTGCATCTATAATTCGATTGTTTTACTTCGTGTTCTCTCACAATTCCCCTTCCAAATTATATTTAGATTGTCAAGTAGAATGATAAAGTAACATTATTACACGGTTAGAATATATTTGTGACTTTAAGTATTAAAGTCACAAATATATTCTAACCGTGTAATAATGTTACTTTAAGTATTAAAGTATTAAGTATTAAAATAATTATTGTCCGTAAAAATTGCAGACATTGATGTGATTATTTAATATGTTGGATTCCTATCACATTAAATCGATTCTCGATTAAATTGCACCATTGTTTAATTAACCAGTCTCGTGTAAAGGTCATGTTGCTCTCTTATGATATAATA